CAATATCTTCCAACGGTTTTACCTTATAAAATACAATGTTATATGGGAAAATATTCTTATGACATTTTGTAAGAAATTACAATATGTTTTCATAGCATTGTACTCACTTTCAGGGCGTTTTTCTTCAAGACGATTCAATTTTATAGAAATGTATTAATAACTGTTGTGTTGTCCAAAAACATCGAGATTAGTTGGCCATTGGTCCTTCAAAAATTAAAGAAACGTTTCCTTTAATGGTGCATGACTGGTCCATGCGTACGCGACTGTACAAAAACGTTGATTTTTGAGATAGGTTCTGAAAAAGTAGCAGTTTTGAATCTCCTTCATATATAGCTCACCAGCCTCCTCCCGAGTTGCGTTGTTCAGTTGACACTGCATCTTCCCTGGGCCTATCTCACGCAGGTTGAAGGAGCCGCATCGGGGATCCGATCGGCAGGCCTTACCGCACGCCAGCACGCCAGTCACCGGTAGCTCCTCCACGATGTGATCGACGAGGCACGCTGAGGCGATACGGCCAGCGGGGTTGGCCTCGATGCAGAACAGGGTGGTTTCTTGCTGGATTGGTCGTTCACAGGCTGCGTATTTTCGATTTGAACAACCGTCGTCATCCCATTTCCCATTACTATGTGGCATATAGCCACAATCTTGACCACCACTGTCATTAGGCTCCGTGTAATACCAGTTTTGGTATGCGTTGGGTTCGCCTCTCAACGGACAGTGCTTCCATGTCCCACCTCGATGTCATTACAGCCGATCCCCCGTGGGATTCTGATCAAACTCACTGAGGAAAAACTTTAAAAGGAATTCTTGTTCGTCTTGCAAATTCGGAACAGCAAGTTTCGCTTGGGATTGGGCACAGGTGTGATTCGCTTGATACCAGTCCATGGGTTGGGTTATCAGCAGATAGCAGGATTCATCGTACTGTTGCCAGTTCGGAGGGCAAATTGAAGCCGAAGAAAGGCCACAGGCGAAACCCAAAGCGAATAGCAATGCGAAAATATGATTCATTGTCGAGCATGTATCAAGATTCGGGGAATCAAAGACTTAATGCTTCATATGAGACACTGAGTAGGGATATTGAGAACTGAGTGATCTAGCGATTGAGCGGTAAAAGAACAAACGATTGCTTCTAACATTGAATACATTATGGCTCACCCGCTAAATCTGAAGTAAAGATGGCAGTGCAGGAATTTACGCACAGATCCTACTTGTCAGGTCTTGATTGGCTGCCACATAACATAAATATATTGATTGATGACGTCATATAATTATGCAGCTCAAGCTGAAATGATCGGCGGAAGTATTTACTTAAAAGTTCATGGTCACATGGCAAACTACAATGCATGCTGGGAATCCAATATGGCGGATATTGGCGCAAAAAAAAGGAGTCACTTTGAATTTTAAATATTTTTTGCAAAACTGATTGTTTCTTTGTTCCGGGCACTTTTTGGAAAAGAAAAATAGTAATGATAACACTGCCATAAGTACATCAGTTGTGCCGATTTTGATTGAAAATTGGGAAAAAAGGGAAATATCTCGAAAAATTACGAGTTTCTCCCCAAGTAGGTACAGCGCCATCTGGCGGTTATATTTGGCCACCAAGTGTCGTCAAATGTCCAAGTTCGTTCGGCAGCGTCATCCTCTTGTATTGTACACACTAGCAGGAGAATCAAGGGTTTTCCATTTTAATACTTTTCAATTTATTATTGTTCCAACACACTTAAAAGTCAAGTATAACTGTACCACACCATGCAAGACATATTTATAATTATGCGGATTTCGCTTCGTAAAAAGGTATTGCAAGTTCTTAGCTACCTACTGTATATTACACACTATATAGCTTCGCTTAATTTATTTTTTGTGCGAGTAAAAAGGAAAAATAAAAGATGAGTTTACACCACAAAAGTGACGCCAATAATGATTGAACTACAGGTGCCTTATAGAAATTTGATTATATCAGAACACTTAAATGTTTACGATTAACAACTTAAGCTACAAAAGGGATTAAAATGAAAGAAATACAAATTTGGCCAATTGTTCGATTTTGAAGTATGAATATACACTTAACATATTAATCGTAAACAAGACAGTTATTGTGTCTGTAATTGCGTATGCTTTTACTAACACACTCAGTGAAGGAACTGTATATTAATTTTTAAATTGCGTCTAGGACGCCTCCAACACAGATTGCATGGAATCATTGGTGTGGTATTAAAGTGCTCGTACGATTCTCCAACCAAAGCGAACGAGCTGATAAAATGTCAAGGTGCGTCATTTTGCTTAAAGGGAATATACAACATTTGCAAACATCGAAAAACAAAAGTAACACATTTTTACAAAATAGCTTACTAGGATGGTGATAAATGACAGTCTAAAGCATCCTGTAAAATTATGGCACCTGGTGTGAAGTCATTTTCAATAAAAGTGGTATTTTGTATGCATTTCCAACAGTGGTCGGCCTACCACCGTTGGAAAAACCTAACTATTTTTCAACTTCTGTTCCAAATTTACGATTTTTTTTTTCATTCCAAATTTTGTTTGCTATTGGTTTCATGTTTATGAACGGGTGCAGGCCAGCTACACTGGTTCCCTTACCTTACAATTTTCCGGCATCTATAAATTGATCTATTTCATCTTTAGTGGAGTCAGGGAACCAGACTACTTGAACATTTGTGTTTTTCTTGGTTTTTCCAGCATTTGTTTAACACAAAACTTCACACATGTCAGTGTAACAACATTTGATCTATTATATTAACCGCTCAAATAGTTCATTTCTGAAAAATTACAGCAAAAGCCAATGATGTACATTCCCTTTAACGAACGAGTTTACCAACACGCCTAAAGCAGTTCTGTTAAATTTTTGATGATGTATTGAAACAAAATATTTACAAATTTTTGCATGTACAAAATCACAGCAAAATTACGTACAAGGCAAGCAAGAACATTACCAAAACAATCGCGGAATGTATAGAAAACGTTTGCTTTTTAGAGACATTTGCAATGTTCTACCTTTTTAAAAAATATTTAGCGACACACAAGTATCGACGTCTCGACATTAAAATATAACATTTAAGTAGTTGCATCAAATGTTTGGCTCTTAAACGTGTATGACATGTCTTTAAACGTGTTCACCTTATAAAGTTAAATGTTATTTGGAAACATGAATTTGTGAGAACATTAAAAAAAGTGTTCGTAGCATTGTATTCGAAGCTGGGGCTTTTCCCTCCACGGCGATTCAATTTTATACATATGTATTAACAAAAGTTGTTGTTTCCAAAACATCGGGTTAAGTAGGCTATTCGTCCTTCAAGAATTATAGAAACGTTTCCTTTAATATTCGTGCTTTACTGACCCATGCGTACGCAACTGTTAGCACAAAAAACATTGATCTTTGAGACTTAAAGATTGAAAAAGAAGCAGTTTGGAATCTCCTTCATATATAGCTCACCAGCTTCCTGCCGAGTCGCGTTGTTCAGTTGACACTGCATCTTCCCTGGGCCTATCTCAAGCAGGTTGAAGGAGCCGCATCGGGGATCCGATCGGCAGGCCTTAGCGCACGCCAGCACGCCAGGCACCGGTAGCTCCTTCACGATGTGATCGACGAGGCACGGTGAGGCGAGACGGCCAGCGGGGTTGGTCTCAGGGCAGAACAGGGTGGTTTCTTTCTGGCTTGGTCGTTCACAGGCTGCGTAATTAGAAGCCGAGCAGCGGTTGTCGTCCCATTTACCATTGTAGGCTGTCCACATCTGGCCACAATCTGCATCGACAACACCTCCGAGGTTATTAGGCTCACCTACATGCCAGTTTTGGTAGGCATTTGGTTCGCCTCTCAACGGACAGTGCTTCCATGTCCCTTCCACCTCCATGTCATTACAGCCGATCCACAGATCCCCCGTGGGATTCTGATCAAATGCACTGAGGAAAAACTCCCACAGGAATTCTTGTTCGTCTTGCGAATTAGGAATAGCAAGTTTCGCTCGGGATTGGACACAGGTGCGATTTGCCTGGTGCCAGTCCATGCGTTGGGTTATCAGCAGATAGCAGGATTCATCGTACTGCTGCCAGTTCGGAGGGCAAATTGAAGCCGAAGAAAGGCTACAGACGGAACCCAAAGCGAATAACAAAGCAAATATAGGATTCATTGTCGGGCTGCATCGAGATTCAAGGAAATTAGAATGTTAATGCTTGATGAGATGCCGAGCAGGGAGATTGAGATGACTGAGTTATCTGCCAATCGAACGGGAAAAGAACACTCAGACGATGTGTCCGACACTTCAGAATTTGTGGCTTTTCACCAGCCGCATAGCTAAAGTAACAGATGGGGCAGGAATTTGCGCGTGTCCCACATGTAAGGTCTTGATTGGTTGACAGGCCTCAATCCATGGTCACGTGCCAACCGTTGCTTGGAGGCAGTGGGTGCTGCCTTTGGTAATAATAGTTATTGGCCTGCATTAGATTATTGAAGCGAATCAAGGTTTTGGTGTCTTTTTTAAGCGAAGTAGGCAGAGTACGTTGTTTATATTGGCCTGTTTTTGTTCTCGTGAATTTTGCTTATTCGTTAACCAACATCGAGGCAATATTGAGTTGATGAAGATGTTTACTTTTAATATGCGCACGACTGTTATCTACCTGTGTGTGGTGTAAGAATGCCTGTGAATCATCGAAGCTAATTATAAGTTCCTTTGGTGTTTTCATAGGAAAACACTGACTACTGTCCAATTAGCCATTGTCTCCTTACTTGCGTCTGGACCATGCGTGGTTGATGAAATAAAAAGAAACGCATACCGAGAAAACACAATATGATAGGCCAGCATTTGCTGCAGTGATGCTCGGTCTTCTAAAATGGGAAAAGACCGTAAATTATTGAACAGGAAAAAATATACGAACTTTCCCCATTTCGAGGATAATTACCGAACAGTTCACAGTCGATTGCAGGCCTAATGGAACGATGGACTAACAAAAATACAGCTTTTACTGCGAATCATTGCGCGTTGCATCCACTGAATAATGCACCCCTTTCGCGTATACAGGGGTAGTATTCACTGAATGACTTCAGTCATGCATCAAAACACCCCATTTAAATATGACGAGAGTTAATATTTAAGCAGTACTCATGAAACATTTGCACTAAGTGCCCCTCTTATTTTTGTGACTTATATTTAAGACCCCTTGAACAGGAAAACTAACGTGCGAAATTTCCAGAATTTGCAAATTTGCTTGGTGTATTGGTTCCTCAAGAAAATCACCCTCGAAAAAGGCCTTTGTAAAATTGTTACTAGCCATCTCCATTGATGGAAACTGAAATCTCGCATGACGTGATAGAGAAATATCGTGCCAAAATGTGACCTTTCGTTTCCGAAAATCTAAAATACATGTGGACTAGTGGAATTCGGCAGACTCGAATACCATAGTCTGGTACTCGGTGTACTCGGTGTTCTCGTTAAACGATGAAACTGCTGATGAGGACTGCATTTAAACCAGCCCAACTAAATCTAGAACCCATCGGCTGTAGGTACGTAAATCTTCGCGTTATACATTAACTTGCGTAAGAACTAAAATTTTTAGTTCTTACGCAAGTACCCTATGTAAAACCAAACGGGAGCAAACAAGGAGACCTAGGAACGATAATGCCAGATGTGGAAGTTCGTAATTAAACTTCGTTTTTCTATCTTCAAGCGCATCATTTTGTTTTCTTTAGGAATACCGAGACAAAATTCCAACTTGAATGTTTCTTGGGGCTGATTACGGCTTAAAATCATTTTGTCCAAAATTTAAGCGAGAAAAGGGCAATCTAATGTAAAATGCCCGTAAGCGGGCGGCCCGCCGGCCACGCAAGGGGTCCAGAAGCTCGCAACGAGACATTTTACTTTCAGGCTCTATTCATCGGATTCTTGGAAAATGCATTCGAAAAAAAAATTGAAAGATGACGGGGATTTTACCTAAAAGTATTCGTAAAATGTAAAACCCCTATTAAGAAATTCAAGGCTAATAAGCATCAACATATAATCCCATCGACTTAAAGAAAACAACGACACAATGCCCACCAACGTGAAATGACTTGGGGAGGAATCGAACCCCTCACTCCTTGAATTCCTGACCGGCTGTTCGCTGGACGGTCACTACTGATGTGTCGTGGGTCAGCATGAGCCTGTCCCCGACAGGGCGCGCGTTCTGGCGCAAAAGACCCAGGAACATTTCCCGCCTCTCCACCGGAACCTCTTTCCGGAACTGCCTCATGTGGGACAGAAAATCCAGAATGAGTGCGCCCTCTGTCGACCTGTTGTCGAAACACTCTGTAACGTCGATGTGGTAGCGGGGACCGTCCACGCGGTCGTACTTGATATCGCTGGCATCCAGGAACGACTGCAGTTTCTGTGCGGTGTAGTAGCGGTAACCAGGGATATCTGGAGAAAGGAAATGCCTTTGCACTTGGGACAGGTCGTCGGTCTCTGTACAGAAATATGGAAAGAATTTTAATTCAGGTGATACGCCACGAGACATTCTATTAACTCATAAACTTCATTCACCTGTCATTCACCTGTCTCATAAAAATAGACATAATTGCCAGCGCCTTGAGTACCTTGAGTACGTGTGCTCAAGGTACGAGTACGTGTGCTGTAAAAGACTCCAGTATTATTAACTGGCATTTGTAAATTGTGAGTTGCTTACTGTCAAATTTTAAGGATGAAAAAGTGGCCCTTTTTAACCGGTACATGTTCTCACTTCATCACAAAATAAACGATCAGGGGATCATTGTTTGAAGACAATGTGGTTATTTTTTTTCTTTTTTTTCCCCGCTTTTCGTATTTATCTGATAAAGATAATCATTCGACGTCTCTCGGCGTTGTAAACCACGGTGAAACAGCCTTCATTACGAACACATTTTCGTTAAAGTAGGTCCGGTACTTCCGTATTAATTTATTCATTATCGAGGCTTGAGGTTTTTGCCGAAGTCAATTGAGTTTGATTGTCCGTCTGATAAGGTTTGTGCACAAAACCGGCGGCACGGGAGTCAGTGTGTAGAATGATTAGAGGACCAACTTTTAGTACGGCAATGTGTCTGTAATGTTACAGAGCTGGAGTGGCGTTTCACAGAAGAAAAATGTAGTCTTGTAATTTAATTTCCTTGTCATACCGGATTTGAGTTCGAATAGCAGAACTCCGCCCTCCGTCAGCAGGTTGTACAAATAGGGCACTTTGTCCTCCATGCGGCCACCGTAGTAAATGGAGTGCATGGATGTGATGACGTCAAACTTTACATCGCGCCCTTTGTCGTCACTGGCTTGGTAGGCCTCCAACGTCTGTTGTCGCCAGTCGAATTCGACACCCTCGGCGAGAGAAGGGTCCGCTTGCACCAAAGCCTGGTAGCTGGCTATTGACTCGCCACTCGGTTCCAAAACACGGCTGTAGATCTGCTTGAATGTACCGAGGAGAACCTGGAGTAGGTGTCCTTCAATCCGGCCTGAAATCGGGAATTTAGGGGATTTTATACAAAACAATTGCTTGTTAACATCATCATGTTGATAGAATCTGTCATTGGACGACAGAGACTTATGTGAATGAGCGGAATCCTGTTCCCGGACTGTGAAGACTTTTAAAAAAGGGACCAATTTTCGAGCTTCTCGAAAATTCAATCTTTTAAACGCTATTTTTCGAGCAAAAGAATTTACTTGCATTTTGAAAGAGACTTCGAACACAGAAATCCACTCATTATGTGATTGAATTTTTACTTTAAAAATTTGCGACCTGACGCCATTCAGGTAATCGTTTCTGCGTTATAACTTAATACGAGGCAAAAAAGCAACGCAAAATAAAAATCTGTTTCTTTCTTTTTTTCAGAGGAAAAGTAGGTTTTTGTGGTTAATTTTTTTTTAAATACAATTTTCAATTAACATCGTTCTGAGAGAGAAAACAAAATCGAATGTTTCACCCTTTTCTTTCCATCACACACAGAACACCCTCAACACAGATTATATTTACCACTTTTCAGAAAGGCGGCACATTGACATGTGGACATGTTTGGCTGCCCATACACCAACCTTATACCAGCTGAGAGAGTGTTTTCGGATCGCTCTAATGGTGTAGTTTATTTATAGCGTTACCGTTACAAAAAAATGAGAAATGTGCTTCAGAAGTATCCACGCACAATTTGTGGTATGGAGTGCCATTTGGTCATGTGGTGAAATGGCTTTCAGTTTGATAAATGGGACCAGATGAACAAAAAGGCACGGGGGACTTCTTTTTTACATCACGTAATAGAGCAAGGTTCAAAGAAAAAACTTAACACACAACCATGATTTTAATCCCTCCTTGGCAGTGAAAATCTGGGCTGAAAAAAAGTGAGTTTTGGACTTGTGGTCATTTCTTCACACGCTAGTGATTTCCGCATGACTGAGCAAACACTTTGTCCCGGTGAGAGTCCAGGGGTCAATAAACAATGTGGTAATGAAAGAGTTAACAGCCAGGTATCATGCCAAAAATGCCCGAAACGAAATACCATCTGCTGAACATGCGCAGTAGGGGACATTTTTGGGGACATTATAGGCCTTTCTTTTGTTTGTAAACATTGCCGCCATTTTGTAAGGGCTGCCGTAAGCGCATTAATTGAAGCCGTGGTTGGCAACATATTTTTCCAAAAAAGTCCTCATAACGCCATCAACACAAAGTAAAAAGGCATGTGTAGGAATTATTGTGTAGCTTTGTTGAAATGTTGTATTTTCAAGTATCAAATAATATTTTGATGTTCTGTAATAATTCTTCTTCATAGTTTTGCAGGCCGTGGTTGGCAAAAATGCAGTTTGCCAACCAAGCGCAGAAAGGTCTATACTGTCCCTTCTTGCCAAATGTTGTCAAAACCTTGCATTAAACTGTGAGTATTGTAACAGACCTTTGCTAGCTGTCATCCGAGCGGTTTATCATCTACACGTAGTCATAATCATATCCCCTTGGAATCAGCACCGGCCGGCGCGGCCCAAATGGGGAAGGGAATTATGGGAAATAGGGTGGAAATAGCCGGGCCCCGTTCCGCACCCCCCGCGGCCAACGGGCGCGGGCGGGACGGGAGACCGGTCGGGAAAATGGCAGCGCCCTCCGATTATTTTCGTGATTGTAGTATAGATGGTCGCTGGCCACGTGTCGAAACCATGGGCACGGGATCGAGTGAGTGTCCTGTGTGTATTTTACCCCAAACTGACCTTGAGTAGGGCCAGTCACCTTTCACTTTTATGCGGACTGTTCTTTGACCACTGGTTTAGATGTTTCATTCATACAACCTGTGCCTCCCAAACCATCGCCAGCCAAGTCACATGTCACCCCACCCTCAACCCTTATACTCAGCTCACTGCACTCTTTGGTTCCCTACCGCTTCCAACCCCAACATCCCTGCCCAACCACCCCTCCTTCCTGACCCACCCAACTTACCCCTCCCACTGATTCCTCTCCGTCCTTCCCCCCAGTACTCCATCCCACACTCACCCAAACCTGGGATAGGTATTCCTCTCACTCGCACAAGAAGCGGACGAATAGTCTCCCGCCCTATCCATCTTGGTTTGTCTACCGATTCATATTATTAGAATGTACTTAACGTATTTCACAGTAGTTCAAGTATACCTCATTTATGTTCACTTTTTTCATGTTGTACATGTCTGCTTGATTAGACATTGTATAACTATATACATGTATAAATAATTTTATCATTTTGTTGTTGTTTCCACATTGATCCGCCAAAGAAACAATGACTATTTGGTTTTGTATTATAAAGCCTTATATTGTAGTTAGTTCCTGTAGTAATTAGGTTGTAACAATTTCGCTTATTTTATACTTATTTTATTTGTTTAAATGTCACACATAAGGTGTTCTCATTATTTGCCCGATTTGTCAGCTTTCTTCTCTATTCATTGTTGCATTTAATTTGTTTGTTCTAGTTTTACTATAATATACATGTATCTTAATGGTTTTAATATTATTCTTTGTGTTTCATTTTTTTTTCTCATTATTTTGAAAATGAGGACATTTTCTTTTTCACTGATGAAAGTAATGTAAGCCCAGATTTAGAATCGCAATTAGCTTTAATCACATTATCCCCACTTATTACCCGTTGATATCTTTAAGATTATTTTAAATTACTTTGTGGTCCACAGAGACACCCTGTCTCCATTTGTGTGGTCACACTGGGCTCGGTCGTAGACCTGTAAAACCACATCCTAGATTCCTAGTATTTACTGTCCTTGGTTTAATTCACTTACAGTTACACACAATCCATTATGTTCCATTCCTGTATTTGCCCCTCTCCCCCTCAGTCCTCACTTTCCAACTTTCCTTGTTCTCCTTTCACTGTCTCTCTCTCTGTCAAGCGATTTTAGTCGGTGCTCTCAATAAACACACCTGACCCTATAATCCTTGTCACGAGTTTTATTCCTTCAGTGAAAGTTTCTTCTCCGTCTTCAACTTAATGATTTTGTCCGCTCCGGCTACAGTGTACGCTACTAGGAGACATATCATTCTATACCTCCATGTAACCAAGACTCTAGGACTGGTACACAACCACCACCTATGAACAAAAACTTGTGTTACAATACCAAGACAATGACATCATAAACAAGGGACGACTGCAGGTCGTCACAGTACACGTATTGTCATTTTTTTCGTTCTCTGTTCATGCACTTTCCGAGTTTCCGTGCTTCTTAACCATGCAGACGGGAACTATATTTCTATGGAAAAGTACAAGATTATCATTTAATATAAAAAAAATAGAAGCTATACATCAATAAATTTCCAGCGAGGAAATGAGGTTGTTTGTTAATCATTCAAGCTACATGTATTCACGATCTTGAGTTACTACTCATGATTTGCATAGCTAGAACCATGCTATAACATTGCGTACGCAGGAAATTTTTCTTTTTACAACTACAACTATTCAAGCACATACAGAAATAATTATTTAGTTTTAGAATGTGAAAGAAGAAACTTAAGTTTCATCTGCATTTTTATTGTAATTAATCCTTCAAAAAGAGCATACATCACAATGATCACATTACATATCATACTTTATATAGCAATAAAATCATCAAGTCAGGATACCCCTCCTTATGCAGCTCGCCTCAGAAGCACCGGATAAACTAGTAGGAGTTAGAATAAACAGAAGGCTACACACTAATCCAATTACCCCCCCCCCCAACTCTGGCCAGCCCCACACCCAGAATGAGAAGTGACCACCTGCTAAAAGCAAGGTCAGGTTACAACCACTTGTTTTGCCTTCCGCTGGTAACCAGTCTCACCCAACTTGTTTTATAGTTCCATGCACGGCATGTACATGTACACACGACCTTGCATACCAGTCAGTACCAGAAACTGTCTGTGTAGCAGATTTGAATTCAGTCAGTTGGACCAAAGTGGACCATGGAGCCACGGGCGGAAGGATGTACATGTATTGTCATTGAGTGGTCGGGCACAACCCGACCACTCTTTGGATTTGTTGCGATTAATCTTTCTTTCTTTCTTTTTATTTTTTTCCGGACAATACTTCTCCGCGGGTTTTCTCTTAAACGGTATATGGTATGAACTTGTAACTTTCAATATATATCGACCCTCATCCGAAGTGGTGCATATTACTCTGAAGTCATGATTATGTCATCAGGTGTCAAATTACAAGTGATTTTAACTGAAAAAGTGACCAAATACTTTCACTTATAACTCTTGAACTAAACATTTAATGATGTTTGTATTCTGTAATCAGATAGACCATTAATCGCTAAACATTTTTTGCCGTGTACGTGAACTCGCTTGACCTTTACTTCTGGGTCTACCGGAAGGTCAAAGTTAAATGAATTCAAAATGAAGTCGTTAGCCTGAAATCAAAACAAAGCAACATTTCTTCCAAACGGTTCACGGTATGATCACAAAACCTTGTGTGAACTTGTACCTTGTTACGGAGATGTTATAATTTTTGTTACGCCATCATGACGTCATCAGGTATCAAATTACAAGCGATTTAAGGGCGAATTTTGACAAAATAGGTTGCGTATATCTTTTGAACTAAATAGAGTATCGTGTTCGTTTTTTCGTGAGGTTGTAGACTATGCCGTGAGGAACATTTCTTGTCCCCAGACACAAAACCGCTTGACCTTTACTTCCGGTGTTACCGGAAGTGCATTAAAAACTGAATATAGCTCAAAAGCAGAAGCATTTTACTACAGACACATATATTATAAAAGTGTTTAGTGAGGAATGCCAGACACAAAAACAGTGTGATGGCGTCATCATCCGGAAGTCAAAGTCGTTTGACCTTTCCTTCCGGGGCTGCCGGAAGGTCAAAGTTAGGTGAATTCAAAATATAGAAATTAGCCTCAAATAAAAGGAAAACCAGATTTCTTTCCATAACCGATTGAAATCGCGCTTCACCAGTTTTCCTCTCATATGTGAATGCTGAAAATTAATATTTCTACAGCGTGTAGCCACAAACTTTTCTGTCGTAAAGTCAGTGCAGAGTTTTATTATGCCCACGCAAAAGGGAAAAAACCCATAAAAGCCATTTTATGATATGACTAGCATATGTTGCATAAACTCCAACGACGTAAGAGGCTCCGGCAAGTCTACCAATAGTCCCAACTGGTTGTATGCTTGAGTAGCCATCCATGCAGCACCAGATGTGCACTTCCTGATAGGCCTACAAGGCTTGTCGAGGTAGCAACAAGTTCAACTGCAGGTTGTTTGATTTTCTTTGTGAAAAACACAGGGTAATGGATGCAGGGTAATGGGAGGGGTAATGTGCAGTTCAATTATGATTAAGTCACTGTAAACACAAGAAAATATGCCAGCCCGACCACTCTGCGTTTGTAACTCAACAAACGCGAACCTCTAGTGATTGTACTTGTTTACATACAAGAAGTTTGAGACGAAATTGCTCAAACCATGAATGTTGGCAGTAAAGTGCATGCCTATGGAAACTTTCAAGAATTAATTGCTGTTCTTGGAAACACATTTGGTGGAGATTTAACTGTGTGTGTAATGTTGCCTACATCTCCGGATGATCATGATTTGCACGGTGCTGTACTACTCTGCTAGAATTACGGAAGACGTGAAGGGTGAAAACGATGGTGACTGATGGTGAGTAGAGAAGATTTGATTTAAAACCACCTTAATAGATACCTTTGTTGCAGAATAGAATAGTGACATTATATCAATATTTTATAACAAACTGTCAATGTTGTTGTCTCAGTCATGTCGGTCATTATACAGTTCGTGATCACCAGATTCCTTCCTCAGCAAAGTTGCAAGTGAACATCAATTTTTACGAACTACAAAAGTACATGTAACTGGTCATGCTTGTTTAATATGGGTCAAATAGCTTCTGCCCAAGTCCCACGTACTGGGTCGCTATAACTCCTTTTTGACATTTGGGATGTTGGTCTGTCGTACTTAGCTACGACAGACCAACATCCCAAATGTCAAAAAGGAGTTATAGCGACCCAGTTAGTGGGACTACTTCTGCCCAAACTCCTTCCCTAAACCATGGAGAAAGTATTCCTCCATGACTAAACTAAGGGGTGCATCAATAGATATAATAGGGTCGAATCAACAAATAAGAGTCAGCTGACTTGACATGTTTGAGGAATAAGATTCTGAATAAGAACAGCATTGAGGAATAAGATTCTTAGGTCATCATGGCCATGTTTGTTAGTAGACATTAATTTCATTAACATCACACTTTTTTGTAAAAATTATCATTTACAAAATGAACAATTCATTTTCACCACTGCAGACTTCCTCAAGTGATACATCTAGAATTCTACATCTACCTGTCTCCATGATCCTTTGCGCTATGCATGGATATGATCTACCAAGAACTACCGAGATGAGCTGCAGTATGTGCATGTACAAGACAAAGACTGTCTGACTGCTTCTGCCCCGGCTCTGCAAATTGGAGGCAGCGGCATGCATCCTTAAGAAGCAGTTGGAATCATCGTCCTAATCTACAAGATGTCAGTTCCGGAAACTACAATGGACACTACTTTTAAAAAGATTATCGTACAGTTTGTTCCATACATACACACATGAACATGCAAATGATATACAGGTATGTCACAGCTTGATAGAATGACTATTGGAAATTACGATCAGTACTTTCCTTCAAACTTCCAATTTTAGTTGTCAAACATGTCTGAATACCATTGCCTTTCAACAAAGCTCTATGCATGGTTTTACAAACTGAATATAGGCATGAATTGTTGCAACCACAAGTCATTCATGCATGTGTCTTTCTTGCCAAATTTATAGTATCCCTCTCAGGAAAACAATTCATATTAAAATGTGTTTATTTTTTTTTTTTTAGCCCAACTTCTGCTATTTTTGTCACCACATTAACCGTGTACACTGTACAGACTGTGTTCATTATTGGTGCCTTTGATTTTAATACGCTGCACTGGAAAGATATCTGCTCATCCCCTATATGCACAAATTTGTAAATTCAGAAGATTTTTTTTTAAAAAGAACAGAATATGTCTGTCCAACTGTAATTGTGTCATGATTGTTTTCCTGATTTTATTTAGTATAAAGAGTAACGCCATGGTTATGTCACATTTTGAAGTTAACAGAAATCTTTATTAATTTTCAATCAAATTTTTCTCAATGAAAATGTGTAAAAATTTCTGCAAGAATTGCATTACATGTTTTATAGAAAAACCTATCATATTTCTAAAGAATTCTATTAAGCGAAGCTTATAGAAAAGGGCCAAACTTCTATAGAATTTTATAGAGTTCTATAGTCTATACAATGTTGCAAAACATAGCTTGAAGCTACACATTTCTATAGAGTTCTATAAAACGTTTTTAGAGAAATTTGAAACCTCTAGACAATTCTATAGAGTTCTATAAAATAGTTCATAGCAAAATGTCCAAATTTTCTATAGAGTTCTATATAATATTTTTATAGAAATTACAGAAATTCTGAATAAAATTCTATAGAGTTCTATAAAATAGTTTATAGAAAAAGTTCCAAATTTTCTATAGATTTCTATATAATATTTTTATAGAAATTACAGAAATTCTGAATAAAATTCTATAGAGTTCTATAAAATAGTTTATAGAAAAAGTTCCAAATTTTCTATAGAGTTCTATAGAATATTTTTATAGAAATTGGAGAAAACCTCTATGAAATTCTATAGAGTTCTATAAAATATTTCATAGAAAAAGTCCAAATTTTCTATAGAGTTCTATAGAATATTCTAAATATAACTAGCCTTATTTCTATAAAATTTTGTTAATTGTTCTATAGAAAAGGTATAATTTCTATAAAATTCTATAAAACGCTGTATAGAATTATGGCCCATTTTTCTATAGAATCTCTATAAAATCTCTATAAAACCTTATAGAAGACTTCTAAAGAAACTCTATAAAATTTCTATAGACAAAATTCTATAGAATGCTTTATAGAATTTCTATAGAATTCTTTCGTATAGAATTCTATAGAACTTTTTTGTAAGGGTATGTCCATTTTTCCAACAACTTTTTTCATTAAACAAATGTTAAAGGGGAAAAAGGAGAACAAAAACCTACAACTGTCTTGCTGTGATTCTGTTAAAATTACTGATTTATGAATGGAGCGCCGTACTCCATTCGAAGTGCAAAATAATGGTAAGAAAAAACAACAGTGTGACGTACGTCACAGGAGGGTGTTTGAAGAGTCTTCTTACCAGAACCACTACCAACGCCCAGGTGGCGAAGTGGCTCATCAATTGGCGGTTGCTGCCCCTCCATCCTTCTGCCTAACTTGTCCGTCAATATCGCACCAACACCCAGCAGCCTGTTGTCGATCGCTGTGCCAAGGCTCTTGCGGCTTGTCGTGGCGCAGCAGATCAGAGCCCCACAGAAAGCCTTGTAACATTTCTGGTAGTGGTCCGCGTCCAGTGGAAGCGTTGGGTGAAATCTAAAAGAACTGTCCAACTGGACCTCCATATTACTATTCCGTAACTTATGTAAAAATACCGAGAATCACTGACAATGCTTGCAATAAGTTGAAATGTACCCTTCGAAGTGGCTGGATACACACCAATACATGTATGTTCTCAAACTACATAGGTTAACCTTGATCCTACACCACGGATCCTACACACAAGCGGGATTACGTAACGACTCAGACAGCCCATGGACAGCCCAACTCCTGGTTAGACGCGTGATATATAACGGCCCGTACTGGCGGGCAAATACACCATGAATACATGTACTTTTCAACAAAGACCACTGCGCGCGGTGACTTTCAGAATTGCAAGGCTCTGCGCCCGATCTGGCCTGGAAGTCTGCCACGCCAGCAAATAAAATTTTTGAATATTCATGAGTCTACGTTTTTGGGCTTTATTAATTTGATTCTGATAACTGATAACTACATAACCATGGTAATGCCGAGCACAATATCTTTAGCTTTAAGATGAACAATGAAATGTCGCTTTTGTTTCATCGGTCCAGCATCACATCTCTCTAAAACTTTTTAATAAAAGCCTAATTAAAAACGAAATTTTGGTTAACGGTGTTCTCCTCGAAATTTGAAATTTCTCGGGTAAATACTTCATTTATGACGACAAAAACTGCACTTCGCCCGCCGCCGCCCGCCGCCGCCCGCCGCCGCCCGCCGCCGCCCGCCGCCGCCCGCCGCCGCCCGCCGCCGCCCGCCGCCGCCCGCCGCCGCCCGCCGCCGCCCGCCGCCGCCCGCCGCCGCCCGCCGCCGCCCGCCGCCGCCCGCCGCCGCCCGCCGCCGCCCGCCGCCGCCCGCCGCCGCCCGCCGCCGCCCGCCGCCGCCCGCCGCCGCCCGCCGCCGCCCGCCGCCGCCCGCCGCCGCCCGCCGCCGCCCGCCGCCGCCCGCCGCCGCCCGCCGCCGCCCGCCGCCGCCGCCGCCGCCGCCCGCCGCCGCCCGCCGCCGCCCGCCGCCGCCGCCGCCGCCCGCCGCCGCCCGCCGCCCCCGCCGCCGCCCGCCGCCGCCCGCCGCCGCCCGCCGCCGCCCGCCGCCGCCCGCCGCCGCCCGCCGCCGCCCGCCGCCGCCCGCCGCCGCCCGCCGCCGCCCGCCGCCGCCCGCCGCCGCCCGCCGCCGCCCGCCGCCGCCCGCCGCCGCCCGCCGCCGCCCGCCGCCGCCCGCCGCCGCCCGCCGCCGCCCGCCGCCGCCCGCCGCCGCCCGCCGCCGCCCGCCGCCGCCCGCCGCCGCCCGCCGCCGCCCGCCTCGTATCAAATCCTTTGTGGTCAAAAGGACCCCATGTAAACTGGCCAAAGCGCACAGCCAGATGACCTTGGACACACAGAGATAAGAGCTCCCGGGCTCTGTGTATACAGTAGCGCTGCCTAGCACGTGTACAATAAACTATGGTGGCCCTGAAGGGACATCGCATATCGCACTTGCTACTTGCGCAACTTTGAAATTTGCGCGCGCAAGTTTGAAACTTGCGCGCGCAAATTTCAAAGTTGCGCAAGTAGCAAGTTTGCGCTCGACAGTACTAGTAGTAACGATTGCACGAGGAACAGCGTGCGCGCGAAGATTTATTAGTCAGACCCTATTTATATCTAACAGTACGTCTAGATTCCAGACTAGCTGCTACAACTCCCCAGTTCATTAGGAATTTTACTGAAAGGTATGCGACAAGGTATGCAATAAAATTCACGACATTGCAAACAAATTCGCATACGTGTGCGCACATATTCGCGAATTGTTTCACGACATCGCATACGTGTGCGCACATATTCGCGATTAATTTCACGACATCGCATACGTGTGCGCACATATTCGCGATAAATTTCGCGACATCGCATACGTGTGCGCACACGTTTGCGAAATGCGATGTCCCTTCAGGGCCACCATAATATGCAGACCCTACGCGCTGAGCCATTGAGCAACGGCAAATTTATTGGAGTTTAGATGTACAATTCTTTAGTAAATGAATACACGTGAGCCTAAACCTTAACCAATCACAATAAGGGTTATATTGTTGGAAAGCTGACGCGTCGAAGAAAAATGACTCGAGAGATCTAAGCTCCCAGGTGGCGCTATTTAACGTTATGATGATGTTGATGGACCAGTTCTTGGCTGAACGCGTGGTTTACACACAAAACAGGGAGATTTTTGACTGAAAATGCAATGTTTAACATCAATTCGCGAGTGAAACTCAGTGTTTTATTCAGTTTTTCTTTCATTTTCTGAAAGAGTATATTGTTAGGGTCACACTGTAGTGAGATCTAAGGTATACCCTGTCGAATAATAAGTAGTGGCGACAGATGTGAAAAAAGGCCCGTTTTTAATGATTTTTTTCGCCGCGTTCTCTCATAGAGGTTGCACATAAAAACCGGCCCGGTGGGTAATTAGTTCCCCAGAGGAATTCATATCATCTGATATATCCTGAAGTATTCATTTAAAAAAAAAAAAATTGGAACAATTGTATTTTAAATAAGAAGTAGTTTTGCTTATAGTTTTATGAATATTTCCGTTTTAGATGTCGTGCAAACACCAAACACAATGGCACATCTGGAAAATTCGCGATTACAAGCCAACGGATATTTATTGTCCGTTATCACGCATCTAACCAATTAAGGCAAGTCCACTGAGTGCATTTTGTACTAGAGATCAGAACAGTCGTTTATCCTGGTGTCTAGGATCCGTGCGGCCACCAATGATGTGGAGAAAATTAAGCAACCGTGCCAACTTTTTCCATCTCTTTTTTTTAGGTATGACCCAGAATACGTAATCCAAACCATTCAAGCAAGACTGTCTAAAACTAAAAATGTGCACTTGGCCAATTTTAAACATTCTGTTTAAAAGACCGATATAGGAGTCTCGATGCTGATATCTACCCAATCGAACGAAGGCAAAGGGTAATATATCAGCATCCAGACTCCAACCGGTCTTAAACAAAGTGTTTAACACCGGCCAAGTACATATTTACTCAAATTCATCAATATGGTCAACTCTCTTTGAGCCGAGATGGCGACACGTGTGTACGCGCACATTTTTGCTCCGACTCTCCTTCAAAATATGAATACGGCGCCAAATCTTCCTGAATATGGGACCTGTGCCACACGACTCGACCAAGAAACTGTTACAGCAAAACGTAGGCTTAGATGCTTTACAAGAAGCGAACAACCTCTTCCAGTGTGCGACCAATTGAGCATAGGGAAAAGCAACATGGCGACGAGCGATCTTCACAAGGTACACGTGAACAATGGATATTGAAATCGAGAAGATCGATCGAAGCTGTGATCACATTCTTGAACTTTACTCATATCTAAATGATGAACGGCCAAAGTTTCCAAAGGCGTGTTTTCATCATCGAAGCTAAAATCATTCAGAAGTGAATGTCCCCTCGCCCAAGATTCCCAAGAGAAAATTGCAAATGAGAGATCGACTGCCAAAACAATGGCGGCGCCATTGTCCCCATCGACAGTCCCACATGCTGCAAATTCCCAAATTGAAGACTTAAAAGATTCCATCCAAGATCTGAGAAACGAAATATAGTCCTTAAAAAACCCTGTTCGCCGAGAGTATGGATTACAGATGACAAGCCCGGGTTCTAGAAAATGAGCGCAATAACCTTCAGGCCGCCATTGATTTGCTTATGCACGGTGAAGCCAAGCATCAGTAGTACTGTTGTCATATAGCAACGCAATCCACTGCCGTCTCCAAGACTCTCAATAAAAGCATTAGATCGCCCCAACTAAGCCATTCGTTGCCAGTCATTAAGGACAAAAGACAATCACAACTGTCTTCACCAAGTACTTCCCCACCGAAATCTACATCACCTGAATCCTTTGTCCCCCTCACAAATCGATTATCTGTGTTAACCGACCATGAACAACCAGACCAGCAAGAACCATCTGCAGAGGAAGTGATAGATCACTACTTCAATGAATTGATCGAACAAAAAGAAACCCCGGCAAAATTCTCGGAACAGATTAAACAATACAGAACAGATCAAAAATCTAAATATGAGTCCCATGCCGACGTTCTATTGATCGGAGACTCAATGATAAAGAAGATAAGGGGACCTCGTCTAAGCAGAACCAAGAAAGTCATTTGCTACTCCTACCCTGGCGCCAAGGTAGATGACATCGCCAGCAAGGAACAGAACTTAGTTCTAAAGCACGCTCCAAATGAAATCATCCTACATGTGGGGACAAACAACACCAAAGATGATGCAAACTCCCTGATCGATAAAATCCAGTGCGTTGGTAGACGCATGCAGACAACCTCGCAAGCTAAAATCACAATTTCCTCAATCATCCACCGAAGAGAGGAAAACTGCGGAAGACGAGCAGAAGTTAGCTTCATCAATACTGGTCTGAGAAATGTAGCTGAGCGTTCTGGTTGGGGATTCATCGACAACCATAATATCACTACCACCCATCTTGAACGTGATGATGTCCATCTTAAGCAAAACGGCATTGCGTCCTTTGCCAAGAACATCATCAAACATCTCCACATCCGACCATCTGTTCCCAGAAACGCGGCAAAGACAAACAGCGTTAACCAGCGCAGTTATGCCAGTGTCCTAGCAGGCCCTTCCCCTTCGTCTCAGCCTCGCAACTACGAGGATTTTCGGATGTGCCAGCCCAACAACGAAAGGAAAAAAAATGACGCCTCCCCTGCCAAACCAGACAATAGCCGCTCAAAGTCGAGACTGGAAACTGTACCTGGAACTCGTGTCAAAGGTCATGAAATCCCAATAACGAAAACTAACACCCGGGATCTAAAATGTATCTCTCTTAATGCCTGTAGCCTAGGGAATAAAGTAACTGAAATTAAATCCCTTCTTGAATTTGAAGATGCTGACATCCTCTGCATCACAGAAACTCACCTGAATGACGATATGTTCATGCAGTTCTGAAATATTTCCAGATCACTACAATGTCTTAAGGAAAGATAGAAACAGACACGGTGGCGGGGTTGTGATCGCCTATAAATCCAGTTTATCTGTCATTCACAGATCAGATCTTGATTCAGAGTGTGAGATTCTTTGGTGTGAAGTTTGTTGTAAAAGAGGTAATTCTATCTTACTTGGTGTATTCTACAGACCTCCATCCAGTGGCACTGACACTATTAAAGAATTAGCCTAGTGTCTTGATTTTTTTAACCTTCCTGGTTGTCGTAAGTTAAGCAATGTTGTTCTTACAGGCGATTTCAACTTCCCTTATGTCAAATTAATGGGACGGTGGTCAGCCTATAAGAAACGCTACGGTAAATGAGGTCACTGATTCTTTTCTCCAAATTGTTGAGAATAATTTCCTGTTCCAACATGTGGAGGAAGCCACCAGAACCACCTCTACCATTAGCAACATTTTAGATCTTGTCTTTACCACCCATCCTAATGTTGTATCAGATGTTCATATTATTCCTGGCATTAGCGATCACGACGCCATTGTTTTTAAAATCCATTCTTGTGCTAAAAAGCAAAAGCACAATGCGAGGAAAATCTACCAGTTTTCCCAAGCTGATTTTGAGCAATTTCGTGCTGACTTACACGCTGCTCCATTGAGGGACATCATCGATAGCAACAATATCGAGAACTATCTTGGTATTTATGAAAAACCAATGGTTTTGAGTATCGCTGATATGAACATCCCTCAAAAACAGTCCAGTTGTAAACACCATTTACCATGGATGAATAGTGAAATCAGAGGCTTGATGAGAAAACGAAATAGATTTTTCAAGCGTGCTAAAGTAAGTAATAGTATCACGCACTGGGAAAAATACCGTTCTTTGAGACGAGAGGTGAAAAACAGGCTGCACAAAAGCCACACTGAGTACGTAGCGTGCACTATTGCTAATGTCCAGCAAAATCCTAAAAAGTTTTGGAATGATGTTAAAACTTGTAAGAATGTGACTACAAGGGCTGAGTGTCTCAAAAGAAATGTTGATATTATTACAGATGAGAAAGAGAAAGCGGAGGTACTAAATAACCAGTTCAATTCCGTCTTTGGAACTGAAGTCCCTATTAGAATTCCTACAACGGAGAGATATGACATTCCTGTTATGAGCGATATCAATTGTAGTGTCTATGAAGTCTGTAAACTGCTGAAAAATATCGATGTGAACAAATCACAGGGGCCTGACGGCATTGCTCCGAAAATTCTGAAAGAAAGGCGCTGAGCCACTCGCCCAATCTCTCTGCATGTTATTTAATCTGTCTTTATCCACAGGCGAAGTTCCCGAAGACTGGCGTAAAGCGATCTGTCCAGTCTTTAAAAAGGGTAAAAAAGATGACCCTTCTAACTACAGACCTATTTCCCTCACATCAGTCATTAGCAAATTACTGGAAAGAATCGTCTCTAATCACCTCACCAAGCATTTGAATGACAATAACCTCCTCAATGATAATCAACATGGCTTTAGAAAGAAACGCTCATGTGAGACTCTACTACTTGACGCAATCCATGATTGGAGTAGCACCTTAGAATCCGAGTCCAGCGTTCACATTGCACTTTTGGATTTTTCCAAGGCCTTCGATACCGTTTCACACATTCTCCTTCGCGAGAAACTAAACAGTTTGTGTCTTGGTGAATTGGATTATGAATTTTCTTGAAGCTAGAACGCAGAGAGTCATTCTTAATGGTGAATTTTCCAAATGGAGTGCCGTCAAATCAGGTGTCCCCCAAGGGACAATCCTTGGTCCTATTCTTTTTAAATGTTTTATTAACGACATTACTAAGGATGTGCATTCTACTATTAGATTATATGCAGATGACTGCATTGTTTATCGGTCAATTAAGTCTCTAGAAAATTGTAATGTTCTCCAGTATGATATAAAAGTCTTAGGCGATTGGTCTAAAAAGTGGTTGCTTGATTTCAACATCACCAAGTGCAAAATTATGAAGATGCAATTCCACCGATTACGTTTACTTTCTACAGGGCCAAACATTGCAGGAGACAGATCGTGAAAAATACCTGGGAGTGATGATAAACAAGCAATTGAACTGGAACGACCAGTGTAATGAAGTATGCAATAAGTGCAATAAACTGTTTTATTAGAAGGTCCTTCGCAAACTGCTCTGGCCAAACAAAAACACGGCTCTACGAATCACTAATCCGACCCCATCTTGACTTTTGTAGCGTGGCTTGGGACCCTTATAGGAGTTCCCACTGTGCCACGCTTGAGCGCGTTCAAAAACGTTGTGCCAGAATGGTTGGCAGGGACTGGGAATCTGGATACAATGTCTTATTACAACAGTTAGGATGGACGTCACTAGAAAACAGACGAAATTACTTGAGACTTGTAATGGCCTATAAAATAATGAACAACCTTATTGATGCAGACAGCCGTTGTAAATTCAGTCCTCTTAACAGAATTTCCCGAAATGACCATGCTTTGAAAGTCCAGGTTCCCGGCCTTCGCTAAAAGTGACTATTTTATGAATTCATATTTTGTTCGCACTGCCAATGATTGGAATGCTACTCCAGGTGATATCACTCAAAGCGCCTCCTTAAGTATTTTTTAAGTCCTTACTGATGGATTATCTTTTAACTTAGCCCCAGGTTTCAAAACTGTGTTATCGGGTTTTTTTTCTAAATTGTGTACCCGTTCTCATTGTTCACGATTTTATAATATATCTTTTAACTACATGTAATTGTATTTCTTAGTTTTTGATTTACACATATTTTTTACATTTGCTGTTTCAATTTTCTAAGTTTTATTTTTAATTCTTTTTTGTATTCTTTTGTGGTTTTTATTTTTGGAAGTAGGCCTATGTTTTAACTCATTTTTACTATATTCTACCCAAATACTTTTATTGCCCACCCGATTTTAGTTAGTTTATATATAAATATTCCTGTTTTAATATTTTAAAGCGATTGTGGATTTTATTTGGGTTTTATAATCTTTTCCACAACCCGCGACAGAAATGTCGAAGTAAATAAATATATAAAATATATATAAATTTCAAATTTTGTTCAACAATTTTACCTCATTTTTTTCGGGACACCTCTAATGTCCAGTCTCAGTCGCAAGTGGCGTAACAACTGTTTTTATTTCTAACGTGTAGTTGATGTTATTATTTAAAATGTCTTTAAAATGTGGTTGGTGTGTAGTTGGATGGAAAATGAAATGAAATAATGACAGAGATTAAAGCTTTTTTCTCATTTTTTTTATTACACATAAAAGTCATAATCGCATGGCTGATTTTCATTTATATACAAACAAGAACCAAATCGGTCAAACATGGGAATCAATTAAGCTGCCATAGAAAATATTGATTTAGAGTCCTGTATGTAGACTTGACTTTGGTAGAAAATTAATGTAACAACGATCTTACAATTTTGGAGCCTTTACAACTGTTAACATTGTAAAGCAAAATAAAGATTCTGCTCCAATAATGTCCATTAAAAAAAAAAAAAAAAAATTCACAATTTTAATGGACGTCAACTAACAATGGCCCCCTCACCATAATTTGTTACTTTATTCCTGAGAATATACTAAACAGGTTAAATTTCCAGCTGATAAGCTGCAAGAGAATTAAAGTTAAACATTTCGCATAAAAAAAATTAAAAATCTGATTGATACATTAATCACATTTTGATGCCACGATTATAGGAGCAAATTAGAAGCAATTCAAAATACAGTACGCTATCACTAGTGTTTCCATGGAAAGGCGACTTTTCCAATTCAACATCGTTCTTGATAACGTCCCAGGTGCGTTCTGCGCGACAACGCTCGGGTAATTATCAGCACCCAGACTCTAAAAGTGGTCTTAAACAGAGTGATAAAAACCTCCGGAGCACACATTTATTCCCTTAATAAAATCACCCATTCTTCATTGTTCACATGTAACAAACCACAAACAGAATACATTTGGAGGCCTCTTAAATAAACCCACAGTTGTTGACAACAAAAGCAAAATAGGGTTGCTTTGTTGCAATGCACTGCAGAATTGGCCTTTGCGTGATAACCTCTTGGTACGTACCGTGACGGCACTAATTGTGAAGTGCCTTTCTTCATTTGAACACAGAAACTGTTCGAAGGTTTGATGTTGTTTGTGACTCGCCTGGTCTTTGTTCAGGAAAGAGACTATGCAATCACTACGCGCGGTTTGAGAATTGCCTTGTTTTTAATGCAGTCCTTGAAGATCCACAATTTTTTTTTCAATTAACTTTACTTTTACGCTTTATATTGTCATTGTTTTTTCTTGGTTTTTCCAGCATTTTTGAATGCAAAACTTGAAACATGTCAGTGTAACAATATTTGATCTATTATACTAACCCCAAAATAGTTCGTTTCTGAAAATTACAACAAAAGCCAATGATGTACATTCCCTTTAAAAGGTACTTTACATCCGTTTTTAAAAATTATTTCTATGTTATGGCAAATTTCCACATTCATGAGGCCAAGTGTGATGTCATTCATGGCAGAAACTTCAGTTGTCATGTAAATCATGGGCATTTAAAAAAACAAAATTAACCATAGAGGGATATCTTATGGTTTTCTAACATTTCAGAGGATGGGTATTTGCTTAAAATATGCTTCAGTGTAAAATTAATGTCTTTAGTCCTTTAAAGTTGGGTCGCCACTGACCAAGTCTGGTACCAAGTCGTCTAGTCTTGGTAAATGTCCATTAGGGAAGACACGGTCAGAGCCTCAGTCAACGCATCGACTGTCGTATTCTCCCAAGCGTGGAACAGCTCGACGCGCTTCCTCTGGTTCATGAGGAAACCATTGTTGGAGAAGCGCCCTCGGATGCCGTGGGCCTCCAGCCAGACAAAGGGTGCGGTGGCGTCACTCGTGAGCTGGATGCTGAACGTGTTGTTCACGTTCTTTGAGACGTCAAACTTTGTCGATCAAAAGACAGAACAAGTCAATCAAAACACAGAACAAGTCAACGACTGTTTGCAACTTCTACAAATTAGAATCCAAATGATGACATTTTTCCTGTCCCTGTTACATTGATGAGAAGCAATGTGTGACAAAGTGCCTTGCCCAAGGACACAAGCACCGTAGCCGCAGGCTGGACTCGAACCCACAACCTGCAGAATTACCAGTAGACCACAAATTCAAAGCTCCAGACCACGAGACCACAACACTCCACTTACCTTGGATTCATAAGGGAATAAATACAAAGATAAACATTGAAGTAACAGTAAAATGTGACCTGTTCTGACAAAATCAGACTTTTCTGGGCGTAAGGTCAAAAATGAGATTTTTGCATATTGTTAAAATATGATCTTTTTCCTTTTAATAGGTGGTTTAATTTTTGAAACCGGTCATTCCTACGCAAAGTTATACTATTTTGAAGTTCATTGTGTCGAAAAGTAGAAAACGGAGAAAATGGCCACAAACGTCACAAAACAGTAATTTCTTTAACTGATATACCCTTAACAAATCATCAAAAATACTATATTTAGAGTTCAAATTAGGGTTTCAAACTTTTACAGTATATTCTAGACATGTTCAGGATTACAAATATGCAAAAATGTGCAAATCGAACAAAATCACTCCCTCAGCGTTTTTTGGCCCTATCTTAATTTCAACCTCTGCCCAGAAGCGTCTGCTTTTGACAGAACAGGTCACAAATTTGGTTTATCTGTGTGTAATCATTGTCATGGCTAGGATGGTACTCTTCCCCCATCCAACCTCAGTATTGCCCCCCCCCCCCCCAATATTTTACCTCAATGTTAGGTTTTTTGATCCCCTCGGCATCAGAGAATGACGACAAGAAGAAAGGGTTGATAGGGGACGCCAGCTGAGGCTGGATACCGGTGACTTGAAAGGTCAGGTAACAGGACTGTCGCTTGGCACAGTGCGTTGACAGTATCTCTGACGTTTTCCGCACTAGGACCGGCTCCGCACTCTTGTTAAACTGTTCAAACAGAAAAGTGAGGAATGGACATGTAAAATTTAGTGTGTGGCCAAGCTAATGTGACGACCAGTGAAGCAAATGGTGCCTGCACACTAAATGCATAAAACTTTTGCTAATTACTGCATTGTCACTCAATACGACATTAACAATTACAGACGGTCATTGTGATGTCATGTAAATAAGGTCTATAGACTAAAACAGCTGTTATCTGAGGTGGTACTGCGGTGGCACAAGGCTCGCTTTAGTCACGCTCAAGTTAACGCACAAACTCCAGGCGCCTTCCATGCACCAAAAGTGTTACCAAATTGCACCCGCGTCCAGTGGTGCACCAAGGATTTGGTCCGGGGGGGGGGGGGGGGGGGGACTCACAATTTGTTTCAAAAATGTTGCCCTAATTTTTTTGGCCGCAGAAAAAAGTTGTTTATTTTTTGGCATTTGACGTTGGTGGCGGCACTTACACCCCTATTATACTACTCAAAAATAGGTCACGCACATATCACCAAGGTCAAAATGTGGGACTAAAAAAAAAAAATTGAAAACCTCGGGGGGGGGGGGGGGGGCTCAAGCCCCCCGAGGGCCCCCTTCCCCTACTGCATGTGTCTTTTTGCAAGTGCGGCATCATCCGAAAACAAGGGGCTTTAAATTTTATTCACCGGATTACATTATAGACACTAACTTAACACTCAAATATACTTAGCGTCCTGAGCCCATGAGTCCGAGTCATTTTCCAATGGACTTGAGTCAAGTCCAAGTCACGAAAAATGTGACTCGAGTCCGACTCAGGTCTGAGTCCTGGACTAATGTCCTACAACAATGGTCAGTAAGATAGGCACAAAGAGGACCGCTAGGCCGCCCTGCTGAGACCAACAAAAACAATGCTTGTGTTGTTCTTTTCTAACCTGTTTGAACATTTTGATGACTGACTGTAAAGGTGTCTGACTGTCCCACGACCAGACGGTCACGTTCAACATGCCATCAAAGATCCTGTCAACATCGCTGATGACGTAAACCGACAGCGTTCCTTTATCGTCTTCCACACCGGAGGCGAGGAGAGGCGCGAAGAAATCCTTGGCGAAGTAATGGAGCATCTTCCACTTGCCTCCGTACTCTAGTTGAAAAAAAAAAGGTTGAAAAGTTGAACAAAAAGATTGACTGGAGCGGGGCTTAAACCTGTAACCTCCGGATTACCGTTCCGGTGTTCTCTCCAACTGAGCTATCCAGCCCTATGTTGGCCGTTCCCCAATTTGTCAATATCTTTGTTCAAGGGCGCTAGTCAGAAGCCAAAATCTGTATATGCCATGCAGCCAGGGATCACGCCCAAAGTCATGATGCGGACCTGGGAAATAGCGAATCCCCATTTGTCAGTTTCCATTAGTGGCTCATATTAAAAAAAAGTTGTGAGGGTACTGGTATCAGTTGCTCAAACATGCTACAAACACGTTGGATAGTTACAAAATTCACGAAAAGAAAACCCACAAATTAATTGGACTATAAACATGTACTTGTGTTAAGATAGTAACATTTTTAATTAAAAAAATTAAACAAAGAGGAAAGACAAGAAAACATGGTCGAGATAAATGAAAAATAAAAACAATTCTTAGTGACTCTTGCAAATTGTGAATATTTTTCCCTGATTCGGGGTATCTCTGAAAATGCATCTTCGGTTTTGGGGTCCATCTTCATAATTATACACTTCTTCACCATTCCCCTTGACAACTTTTCACTAAAGGTGTGAGCTACAGTGCCAAAGACACTTCTAAAGATTCCTTGGTTTCACGTCGCATGAGAAATGCAAAAAAATCCTGTCTTGCTTCTAGTCGAAGCTTCTTACCGATAGAAGCCCACGACGGAGCCTGCCAGATGTCGTTGAGCTGCCAGTACACAGCGCCCATTGTCATTCCTTCACCGTTGACGATGGACGACTGCAGTCTTCGGTAGTGCTCAGTCTCAAACTTGTAGCACAAGGCTTGGGATATCTAAAGGTTTTCAGAAGGTGTAAAAATAGTTTATTCTTTGGATCTAGATCAATTTTTGGCTAGGGAGATTAGATAATTGAAACCGAGATATTGCTGGTAATAAGTAAAACCTGGGAAAAATCTAGGAAAATTTAATGGTCAAAGCATAAGGAATAAACTGTCATTTTAATATATTTGGATTTCTCAGAACCTTCTGCCCATGCAATGTAACTGTTACTAATGCAATCCTTGAAAATGCACCATCATGTCCAATTTAACTATTTTAAATTTGTTGTTTTGCCATTTTTAAGGGTATTTTAGTGCCTTATGCTAATGAAAATTTGCATACTCATGAGCAAAATTGTGAAGTCTTTTCAGGCAGAAACCTGAATGTTATCAGTCATTTCAGTACCAACAGTTGCCAAAATTTTGGATATTTTGACGTCATAAATTTTCTTTGCTGTGGTGATTCGTTGTGCCAGTAAATGGCAGTAAGCCAAGGAGCAACCAGTCCTGGTGGATACTTGCGCTTTTAAAGTACCCACTATATATTATTTTTAATTAAATATGTTCCTAAAAAAATTCACTTCATTGACCCTTTAAGAGTTACCTCGCATGATGCAACTGTAAACCTCTCAAAATTTGAATAATGTTGTGATACCCAGTTTATAAATATTAGATTCAAGTACATTTTTAATTCAATATTGTTTGGAGATGAAGCGGAGTTTTACCTGCGTCAAATAGATCCTGTTTATGAATTTCTGTGTCGTGTTTGTGGAGGTGCTGTCTTTAAAATGCCGCTTGATCTGTGTCATCATTTGCTCATTTCCTAAGACGGATATAGGGGGAATATTGGAAACAAGATAAGAAACAAACTTCCATCAACACAAACCGAAATTTTTTTGAAACTTTTGATGTTATCGGGCTAATGTTTAAGACAACTGTCTCTCATCACAGAACAGTCGCATGGCATTCTGAATTCACATTGGCTAACTATGAATGCAGATTGAATTCCTAGTTCATGATGCTATAATACAGGCAATTCAAAATACAGTGCACAACCAAGAGGTTACCACATTGAGTAAATTTTTCGCAGTGCGTTGTGAGGGATGGTCGACAAATTGGTGTGGGACATTTAAAATTGTTAGTTTGTCCGGTCGGTAGTTTCGTAAGCGTATGATTTGAGTATCTTTTTCTCTTTTCGTTTCTTTTTATCAAGATGGTGTGTTTTTTGTGAGACAGTTTTTTGTGATGACATTTGTGATTTCCAATTATGGCAAGTCGGCCATGTTTTTGTAGACCGTAAACTTGAAAAATGGACTGTCCATGGCAACCTGTTGGTGGCGCACTGTATTGGGAATTGCCCGTATTGTTGCAAGGCATCCTGCTCAAGGACAACACACAATGATTCCAAGCTGCATCTGTCCCATTTGCCCCAAGGCCTTCAACCCAAATCTATCACATTTCGAAAGTTTGCCAAAAATAAACCTAATAAAGACTATCCGCTCCGTTCACAAGTACCCCCTCACCGGCAAAGAAAGTACAGTTGGGGGTGACTGACCGACGCCATCTGTTGCCTGACTGTGTGTACATAGTACAACTGAATCCCCTGGTGTATATGCGTCACACACAAGAAACGGTGGCGTCAACCAGCGAAATGGCCCACCCATGGGACATCGTTGCTAGGTAAAAGGGCGCCCTCTTTCGTTGGCGCACAGAGCCCATACTGGTCTAATGATTTCATATTTGAGGATGCGATGTTCTAGAAGCAGAGCATGGATTCAAATTTAGCCTACATCAACTAAGTCAGAGGCCTGAAAACTCCTGGAAACGAAACCGAAGATGAAGTCATGGTTTCGCAAAACTCTCAAAGGTTGCCTACCGTCTGCATGGTGTTGCCGATGCTGGCTGAAACTGCTGTTCAGCGACCAGTCCCCCATTTGGGAGACTGTCTCCAGCGTGTCAAACGAGGGCCAGGACTGGTAGCCGTACTCCGAGGCAAACCGCGGCTTGGGGAACACGGAGACATCCCAGCAGTCGGCAGGGTAATTGTAGTAGTGAACTGTAAAGGGTATAAACAGATTCTGGAAAGGTTGTACCAGGTTTGAGTCGTGTGGAGGCATATGGACTCCGTGGCAGAGTGCCCTCTCATCAATGGTGACAATGACAAAGGGCTTATACTGGAGGGCACGCGAGTGCAATTGTTGCCAGACGCCAATGCTCACGTGCATTTGTCTAGTGCAGTTGCTACATGTATGGGTTTGAGTACAAACTGAAAAATGGTGACAATACAGCGCCCCCATGGTCTCTACATTCCCAGGTACCCATTTACACTCTCTTTGTGGAGAGAGACAATTGTAGTAAAGTGTCTTGCCTAGGAACACAAGAACCATGCCCCCCCCACCCCCCGTCTGGTTTCAGACAGGCAAACTTGATAGACCTAGCCTTTCACCAAGGCCATCGTGGCTTACCTTGCCCGCATTCAAAGTGGCGAAAAGCGCGAAGCGACTGGAGATTGAGACCACACATGCGAGTGGCGAAGCCACGAGGGCCTTTTCTAACTTGTCGAGAAATTCTTATGTTTTTCTTTATAATCTCGATTTTTGCTACCCCAATAGGGTAGCAAAATTCCAACCAATCATCAGCCTTTTTGTGCGTGCGTGGCTACAACCCAGACGTGTCGATGCGCCCGGATGCTTGCACAAAATTTAAAAACAAAAAATGCGAGTCTAGTTTTCCACGAGATCGTGGTGCGTAATTGTTCTTACATTATCTTATTTTAACTTTACTTATAAAAGTATTTCAAGAAATTATTTGAGTGTATGAACTTATTTTTCATCTGAACTTTCATTGCTCTTACGTTTTCCTTACTCACCCTTCTTTTAAAAAATGGAAGCGACTAGGCAAAATCCGCGTTGTGATTGGTTAACCTTCAGCACTCTTCTTATTTGCATGAAAAACAAAATCGAGTTGGGAAAGGCTTCGTGGCTTTGCCACTCGTGCGTGCTGACTTAATCTTTGCTCCAGTCGCTTTGGGTCTTCGCAACTCCGCCACTCTAAGCCACGATTGCCTGGGCGAAAGGCTACTATAGACCTGACTCTGAAGTCATTCCAAATGATGGCAACAGTCAATCTGCTGACACAGTCCCTCAAAACTGTTTCAAATGACGAACTTGATTCAAATCTAATAGGGAACAATTTACAGTGGGACTATGGGCTCTATGCACAAGTACCTCTCAATGGTTCCCAAGGGAGAATTGGGGAACCAGTGGGAGGGACTTTTGATTGCAAGGCCGATGGCACCTGACGCTTTTGCAAAGATGCCCTGTGTACATTCAGAAAAAAAATTAGTCAGGTGTATTTTGGGCTATATGCGCATGAACCAGTACATGCACGTTGTGTCTTCCCCACTTGTGTTCGCAAAGCATTATCTACTGTTTGTGCACACAATATACTTAATAATAGTGGGTGTCGCTTTCCACCAAATGTTGGTCTCAAAGCGCTTCACAATTATTACCCGTTCATCAGGCCATCAGACCACTTTTCTGCAGCTGAGATCAGCGCAATCTGGTCTCTACATTCCCAGGTACCCATTTACACTCCCTTGGTGGAGAGAGGCAATTGTAGTTAAGTGTCTTGCCCAAGAACACAAGAACCATGTTCCCCGTCAGGGTTGGAACCCCATACGATTGAGCACTGTAACCACTAGAACGCTGCAACCACTAGACCACGGCACTCCACATGCAAGCCTGAAACAGGTGTACCTGTACCCCCTCTCCGCCCCCCTCAATCCTCCCCCACTCCAACACCCCCAACCCCTCCCCAATTTCCCCCCCCCCCACTCCCTGCAAATGATCTCGCTAGGCTACTGCCCCTTACCATCACCATAGTGAGGATCTCCTGGATCCTTCGCTACCCATCCCTCCTTCTGTGACTCGGGGCCGTTGGAAGGGCTAGAGCTGACAGATGGTAGGTTGGAGTTCTCCTTATTCAGTGCCTTCAGGACAGTGTCAATGTACAAGGTGACGTAGTCCTTCTGGTATAGACTGAAATTCTTCGCTGTTCCATACCTTGTGAAAAGAGTTCAAGGGATAGGGACATGGAAATAAGCATTATAAACGCTGATCAGTGGCTTTGGCTTTCGGGGGGCTCACTATTTTTTAAAAAAATATTTTTAGAAGTTAAAATGTTTTCACCAAATTTTCCCCACAATTTTGGCCGCAGAAAAAAAAAGAGTTTTTTGGGGGGAGGCGGACTATTTTGACATTGGTGGCGCCACTTACACCCCTATTATACTACTCAAAAATAGGCCACATACATATCACTAAGGTCAAATTGCAGGGAATAACAAAAAATACCAAAAAAAACCAACAATTGACAACCTCTTGGTTGAGAAAGCAGTAAGCCTTTTCGGAGTTTCAACTGCGCATTCGTAACCTGTGACAACGCACATTGTTAATGCCCTTTGACAGTACCCACAATGCACAAACAGCCTTTTTGTAAAGTCAGTGGCGCGATGATGTCAAAGGCCATTTGAGACAAACAATGCGCGTTGTCACAGGTTATGAATGCGCAGTTGGAACTCCGAAAAGGCTTATTCTGATGGGTTTCTGCTTTCCAACTATTGATACAACACATTTACTTACTGTATAATTACAAATGAAGGAATTTTGCCCTTCACCACTGTGAATTTTATAAAAAAAATTTGTTGGTCCAATATTCAAATTTTCTTGCTTAATTTCTCTTTCAGGCTTTTTATTTGACCCTTTGTCCTTTGAATTTGATTAAGTTTATTGCACGTCGTTGTATATTTTTAAAACTGATTTTGAAGTGTACCACGCATGTACCTACAGTGGTATTTATACAACACCTGAATAAATCCCCGTCATCTGATTGGTGGATCATTGATCACATGTCATTGAATTATTCATACCAACGCACAGCGCGCGCGTGGCGCGCAGCGCACAGTGCAATGGAAGTTCTATTGCACTGTGAATAGAACTTCCATTGCACTGTGTCACTGCTGCTGGTGGTGGCGCTGTTTTAAGTCGAGATAAATTTAATATGATTGTTCTCAACCTGTTGAACAGTTTGCATTAATATAAATATGATGAACAGTTTTTAACCTGAATAAATTGGCTATTAAAAGTCAACCAATCAGATGACAAGGATTTATTCAGGTGTTATATAAAACAAATAATGAATGTTTCACGTTCGTGCAATGGACAGAATAATTTCATTCAGTGACAGATGAAATGTTCCATTCCACTCGGCTTCGCCTCGTGGAATGGAACATTTCATCTGTCACCTCATGAAATTATTCGTACCATTGCACTCACAAACATTCATTATTTGTATAATATCTCTATTGGTGTCTTTCTTTCTACCAAAAAAAAAAAAAAAAAAGGAAAAAGTGACTACAAAACTACGCAAATCACATACCAATTCTGTCTGAGGGCGACTTCATTCTCGTTGTTTGCACTCCAGGCAATGACAGAGGGATGGCTGGACAGACGCCTCACCTGTAAAGAGTGAAGCCACGGGGAGTTCATTTCAGAATCCAGGCACAGTGCTATGGTACTCTCACCAGTAGTCCCCAGTAATAGTAGGAGCACTGCTCCAGATAGTGTTCAGAGTGACCACCATGGAGTTGGCACAATTCTTCTGCCATTACTTTGGACCATGTGAGTTTACAGTGACCTATGCCTTAATTTATATACCTGGAGCTCCGAAAGCTGCTTGATCACGTCATTGAATTATTTGTCCCAACCCACAGACCAGCGGCACCGCAAAATAAAAGCTCTATTCCACGGTAAATAGAAGTTCCATTGCATGGTCACATGATTGATGGGGCTGACCAATCAGATAACAAGGATTTATTCAGGTGTTAGTATTTTACAAATAATGAATGTTTCACATTCGTGCAGTGGAATAATTTCATTTGGTGACAGTTGGCATATTCCATTCCACTCGGCTTTGCCTCATACAAGAGAACATTCCATTCGTCACCGAATGAAATTATTCTTACCATTGCACTCACAAACATTCATTGCTTGTACCTACACAGCAGGTTAGGGCTTGAACTATGGTTAACCACAGTTTGTGCTTGGACGTGCTTTAATAATTTTGCTCAATTGTAATAAAGAAAATATTGCTTAAGAAGAAATTGCTTAAGCAAAATTTCCTTAGCAAAATTGTACAATGGTAACATGTTTTTACTAAGCAAATATTTCTGTGCTTACCACCTAGCTCCATGAAATCAGTCCCTGTGACTATTATTGATGGGCGTCAATCGGTGGGGGACGGGGCCAAGTCCCCCACACTTTTTAAAGTGGGGGGGATATCATATCGTTTGTCCACTTCTTTGATCCCCGAAAATTATAGCCTACTATAATGATTCTATAGCTCAGAATAGCTGGAATGAGGAAACAAGTCCCCCGCACTCGCAAATGATGTTTAAAAGATAATATTTTGCTCAAAAAAATTGTTTAGTGATCAGAAATTGCCTCAGATCACACCACAGAGTGTCTAGAATCCAAATTTTTTTCGGGGGCCCTTAAGTGGGCCCGAACCCCACGCCGTTATAGGGCTTCGCGCCTCTTGCTTGCATTGGTGATGATCAAGGTATGTCCCCCCCCCCCCACTGTTCAGAAGAGATTGATGCCCTTAGGTACTTCAAGGGATTCTGCCACGTTTTAGATACCTGTTGTACAACCTCCTCAGTCACACTGCTCAGAAACGCCTCGCCCACGGGATACATGGCGCAGGCAAACTGGAAGTCCTGCCAAACCATGATCCCCAGCCGGTCGCAGATCTCGTAGAAAGCGTCCTGCTCATACACGCCCCCGCCCCAGACCCGCGTGGCGTGCATGTTGGCGTCCACCAGCGACTGCAGCAGGTTGGTCAGACGGTCCCGGTCGATGCGTTCCTGGAATGCGTCGGCCGGGATCCAGTTGGCACCTTTGATGAAGATGGGCCGGGTGTTGATCTTGAAGTAGAAGGATAGGCCTGATGATCGGGCAAAGAAAAGAACGTCAACATTACTGCTCTGAATAAATGAGAACTAAGTCGCCAAGTATAGTATTATTTGCTAATAGTCAGATCTGTGTGCATGTACTTTACAAAGGTTGGGCTCCAAGTCCCATACTTAGAGTACCTAGTCACATACTTTTTCTTTCTTTTCTTGTATTTCTTGTAAAAAAGTTTATACTAATCTTTAAATCTTTCTCTTAGTCTAAATGTTTGGTTTGCAGGTGTTTTATTGAATAGAAGATAATCCTGACTTGCAATTTCCAGAAAAAAAGTAAACAATTGCCCTTCTGGGGAAAAAAATTACATGTCTGGGATATCTCAAACGTGGAGTATGATACATAGTTGTCAGGTGCAGAACATTAACCAGAAAAATGGATATTTGAAAGAACAGCCAAACATTTCTTCCACATTTTCGATCCCAAGCTTTTAAAGGTAGTATATACATGTACCGACATTTGCTTTTGCTGTAATTTTCAGAAATGGATGGATTTGGGTGTTGGTAGTTTATGGCAACTATTGTATGCTGCTGTTTAAAGTTTTGCATTCATAGATGCTGGAAAATCCAAGAAAAATATATACTGTTCTTGTATTCTGGTTCCTGGCCTGACCCTATTTCAGACGAAAACGGAGCGATTTTTGACATCGAAAAATTGCCAGGTCAGGGAATCAGACTAGCAGGCTTGCACTCGTTCGTGGATATGTAACTGAGGGCAAACAAAATGTGGACTAACTTATTTTAGTAAATTGGGGGCAGTGTTTGAAAAAAGGCAGTTTATTTCTAATGATGGTTGACAGACCATCATTGGAATCCGATACAAAAATTCCACTTTCCTTGAAAATGACAGCACACCAGGTGCCATGATTTCATCACAGGATGATGGAAACTATTATTCACTTACAGTCAATCAAAGAATTCAATAATAATTTGGTAGGTTTTTTTTTTTTTGATGCCTGCAAATGTTGTATGTTACCTTTAATGCCAAACAAGTTTGCATTATTAGAAAGCTCAAGTGTATCCACTTTTGAATGCAGCCATGCTGTCCTCACCTTTTGAATTGGGAACCTCTTCCTGCACCAACTCAACGTTACGGAAGCCAAACTTGAGGGACTTGGTGGAGTTTTCTGCAGGCCTGTCGCTGCTCTGAAAGTGGACGTAGAGATCGTACAGAGGCTGTGCTCCGAAACCTGCTGGCCACCACGTATCTGCCTGTAAAAATAAAAAAATTGAGACTGCCAACAATCAGCATGTTTTCCTCTTTAAAATTTCCTGATTGAACTTCTTATCATTGTGTTTCATAGTTTGCTTTATTCCTATTGGTCGAGAATCTGTCACGTGGATGGTTTAAAACTGCTGGTAAAACACCGTTGCGTTCTACACCCCAGTGCGCAGTACGTAACGCGCCGCGTGCGCACCAATTTCCATATAAGGAGATTTGTAGCACTAGGCCCGCAAAACATAGACACTAAAAAGGTATTGATGAATGGGAATAAATATGTGCTTGGTTGGAATTAAACACTCTGCTGAGACTGGTCGGAGTCTGGATGCTGACAATTACCCTTGCCTTTAGCTCGGGCAATAGTCAGCATCCAGACTCCAACCCATCTTAAACATAGTGTTTAAAACTGGCCAAGCACACATTTATTCCCTTATTAAACGAAACATTCTGCAAAGATTCAGAACCATGATCTCCATCTACATATTAAACCAAATATTACTTTGGAATTTTGAAGTTGGGTACTTGTGATGGATCACAAATCAATCGCAAGTCCGTCACAAGTCCTCCAGTCCCAAGTTAAGTCACAAGCTATTCAAATGAACCGTGACAAAAGCATTTCCTTTGTTATTGTTCATCCAATGTTACTCGTGAATCGACTTGTAATTTACTTCTTGCCAGACTTCTTGACTTGTGCCTGACTCGATTGCAACATTAACACAGGGCAACCTCATCTACCAATTTGTAAAATGTTCTGCTGTAGATAATCAACTTGTAATTTACTTCTTGCCAGACTTGTTATCTTGTGCCTGACTCAATTGCAACATTAACACAGGGTAACCTCATCTTCCAATTTGTAAGATGTTCTGCTGTAGATAAAGAATGTCACAGATCATAAACTGGAAAAGCAATCAAACATCCCAAACTCACGTTCTGAACTTGAAACGTCATGGAGAAGCTGGTCTGTCGTTTTGTCAGCACCACCGTTGCGTTGTGGGATACGTGCAACTCTGGGAATTCAGCCGTAACTGTACCTTTGCAGCCGGTGTTCGAGCCGAGCTCAAAATAAGTGGTGATGTTGATGGCCCACGGTTGAACTTGAAATTTCTCTTCATTGAAAGATAGATAAAATGCTCTATTAGAATGGAACTTCAGCATTTTGGAAAATCAGTGACTTTTCAGAAGTCTTAAATATTCAGAATTCATTTTTTATTCTGTATTTCGTGACCCATCCCTACATATTTTGCACAATGTATCTTTTCAATCATATGATGTCCACATTCCCAATAACAAATCATTTTTATTTGCAAAAAAGAAGGAATACATACTATTCCATGGAACAGCAGTTGCAACTACATCTCGTATGACAGCACAGTCAAATGTTTCAATTCGAATATCCTTCCTGTTAAAAAAAAGATGCTGCTTTAATAAAAAATAAGTTGCAGTCCAATGGTGACGGTACTCATGTGCCATAGTACGTGGTTTCTTACCCTGACGGGGAACATAATGCTAAATTTTGAGTTTACCTACCCATTATGTAACAGAAAAAATTTGTTTGGGGTACCTGAGTGGAGATAATAATGGTTTATCTGAATTTGTCAATGTTACATAAATTCTGAAATGTTAAGGGAATTTACCGAGATTTGTTCGAGTGAACCAATATTAGAGAACACTATGCCGATTTTGTGCCCACCGTTTTTGAATTTCGGACAAAATTTCATGACTCTGATACACAAAGGTTCAACAGCAAGCATTGTTAAGGTAATACTTCCAGTATTTTACTGAATGAATTTGAAGTTTGTCAACAAAAAGGTTTAACAACACTGCATGAGGAACTTCGACGAAAATGTCGAAGTGTGCCATGTTAGGGGACTCATACATTCACATGACATCTTGGCTGATAAACTCTTATTTCTACTAAGCAAACGTTGTCTCTGCTTCAATCATCACTAGTCCTTACCAGATAGCTTGAGGGGCGAACGCCGGCCCCCAGTCCCACCCAAAGGAAGACTGCTCCTTGCGGATGAAGTTGGGATGGCATATGCCATGCTGGACATCTGGGGGGCAGTCCGGGGGAACGTCGTAGGCCGTGTGGGCCTTCCATTTGCTCAGTGCGTACTTCATGGCTGAACTAAAGGCTACAGAGATCGAGTTTGTCCCTTCCTAAATAGGGTAAAAAGGGCATGCGTTGGAACATCCTTTACGTCTGCAACTATGCAATTATTGTTTCAATTAGAGGTGGGATTTAAATCTGGATTTTTATAGCATTCTGTTTCACTTTCACTATTCAGTTTCGATTTTAGAAACCGGATATTTGGAACCGAGCTTGAAAAAAAAGTAAGCCGACCATTTTTTTGTGACACAAGCTAAAGAAAACACTGCCAGAACATTCCCCATGTTGCTCTATGGTCTCTGATTGTAATATGGTCTCGGATTGTAATTCCATTCATTTGCTACTTGCAGTGGTGTTCTTGGTATATAGCCTGACCATTCAACTAATATCAGAGAGTTCCCATCCTTTTTTTTTCAACATTACAGCTCTGGAGTGTCATTGTAGAAGCCCAGTGGTCATTGAATCCTGCAAACTATAACCTAGTCACTGGTAGGGCATTTCATGTGGCACCTCACTCCTCACTTTTTGTTGGCATGACTGTGAGCTGATGGAAACTTCCGGTTTAACCAGATAACCATTCGGTTTGAAAAAAAAAAAAGTACAATCGGATTTAGAAATCTCTGTTTCTCCCACCACAATTAAACAGATTGATCATTTTTTTTTCTGTTGCTGTTTTGATTAATTGCGTAGCCGATTTATTATTGCATCAAATAGTAGATTTAAAAATACCACCGCAACTAAACAAATGTTGTCAGGGGGGTTTCCAAGATACCGTGGTAAACTTTTTTTTTTTTTTCACAAGAACTTTGGGTTCTTGCATCCATCCTTGCACAAGTATTCTCTAGCTTAAGCAGTTCGCATCAGAGGATGTGATAATACGCACTGGCTGTTTTTGTACACAGGCATGGCTGACGGGTTAATATGTCAACATTGTCTTGAATCGCCTCCGGGTGACGTCTGAACATGCGAATCTCTCATTTCTTTTGTTCACACACACAAAGTCCGTGAAGTCTGTGGAGGCGGACCGCGTGTTGATCTTGAATTGCTGTTGTTGTGCAGGGCCTATTGAGTATTAAAACGTATGAGGTTTCGACAAGAAAGATCGTACAAAGACTGTTGGTATGACTCTTGCGAATCAGTATTTGTGGCGTTTCGCTGTGTATCAGAAGTTGGCTGGAAAATTTTGCCTTTTGCGAAAATCGAAATTTTCGGCAAAAAATAATCCTGGCGCAAAGTGGTTAATATCCAAAAGGACCTGACCATTTCGATAATTAAATTCAGAATGGATAGACAAAGTTAGCTGTGGTTTTTCTACTAGCTTTATGTTCTCTTGAGGAGGGCCAAAATAAAATTAAAAAAAAAAGAAAAAAAAGTGTAGGAACTGTACATGGATTTCCAGGTCAGATGTACTTACTATAAGGACGTTCTTAACGTCAAACTCGTAGCGAACAAACATATTTTCAGATTTTCCAATCGTCTTGCCGTTGACTGTGACAGTTGATATGGTGTCCAGGCCCTCGCAGATTAACAGAATGTTCTTGGAAGCCAGTTGCTCCTTTGTCACTGAAATAAAAAAAAAAAATCAAATGTTTTTGTTGATATTTCAACAAAGCTCATAACGTGGCTATTATTAGTATCATCAAGTTGGCACAATGATTTTTCAGTTATTGATTCCAAATTTATAAATACCTAAATAAAAGACAGTTTACCCATTCCTTTTGGTCGAGATAGAGCCCATCCTGTGGGTGGTTTTAAATGATTGATAAAACACTACTTGGTTGTAAACACTTTATTACTGCACTGCTGCATTCCACGCCACATCTTGCAGTATGCGCCGTGCACACGCCAGTCTCCATAAAAGGAGATTTTTTAACACTATGTGCGTGAGGCACATACCATAGTCATGGCAAGAGGGGTGTTTCACAAAACATGAGTTAAAATGGTTGAACAAAACAGTGACTTTTTTTACTGGTTTCAACTTTTTGACTAAAAGGTTTTTTATGAACCAAGTCCAGGCCCCTGGCCAGCTTTAAAGGTACTTGTTTAAAACCAGCTAAGCATATATTTATTCCCTTATCAAATACATCAGCATGTAACATGAGCATGCTTGAAACCCCAGAAAAAATTAACTTTTTTTAAAATTTATTGAGGTTTTTCTGGTAATGAAACCAAACGTTTTCTAAAGAGTGCACCTGTACTTACACTGAAAAAAAATCTTAGGAAATAAAATAATGGAGAAATGTTCATCATTTAGTTGTGGGAGGACAACCTGGAATTCCTTGGGTTTTTTTTTCAGGGACGGAAATCCAATCCATCTGTTGGCCTGGGTAGGACATGAACCCGGGTCTCATTTGAAGGTGAGCAGAGTACCACTGCAAAACTGACTCAAAAGCCGAAATGGACATCAGATTTTAAAAAAAAATTACAATAAACCAAAACAGGGTAACGAAGAGAATTATCACATAATATAGGTCTTCCTTTCTTACTGCTGAAGTCTCGTGAGTATGTCCAGCTGTCGTTGGCCACCCAGCGGTAATTGACGTCATTGCTCTCCATGTACGGATTGCCAATCTCGTCAGCTGCCATCAGTGCAGTGTACACACCACCGGGTACTGTGGCTGGCACTGTGATACCTAGAATGCACATCATACATTGTGCAGTTTTAGAAAGAGAGAACTAAAAAATTCTCAGATGAAAGACCTAGCTTTAAGGAATGGTTAAACGTAATGGGGTTGGTAAATTGAGGGGGGGGGGGCTCATTTTTTGGACAGCCTGCTCAATGGTTTTGATCATAATTTTAAATGATACAAAGATTTTTTCTTCTCCAAATTCTAATTGGGACAGAGGGTGGGGCACAAAGGGCGGGGGACAGAGGATGGGGCACAGAGGGTGGGGCACACAGGGTGGGGCACACAGGATGGGGCACACAGGGTGGGGCACACAGGGTGGGACACAGAGGATGGGGCACACAGGGTGGGGCACAACATCCCTCATCTAGATGCAGCATAGGCTTTCTTGGTAGAGTAATCCCATCGCAACCCAATTCGGGCTAAACTGTTCAATCAACAGCCATATGGATAAGGTACGGAAGCTTGAATTGCCATTTATCGCAGAAATCATGAATTCAAAGATAAATCCTTCCGCGATACCGCGTTACTGTGATAATTTATCGCAGAAATCCGGAATTCAAAGATAAATCCTTCCTCGATACCGCGTTACTGCGATAATTTATCACAGAAATCCTGAATTCAGAGATAATTCCTTCCGCGATACCGCGTTACTGCGATAATTTATCACAGAAATCCGGAATTCAAAGATAATTCCTTCCTTGATACCGCGTTACCGCGATAATCATCACAGAAATCCGGATTTCTGCGATTTTATCACGGTAACGCGGTATCGAGGAATAGGTATCTCTGATTTCTGGATTTCTGTGATAAATTATCACAGTAACGCGGTATCGAGGAAAAGGTATCTCTGATTTCTGGATTTCTGTGATAAATTATCGCAGTAACGCGGTATCGCGGAAGGAATTATCTCTGAATTCCGGATTTCTGTGATAAGTTATTGCGGTAACGCGTATCGCGGAAGGAATTATCTCTGAATTCAGGATTTCTGTGATAAATTATCACGGTAACGCGGTATCGCGGAAGGCAATTCAAGCTTCCGTAATAAGGTGCCATAAGTGAAAACAAAAAGAAAAGGAAATAAAAGGTGCACTTTTTACAAGCGAAAAAGAAAGAATTTACAGGACAATGTTGCCATACAGAGGCTGCATTGCTCTGATGGCAGGGATGGCTGGTGTTTGGAAGGCCTGTACGGATGGGGATGAGAACAGCAGATGGTGGCAGCCCGTTCCAAACTGACATAGTCCTTGGGAAAAAAGGCGTATTTGTATACATTGATAGTTGGTATGATCAGAAAGGTGTATTTAAGTGGATGATTGATACGCTGTGAATTATGTGTAGCTTGCTGGAAGTGCTGTGGGAATGTAATATTGACTAGGTTGTATCATATGATTCTTCACAAATGTAGATGACTGTTTTGCATAGTTTTTAAAGGAACCTGATGTGGTAACAAATTTTAAACTTCAAGTTCAAAAACCTAGGAGTTGATGGCCTTACATTTTCTTTTGTAAAGTGTGCGTTAAAGCCCGAGTCCATCATTTGCAGCTCTATCCAAAAAGTAACTGGCGTAAATATTGTTGAAAAAAAATACTTGGTTGAAAGATAGTAAGGGGACTGAACTCCCTGTGAAATTATTCTTTCTGGCAAGCTGTCATTTTTAAGAAATCAATGAAAGAAGGACTTTCCAATGGTGCGTCTTAAGAAGCACCGTTGGAAATTTTGTTAGTTCGTTTTTTTTATTCAGTGAAGCGCGCGCAAGCGTTGACACGACGCAGATGCGCGCATGGTTGCTACAATTTGTCGGATCGGTGTGTGATATCGCGTAGGACTTTGCAATCAGCTCAGTGAGAATGTGTCTCGGGCGCTGAATTCAGGCCCAATTCAATACATGATTCAGCAACTTTTGATTTGAAATTGAGATCATAGAATGTTGTTTTTCTTGAAATATACAGCTGAAGCTGCGCTGAAACTTCATCAGGTTAGTTGTTCAGCACCCTTCTTTAGATTTTGAGCACTTTCGTTGCTTCCAACGAACAAAATGCACAAATTACAAATGATGGACTATACCTTTAACAAATTGAAACTTACTTTTATTTCCATTTGTGAGTGACCATTTCCCTCCCAGGTCAATCCTGGTTTCTGCATCAGTCCATTGGACAGAGAGTGCAAGAGACAACGCCAGCAGGACAACACGAGGACCCATTTTTAAAGTTCAAGCTGACTGCAGTAAACTGTCAGTGTCAAGATGCTGGGGCAAAGAAGAAACAGTCTCCATTATTACATTCCATATCTCAGTTTTCAGTTATATTTGTTAACAGTTTACACAACTTCACAGAAAAACATAAACTCAGACACCGGCACCCGATTTCACCAAACTCTTCGTAACTTACGATGCATCGCAGTGCTGCGACGCGTCGTATCTCTACGATGCATCGCAGCTGCGACGCATCCTGCGATCCATTTCACTAAACACATCGAAAGTGTGACACGTCGTAGGTGTATTTATAGCACAACTCAGTGACTGTTTTATGTCTTAAGTCAGCGTACAGTAAATGGTCGTCTGATATTCAACAAAGAGTCGTCGGATCTCGGCTCGAAATTTGTTAAAATGTAAAACAAAATGGCGGCCGTGCGATGCAATTTTGAAGGAAAACAAGCTCTCCTTGGACTGTATAGCTACTTTGAAATTTCAACTCTAAAATTCCGGTCTAATTCATAATTATTCAATGAATTTTCTATTTACAACTTTACACACATTGCCTTGGTATTATAATCTCGTTAATGTAATGTTTGTGGCATAAAACTGGCTTAGAAATGACTCTTCTTATTTTGCGACGACCACTAGACACGTCGTGACTTGCGACGTATTTTAAGCCGTTGTCAAGGAACTTACGACGCATTCAACACATCCCAACTTTAGTGAAATGGAAGATACGACGCGTCGCGAGTTGCGACGTGTTACACGTCGTAACTTGAGTTGCGACGCGTCGCAGCGCTTCGTGAAATCGGGTGCAGCAGCAAATCACATAATTTATAGGTAAATTAATTAAGAAAACATTAACTTGAAAATAGAATTCTTAGCTGCGATATTAATGATATGGCCCCATGATATGGTCTCAAGTACTGGACTCAGTACTCAGCCAATCAGCATCAAATTTTTCATTGCATCTAACTTTCACGTTTGCCATCTTGGTTTTTGAGTCTGTTTTCTGGTTGTCGTTGTCGTCTTTTACCCCTTAATTTCCCTAATAAATCAAAGGCCTGCCCTCCTTCCACAAAATTTCACCTGCTGTGCTGATATTCAAGAAGGTTTCATTACTAACTGTTCAGATGTGTCAGAATGTCAGAAATATCAGAATGTCACTTTTGAGTGTCATTTGAGTGTCATCAGTTGGTTTGGTGAGTCTTTTCATCGTGTGATAGGAACAGGGCCGGTCCTAAAGATAAGGATTACCAGAATCTCGAGGTCAAGACGCAGTCATGTTTTGCATAATTAATCGCCGAATCTACTCGCATATCGCAGACCCTTGCTGTGCAAGGGGATAGACCGCCGCGGCCGGATACAGCCCGTCTCAGTCGATTATGCTGATGATTCAACAGATGATGCTACTAAGTTACAAAAAGATCTTGACAGCTTAAGCACGTGGGCAGAAGAATGGCAGATGAACTTCAACTCTAAGAAATGCTACACTATGAGGATTCACAGGAAGAAACAGCCTATCATCCAAAACTGCACCTTAGGAGGTGACATCCTGCAAGCTGTGTCTAGTCAAGCATATCTTGGAGTGGAAATTCATGAACAAATTAGTTGGAAGCCACACATCTCTGCAATAGCAGCTAAAGCAGAGAGAACACTGGGTTTTCTAAGAAGGAACATCAGCAAATGCTCATCACACATCAAACAACAGGCCTACACTTCATTGGTAAGGTCGCAACTGGAATACGCCTCCATCACCTGGTATCCCTACAGACAAAATCAAATTGACCATCTCGAAAAAATTCAGAGAAGGGCAGTACGCTTTATATGCGGAAACTACCATCGTGATGCCAGCGTTACGAGAATGAGAGAAGATCTAGGGCTCCCACTATTGGAGAAGAGGCACAGGCAAGCCTTAACCATGGTCTACAAAGCCGTCCATAATCAAATAGCCATACCAATCCTAGCCCCACTAGTGTGGCCGCGGTATGCTGCGCTGAACCTCTGTACCAATCCCAGACTACATCCAACCAAGACTCCGTACAACACGGCAACAACAACAACATAGATTCATGCGACTCAGCTCCTGTTCTGACAACTACAGGCAAAGCTTCTTTCCAAGAACTTTGCGGGACTGGGATGCGCTCTCCCAAGACATCATTGAGCTGCCCACTGTGGAGCAGTTCAAGGGAGCCATCAGCGCCTGTATGGCTACGTTGCAGAAACCTATTCAGGCATTAGCGCAACGGAGTGCTGAGGTACTCAAGGCACTGGAATTTATGTCTATTGTTAGATCAATGAAGTACATGAGAGATATGAGACCCATGATGTGGCACCAGGGTTTACAAGGTGCTGCGGCCACTGCAAGAAACACCGGGGCGAACCCCTTCTCTTAGTGACAAGTGTTACTGGGTTCTTTAAAGTGTATTACACAACACACGGGACCTACGGCTTTACGTCCCATCCGAAGGACGAAGCAATAGTGGTAAAGTGCCTTGCTCAAGAGCACAAGCACCATGTTCCCACGGTCAGGATTCGAACCCGTGTACCAAGGCACACGAGTCGAACACCGTAACCATTGGACCACAGTACAGCACCCCACCTAGTTCATAGAAGCTAACTTTTTACTTGCACCAACTTTGCATATACATGTATCAGAGCACCCTGCACAAGTGTCCACCATTTGAGACAGCACACCACAGTCATGACAGTCCTCGTTAAGTTGCTGAAAAGGCTTTAAACGAGTAGCCGCATAGTCTCAGTCATTAGAAGTAGAAGTAGAACGTTACGCCAAATGAAAATGAAATGGAAGGAAACGTGAGCTCCAGTGCAATCATGATCCGAAGCTGGAAAAAGTATTCAATTTGATTCGGCAAAAAACAATTGTACTCATCTAAAGATGAACACCTTTATTTGCAATACCTGACTTTCGCTAAAAAAAAAAAAAGCGGTGCAAAAGTTACGGCAAATTTGTTCCATTCCTACCTGATCGCCGCTTCGCACGGACCGGTCACGTGAACGAGCGCCCTCAATAGGTCTGAAACGTAAACATTGATCAAGTCATGTGATCAAAACTCTTATTTTCTAAAAATAGGCACACCAGAACAAGCAATGCGCAAGCGCAAGCAGCTGGGTGCTACGTCACAATATGGCCGCCCTGTTATGGGAAGAAGAAACAACATCCTTGTGTTCTGTTGAACTTTTTCCGGTCTACATTGTTTCTCCTGGATGCTTTGAAACGCTTCCCGAATTTTTGGAATAGTTCCAATCATGAGTGAATTAACCCCCGACGAGGTATGAAGCAAATACTGTGTGGCTTTTTGATACAATCAAACTTTTTGTCGGGACGGCAACTACTGATCTGGACTCATCGCTCATTTTGTTCAGTCATTCACTGATTGTAGTTTTGTACGCTATCGACGTTATCCCTGGCATACTGCATCATGCGTGCAGTGTGATTTGTCATTGTTCATCTGATGCATTGTCATGTTTGATGTATTGTATTGTATTGTAACTCGACGATCACATGCAAAAAATATTCGGAAAAAAGCCTGTTCAAATAAGACAATGAAAATTCTGGGATTGTGTGGACTGTGGGAAAGAATGTTGCAACCTGACGCCACTTTTTTTTCTTCGCAGTGGCTATTGTTACAGCAGCCGTAACGCATTTCCCATTTTCTATCGTTACGGTAGACTGCAACTTTTATAAAAACATGACAAGAAAATATAAAATTAGAAGGAAACAAGTGAATTTGAACGTTATGAAATTCGGACTTTATTTCCCTTTTAAAAAAATCCTCCAAAGCTTCAGGTTAGAAAAGGAAAAAAATTCGAGTGCAAAACTGAGATTCGAACCCGCAACCTCGCGGTGCAAAATCCTACCCTCTATCGGCTGAGCTGTCGCACTGCTTGCTAAAACGTGTGGAAACAAATAATTATATACCTGTGTGCGTATCAAAAAAGTATCGTAGAGGGCGCTAAACAACGCGTGCCGTAACGATAGCCACTTCGTTTTTTCTTCACAATCACATAATCATCTCAAACATTGTCAAATGGACAATGAAGGTCAGTCATTGCAAAAATGATGATAAGACATGAATATGGCCTTTTTATGGGACTGAGAAGCATTTCTAATTTTGTTAGGAAATATTTAGAAAATTGTCTTGACTCTCCATTGACTTTGTACACAACCACTGAAGTGGTGTCAAGTTGCAACGTTCTTTCCCAGTTCCGAAAGAAATACTTTCTTTTATTTCCGAAAGAATATTTCTTTCAGTTCCGAAAGAATGTATTTCTTTCAGTTCCGAAAGAATAGTTTACTGAAAAAAAAGCAGGCTAAATCTAGCCGGCTAAATATTTTTCAGCCAGCTAGATTTAGCCAGCTTTCTTTCAGTAAGCGATATTTAAGTCAGCTTGATTGTACAGCGCCCTCTTTGACGCACATACAAGTAGGCCTACATTGTAAAAGGTATTAAATTACCACCGTCGTTTGTGCTGCATGTGTGGCCGAGTGGATAGCGCGTGTATCTCATGAATGAGTGAGAATTCCTGGCTAGCGACATTTTTGAATTTTTTTTTCATCCCAAAATATTAAGAAATTTGAAATTGACTGCAGCATTTAATTGCAGAGTTTTACATTTTCTTTTTCTGATTTGTGGCTCTGGAGGATTTTGTTTAGAGGGAAATAAAGTCAGAAATTGTACAATGGTCTGATTTCCATCTCGTGAATAGGAAATCACAATGACAATGTTGGCGCGGAACCAGACTAAGTGGGCGGGGACAAAAACAGTCACTGCGCATTTTCAGCCTATCTGGCAAAATATCAATTACTAAATGAAAGCTGGATCCGGCTAAATATCTACTGCATTAATTAAAAATACCTAGAAAAATTTCATGGACTTTGTCAGGACACTGCACTCTTTCTTTTGATACAATGTGTATCATGTTTGCAAACCTTTCCAAAGTCTTTTGACACTTCTCATTTAAGGGAACGGGAATAAAACATGATGAATCATCGTTGTGTTGGCGGAGATGATTTATATAAATTCCTTTGGAAAAGGAAGGAACTAAATGACACATCACATTATGAGTCATTTGAATCACATGCAACATGGATACAATGCGTACAATCAGTTAAGCTGTGCAGAATATACATGTATACTATACATTGATCATCCGCTAAATATCCAGATACCATTTTTCCAATTCTTATACATGTAGTAGCGGTGTGCATTTACGGGTAGTATGAGAACCGGGTACCCGGTTAAAAAACACGGGTAGCCGGGTATCTGTTAAAGAATCCCAACCAAATATTGGAAGTTGCTGTTCAGATTGTGCATAAAGGCCCACATACTACATGTGCATTGTACCACATCGGTGCATCAATGCGGCAAGATACATGTGTGTACAATGAGCTTGATACAATTACATGTATGGTGAAAACTGCAGCTTGCGTCATGTGCGTGAGTGTACAAGCATTACATTCACTGTGTGGACTTCCGAACAAAAGAACACAAGGTTTCCCCCTCTCTGTAAAACAGGTTTAGAGGCATTTTGGGTTACATTGTAGGTTTATCCGTGGCAAAATGAAGAGAAACACTAAAGGGAAGCACAGAAAAAAATGTGGGTTGAAAGAGTTTTCACAGTAAAATAATTTTTTTCACTGGTTTTTCTTGTAACTACACAAAAAAAAGGAATGTCCACTCTAAGTATGTAAAACAAACATAGGTGTTAATGTGAAATCTGTTTTGTTTTTCCATGTAGCCTGGTTTTCATTCTGAAGTTTACGCACTGACATTCAAAACCTTTCTTTTTCGTTGTCTGAAAAGTTGCTAAGTAATTTGTAAAGTTGGTTACGGGTACCCGATGCCATAATCTGGAACCGGTTCCTGACATCAGCGGTCGGGCACTCGGGTACCCGGCTCCGATGCACAGTCCTACATGTATGAGGGCAGGGGGTGATACATGTACTTTTCCTCCTGTGTGTTTACAAACTATCTCAGGACAGTGTAAATTGCAAGGCCATCAAACTTTTGTAAACAAAGCATAGGCAGCAAAACATTTTTAGCTGATTGATATCTTCACCAATTAAACAAATCAGATGCCTACACCCACTATCTCTTCTGATGTTTACAAACTTGTGATACAATGTACATGGTACATGTATCCAATAATACAAAGGAACGATTCTGAAACTTGGTGATCTACTTTCTGATAATCCTGTAAATTATTTACATTACATTTTATTTGGCTATAAACATATTTATTTTAATTGTCCGCTCGTTAAATATATTCAATCAACTGATTAATTCCGGTTATAAATATTTCAGTTTGTTCAACCAGACAGCAAACTAATAACCCTAACTCCCTAGCATGATTTACTAGGAACCATACCCATCCTGGCAAATTCCAACACCATATGGGAAGCTGAACACACATACATATATTTCTGACTTTGTTTCTGGAGGTGTGCCAACCCAATGTAAAAGACTGTCAGTTTAGGGGTACTGCACCCATCCCGACAGATTCCAACAAAACATGCTGTTGGGGTTTGATGGGTTGAGTTCTGTTAGGATTAATACATTTAAATTCTCACAACAATTTTCCAAATTCATTGTTCCAACAGTTATTATTCAAGGCTCTGTTAAAACATTCCAATGCGGTCCAATGGGGGGGGGGGGGGATCTGTTGGGTTTTGTTTATAATCCGAGTAGAGAGAAAAATCTTTTGTACTGTACTTTTGTATGTTGAATCTTTTTACATTGAGCTGTGTTCATGCTGCAGTAGCTGTTGGATATCGTTCCTGGTTCCTTACGGAAATGTGAAACAAGTAGAAAGAGGTGGGAGAATCAGAGATTTGAAAATCCTGTTTAATCCTTAATTTTGTTTTCAAACTGAATAAGAAATCTGACTTCACCGGAAGTTCCCATCCAGCTCACAGTCATGCCAACAAAAAGTGACGAGTGAGGTGCCACATGAAATGCCCCCCCCCCCCAATAACTGGTTAAACATAGGTTGCATGATTCAATGACCACTGGGCCTTTACAAAAACACTCCAGAGCTGTAATGTTGAAAAAAAATTGACGGGAGCTATCTGATCAGTCAAATGATCAGGCTTTACCAAGAAGACCACTAGCAAGTGAATACAGTTACAATCAGAGACCATAGAGCAAATTTGGGGATGTTCTAGTTGTTTTCTTTAACCTGTGTCATACACTAAAAATGGAAGGCTTAATTTTTTGAAGGTTGGTTCCAATATCGAGTTTGCAAAAATGAAACCGACTTAACCGAGTAGTGGAATTTGGATTTTCAGATTAAAATCTCATCACTAGAAGAAAGGTGCATCAGATTACAGCAAGCCAAGACACTCAGCAATTGATAAAATTTAAAAAAAATTCTTTATTTCATTGGACAGATGCGTAGGAGGCGACTAGCCCGACTGGACAGAAGTCCCCTTGCGAGCGCAGCAACAACGGCGCCTGCCGGTGAAGAAAAGCCCAGTCAGCCTGGGCCATCAGCCAGCCAAGGGGATGAGGATAAGAGACTAGGGGTGCCAGAGCTGGCCCCCAAGGTACCCAGTGAGGTACCCAAAGAGGCACCTAGTGAGGCGCCCAGTGAGGTACCGGTATCACAAAAGGCTGCGGTTACCGTGGAGGCTTCAAGCCAGGGCGGGATGGATACAGGTTTGTTACTTGTTCATGTACCAATTTTTCCTGTTTTAAGCCTAGAACCCAGTACAGTACCCAATGAGGTCCCAAGTGAGGTACCCAGTGAGGTACCCATTTGGGTACCCATTGGAGCACCAGTAGGGTGTACAAGTAGTCTGTTTTCAGCTAGTCCTATTCCCATGAGGTACCCAGAGAGGTACTCAGTGAGGTCCCCATGTGGTACCCAGTGAGGTACCCAGTGAGGTACGCAGTGGACTTTCCAGTGAGACACCCAAGGGGAATCCTGTGAGGTACCCACTGAGGTACCCAGTGGGTTACGCAGGTATAAGATTCTGGCAGATTCAAGAAGCTCATAAAATAATCCTAGGATTTTCATGTACGGGTTTACACTACATGGATACTATACTATCCTCTTGAAGACAAAAGTCAACTGGGGTCCTACTTTGCCACATTGCAGATGATTCACAGAGCACCCCAAGTCAGCCATCGGAAACTATGGAGAGCGCCCCCAGTGTCCACGACAGCTTAGACTCCGGCTTCCCAGCCAGCATGGAAATGGACTCGGAAACATGTGACCAAGGGTAAACAGATTCAATTAATTTTGGTTAACCAATGTACAATGATTTCGCGAAAAGTAAGCGGTTTGTTTCCGTTGCCAGTACCACATCCTCTGGCAGCCGCATTTCCCCAAATTTAATACGATTAGGGTTTCCTGAATCTGTTAATGTTACATGCAGATATGCAACATATGTACATCCTAATCAGCCGTATGCTTTTACTCTGCTTAAAGGGACATTACGTCCTTAAATGCACCCAATTGGGCTACAAAACCCGTTTTGATGTTAGCTCAAATGATCTTAATTGAAAAGAGCATTTAATAGTAGGATATACATTGTAAATATCCACACAACCAACCTTTTATAAACTGGGTGTCTTTGTGTTATTTTTTGCGAGAACCACACGAGAACCAATTCTGGGGGTCAAAATTTTGACTCTCAAAGATCGAGCTGTTGGGTGCTAGTCATGATTCCTGCTGCACATGTTCGTGATTCCTGCATACACATTTGTGTATTGGTGCTGTGTGTATTATGTGTCACACACACAACATGTACAACAGAGCTTGTCTTACATACGCAGTGTGGACTTCCGAACAAAAGACGTCCACATAATGTAGGTAGCAGCGACGAAGTGTGGACTTGCCCACGTCCACACAGTGTTTCCCCATTTCTGGAAAACAGGTTTAGAGGCATTTTTGGGTTAGGTTTATCGGTAGCAGAATGAAGAGAAACACTAAAGGGAATCATTGAAAAAAAATTGGGTTGTAAGAGTTTTCACAGTTTGAGAAAAATGAGTTTTTCCACTGGTGTTCCTTAACTACACGAAAAGAAAGGAAAGTCCACACTAGGTATGTGAAACAAGTCTGGGTGTACGTGTTCTACATAACCCCCGAGGACCGACTCACAAAGGGAGAACAACAGATCCTTTCAGTCCTCGGGCGTTGGGTCTTTTGTTCCAAACGGTCCTCTGTAGTAGGTTCGTGTGCTTAGTCTATGGGAAAGTGTTAAAGTACAGGGACAAAGGGAAACACAATAGGTTGTCCTCAGGCGTATAGTAAAACACGACTGCGTGGACACAGCTGGAAATACGTACCGGTATGCGTATGCCACAAAATTTCCGCCGCATCAGAAGTATACAACCAGGATTTTTCTCAGGAACAGTGCAACATTATGTTAGTTTCCTTTCAACCAGACCTTTGAAATAGTATAAGTAAACAATCCAAAACATAATATTTGTGGGGATTTCGGGCCGTAATGCCCCTTTAATTGTAACGGGAAGTAGCTTAAAAGCCAGTTTTGAATTCCAGTCTCGGAGGGCGAATGACACACAAAAGCTGCCAGCAAAAAAAAAAAATCCATCAAGGGTTTGGGCGTGGCACCCTAAAAAATTAAATTTTAAAATGGAATTGATCATGTGTTAGCCCTGCATAAATAATGGACTTTCCAATGAAACATTGAATGAAAACCGATCTACGCTAAATTATCAATTTGTCAATTTAATTTGCCTCAATTGCCTCAATGGTAAAAAAGCCCAATTTATTTATTCATGGACATCATATTTTTTGAAAAGTCCTTTTGGGGAAAAAAAACTTAAAAATTTGACAAATCTTGGGGATAGGCCTACCACCTTTTAAGGGTCTTCAAGTGAATTTTTCTCTGGAACATTTTTTTTGTGGAAATTTCTACTCTTAAATGTATCAAAATATTTCACGCCCCTTTTTTGTTAATTTTATTGAAAAGTGTACATGTACTTCTTTAAACATTTACAATGTCCCATGCTTTTCTAGACAACTGAGGGCGCTGTTGCTGTGATGTCATTTCAGGAAGATGATATATTCAGTTTAAGGGTTTTCTGTTCAAAATGTGAACCCAAAAATTTGCTTATTGAAAACATTTGTGAGAAAAGTTTGCTCATTGGCATGCTGCCATGTACTAAAACAACAACGAATCACCAAAGAAAAGAAAATTGACGACAAGGAAATACCCACAATTCTGGCAACTTTTGGTGCTGAAATAGCTGTAACATTGAGATTTCTGCCTGAAATGACATCACACTTTTGCTCATGAATATATGGAAATCGAATTAGCCCCATAAAACCCAAAAGACAGCAAAATACTTGGAAAATGGCAAAAGAAAAGTGAAAATAGTGTTAAGTGGGATTGCTTTGACAAAATTACATTGTACGGGGGCCCTTTAAAAGCTGTCACAGGCACATTGACGGCGTTTGAACATTTGATTGACCACATCTGTTTTCGTTCAGACAAGTATTTATGTGTTGTAAATGTTTGATGTATAACGGTAATATTCCCCTCTTGAACCCAATCCCATTAATCTCTGTATCTCCCAAAGCTCGGTGTTTGTTACTCGTTATGCCGGCCCAAACCACCCCCGCACTCTATAGTTTTACAGGTTCATCGAGTAGTAAATTCAAGGGAAGATACAACATTTGCAAACATCAAAAAACGAAATGCTCAAATTATCATGAAATACCTTACTGGATTGTTAGGGAATGACAGTCTAAAGCATCCTGTAAGATCTTGGCTCCTGCTATGCTGACATTTTCAAGAAACATTGTATTTTTCCAATGCTCATCGGCCGACCAGCGTTGGAGAAAAATGACTTTTTTCAAAAACCTCTCCTAACTTTTCATATTGAGTTGTTCCGCATTTTCTTTGCAATTGATTACACACCTGTGAAGAGGTACAAGCCTGCTAGACTGGTTCTTTGACCTTATACAATTCCCCAAGGTCTATAAATTGTTCCGTTTCATCTAAAGAGGGGTCAGGGAACCAGACCTCAAGAACATGATTGGGTTTCTTGGTTTTTCCAGCATCTACGAAACCAAAACGTGAACAAGTCAGTTTAACAATATTTGCCATAACATACTAATCCTTCAAATCCATTTATTTCTGAAAATTGCAGCAAAAGCAAATGTTGTACATTCCCTTTAAGTGTTGCACATTTTTTTTTTAATTTACAAGTGCCAATGGGCTAAGCGATAAATCTTGCAAAAATGTGATGCTGTTAAAAACATTGCCATATGCCATTTTATTTTGACAGGTTCATCATAAAAATTATATACAAACAATTTCTACGATAACGAATGCCATTTGAAAATGTTGAACTCATTTCAAGATGAATTCGTCGATGACCTTTACAAATGTAGTTCTGATTGTGCCAAATTCAGCTTGAAATCACTGCATGGCTACCTGGCATGCCTGGGTAAATGTGTAGGCCTAATTGTGTATCGAGTGCTTGCAATAACACTCCTGGGCAAACCCTTGGGGGAGTTTTTTCCAAATTGCAGACAGATGACATTTACATTTGAGGAAATGTGGTTGGGTTTAGTATATTATCTTGTAAAAATCTGTTTTTCATATTATCAGTGATGGCTGAGTTTTGTATGACTTTTTTTTACGCACAGTCGAAACCCACAAATTGCAGAAATTTTTAAAAATGTTTCTTATTTTCTTCAAGATATTTTGAAAAAAAATCCTGTCATTTTCTGGAATGTTAATAATTATTCTGGAAAGTCTTGAACAATAGCACATTTTTATTAGTTAGAGTATACGGTTTCTGTACATTTCAGAAAATTTGTAGAAATAATGGAACCTATTTTTCTAGTTCTTGTAATCTCACAAAGAGACTCTTTATAGTTTTACCAATGTAGTTTTTTTTTAATGTTTGGGGGATAACTGTGTTCATGAATATCAAAATTATTATTTTGTCAGCAAAAATGTCTCTGAAAAATCTCTGGATTTTTAAAATGGTCCAGGAATTCAAAATCTTTTTCGACATGTACAACATTTTCCCTATAGAAATTCAGAAACTCAGATCTAAAAAAAAAAATTACTTCTGTTTTGTTGTTTCTTCCAACTAAAAGCACCCCTGTATACATGTACATGTACATGGTAGATCCCTACAAACTGTTTTTTTGCAAATACATGTACGTTCTCGGCGCATTATCATTTCAACTTCAAAGTAGTACAGTATAAACTAACAAGTGCGAGTGCACAATAAGCTCTGGCCACATGAACGTTTTGCATGAAATCTATCAAAATGATTCCTGCCAGAGCTTAAAAATGCGATGCTCCAAACGCAACGTCGATGGCACATATGTGGAACACCATACTTTAGATTTATACCTACATGTACTAGTGTAGATTGATAGTGATTTGTGATAAATACCATGTGACTATAACATTACTGCACATGTTTTGCCTCCATTAACAAACTTTTCGTAAACATCTTTCCGAATTGTTAAAAACAATTTTTGTTCAGTATTCAATTTGTTGTTTGCTCTTTAAGCAAATTTAATTTTGTACTTTACAACGACAGCATGGCACTTCGTCAATTAGTCAAAAAATTTTTGGTCATTAATTTTGGGTCAATTTTTTGGACATACAGACAGACTGAACGATCGGCTGACCACCAAGTGACATGTAGAACTCCTGCTAGAGCTTAAAAATGTGCCATACATGTACATGTATGTAGGCCCTACATGTGCACGAGCATGTATGAACTTCTCAATGGGTCAAATACAGAAAGTACAAACACTCAATTGAGATGCGTGTAGAACGTGCTTCCACCATCCTGGTTTTGTATTTAGTTACGTCCATGTATATAAACATCCTTGAACGTTTCCTGTCATTCACCTGAAAGCATTAAAAAAAAAAGTTCAAAGGAAAGTACAAATCTGTGGTATGGGATGTGACCTGTACTGTCAGTTTCACTGCAGCTGCACGGCGCCGCACAGTTTCTTGGAAACTTGGAGTTTGTGCCACGACGGATCCACTTTTTTTTTTACATTTCCTCTAATTCGATACACGTAAATGTGTCAAACCTCGACCACATGGTTGTGATTCATGGAATGGAGGACGTTTTGTGTACAACCCCAACCCAATTGGTTTACAGTAGATCCTCTAACGAGCAATAAATTTTCTGGAATTACCGCCAGTGTCAGCAATGGAAGATTGTGAAATTAATTTCGAGCGTCATTGTACGAAAGAATTATCTCCTGATCTGGTCATATGCGTCGAGCTCCTAAATATAATCCCAGCTAATATTTTTTTTTGGTCGATTTGGCGAGGTGAAAGAAGAGAAGGCGTCTTGGTTTTGAGGAATTTCCGGGGGTTAGACGTTTTTGAAGATGGTCCTGAATTTGATCTTCTCTTGCCTCTTTCCTAACAGGAGTCTGTCCCAGATGGACGTAGACTCGGGAATCGAGAATCCGGAACTGGAAGAGACAGTTAAGAAAGGCAAGAAACCATCTGCCGAAAAGGTAAGACTTCATTTGTTCTCAATAAAAAGAAAATGGTATTTTTTTTTTAATGGTAAGATAAGTCTTTTCACTCAACTATTAATCATATAATTTTGGTCCATGTGAATTGTAACAATGTATTAAAGTATTTTGTTATCATGAAATAACATCAATGTTTTATCAATTCGTTGTTGTATCCATAAATTAATATAACAATAAAATTTGAAAATTGTGAGCAAATGGTAGCGAAACAGCGTCATTGTTTGTACCCTTTCTAAAATGACCTCAATAAATGTATCATCTTTCTTTTTCTAGAAATGTCTGAGTGAGGCAGAACTGTTGCAGGTTGTGTCCCGTGTATTCCACGTTTCGTGGAAGGAGCAAGGGAGGGACGTTGTATATCTCCCTGGCTTGGCAACAGAATTTGCTGAAGAGCCCGAACAAGGTATGTCGTCTGATATTTTTCCAGTGAATGGAAGCGAGAGATTTGTCACATAGCTTATTTCATTATTCTTGATTGGAATATTTTTCATTATTCTTGATCTTTCTATTTTCATTATTCTCGATCATAGTATTTTCATTATTCTCGATCATAGTATTTTCATTATTCTTGACTGTAATTCTACATTGTAGTATTTTCACTATTCTTGATTGTAGTATTTTCATTATTCTTGATTGGTGTATTTTTTATTATTCTTGATCATTCTATTTTCATTATTCTTGATCATAGTATTTTCATTATTCTTGACTGTAATTCTTGATTGTAGTATTTTCACTATTCTTGATTGTAGTATTTTCATTATTCTTGATTGGTGTATTTTTTATTATTCTTGATCATTCTATTTTCATTATTCTCGATCATAGTATTTTCATTATTCTTGATCATACTATTTTCATTATTCTCGATCATAGTATTTTGATTATTCTTGATTGTAATTTTTGATTGGAGTATTTTTCATAATTCTTGATTGGAGTATTTTGAATTATTCTTGATCATAGTATTTTCATTTTTCTCGATTGTAGTTTATTCAGTATGATTGTGGTGTTCTCGTTCTTTTTGTAGTATTTTTAATATTTTCGTTATTGCAGTACTTTCACTCGTCCTGATTGTAGTATTCTCCACTTTATTGCAGTATTTTCCAACACAGACGACCTAATCAACCAGGTCCTGATGGAGGTTCTGACCCAGCACGCCTGCACCGGTAACCCCTTCGCTAACCTGTCCGCTACCACACCGCCGGCAGTGTCCACGGCCGGGGGCCATTCACCACAGAGGTTAGCAAATAAAAAACTTCCAAGCCGTATCTGAATCGGGCAGTTTGGGGCTGTGGCTTTGGTGCTCGCCAATGGTGTGTTACAGTTGATAGCTGCAGCTGGAGATAACGGCTGTTTTGGACACGGCCTGAGATTCTTGTAGATTCTTTGGTTATCATGACGGCTTTGTCATCCGGTGTAGTTGGTTGAGACTACTGCACTGCCAAAGAGCCCTGTAGTATGTACAGCAACAGTTTGAAAATTTTTGAATTCAGTCTTGTGAATGGATTGGGCGAGTTTGTTTCTGCATTCAATAGAGGACGTTGAACAATAGAGGACAATATGATCCCCAATTCCCGAAGGTCCCCAATTGACGATCGTGAACTAAACATATGGGAGGTCTTTCTAAAAAGTACAAACAAAAGAGGGACAATAGGGGGTCCCCGATTGCAGGCAAATACACACTTGTGTGCACACATACCTCATCAACGGTTACAAAGAGATCGTTAGATTGGACTTTTGAAAGTAATTCTACCGTATGCCTGGCGCTGGCGCGAACACAAATAGGGGTTTGTACTTCGTAGATATTTAGAACAAAATAAGTCTTGCATAGTTCGTTCCGTATGCGTGCATCCTTCACATGGAGCCCTCACCAGCAGTTACAAAGTGCCATTTACTGTTCATAAGTGGATTCCTTGGGAAGTTCATGAAGTTAGGATAGTGGAAACAAAAAGGCATATAGGATTATCTGCTTGTCATACAGGTTTTTCATTTCCAATAACAGCACCACTCAAAATCCAAAGAAGTATGTTCAAAACCTAACCTGTTGAGGTTTCAGCTCTGTGGATATAACACTTTTCAAGAAAACAGTGAAAAACAGTGCACAAGTTTTTGATCTCGAAACACGATTTCGTCAATAGCACTCTTTATTTCTAATGATCAGTCAGTTGACTGATCGTTGGAAATCATCAACATTTCAGGGTGTTTTAGTACCAGTACAATCTTTAATCATTATCTCTCCTGTAGTTAGACCATTCAAAACACCTCAAAATCTGGGTTCTGGCAAATAGGAGGGAAAAAAATACTGGACCTTTTGAAATCCTCCAGAATTTATCGTTACTGCACTTCCACACCTTTCAATTCCTTTCGAATGGTATTGAAATGCAACTTACTGAATTTGCCCACAGAGTTGCTTCACCTTTGGAAACCTTTCGAAAAGTTCCAGCACTATTTCACCTTTCAAAACCCTTTGGTCAGGCAAATTTAAAATGTTTTGATAATTCTAAGGTCTGATAATTCTCTTTACCAACTGCACTGGGCATAGCAGGGTTAATCCAAATCACCTTTTTACAATTTGCCAGGTTACCTTTCGGATAAATGCAAATGATCCTATATGGGATTAAGTTTGATAAAAATGTGCATTCCAGTCTCTTCATGCCAATGCTTTACTCCTCACAGTTCATCGCAGCAGACATCCACATCGCCCAGCAGTGCCGGGGACCAGTGTAGCGGGCAACCAGCCAATCCTGAGCCGGAGATGCTGTCCTACCTTCTGCAGTGCTACCAGCGCATTAGGAACGAGGAACGCACTGCCCCCAAGGTACAACTCACCAAATTTGCTCGGCGAAAAATGGTCACCAGCATTGCCCAGTTTAATGCAGAGATACCAGTTTTCCGGCTATTGCTGTAATTCCGGCTTTTTCATAATTTGGGAAAAAATCTGGGATTAACCCTAACCCTCCTCAATCCTCCCAAATCCTCCTGCCGGTTTTGAATGATTTTAGGGGATTGAGGATGAATGGCAAAGATGTATCGCTTTTTTTGTGGAGGATGCATTACGTCAAGCCAGTAGGCCATATGCTTCATTGGTTATGTTCAGCCATGCATAAATCAGCCCTGTGTTTTTCTCGTATTTCATCCGCACTGCTTCTAAACGCCATTTGCACTGCTTCAAACCATAGCAGTAAGTGGCAGAGGATTTTGCAGGATTGAGGCAGTGGTCACCATCCACAGACTAAATTCAAGAAATAACAGATGATTTTGGAGGATTGAGTCTGAATCCAATTTTTGTCTTGGTGGCGATTGGGGAATTTGCAGGATTGAGGTTGCATCCTAGCCAGAGGGCCTAGGGGGTTAGGATTAATCATTTTTCAGCCAATACTACATGTTACTACATAGACTTAGGTTTTTACTCCAAGGACGTATTATGAAAATGAAATAATCAATATGTATTTAACTCTTTGCCGATGTAACACAAAGCTGTTAATTTATGCAATAATGAAAGTGTTACAATTTGATTTAATACATTCCAAGCTTGCCAAAAGCATAAATTCATAATTATCGTTCAAGCCTGTTTGCAGTTAGCTATGAAATTTGCACACACTTAAATACAATTGTCTGTCGTGTTGTTAACCACAGCGCTACAGTCAACCGCCCTTCAGCAACCTAGCATCAACAGCCAGATTACAGTGTGTGCACCACGCTGGGCTAGTCCTACAAGGAGCCTTCACACAAACAGGGTAGGTTTGTAACTAGTCAGAGAACGCCCAGCCTGCTATTGTCCTTGTGACTGTTTACATGGGGTGGATAGTCAGACTGCAGTGAAAGTACAGCTGTCATGGTGCACAAAAACCAACACAGTTTCAGAACTATTCATAAGATGGAATTTGCGTCAGGGTGATGTATCGGTATCTGAATCTGTATCATATAGTCGGCAAAGCATCCCAGGGGAAACATCACACCAACTTAGAGAGAATACAGTGAGAAGAAATAACAGTTTTAGAGGTGGGAGGAAAAGCCCAGAAGATATTCTGGGGAAAAGCCACGGAATCAGGTAGGGACTGAAAACCCAATCTACATATTGACCCAGGAGGGATTCGAACCTGGGTCACAGCGGTGGAAGGTGAGAAATGTACTGCTACGCCAACCTGACTCCCCGAGTGTGTTACCTCCCAAGCGAAAGTTGGAAAAAAATCACGCGGGTGTGACTCGAACCCAAGACCTCCTACTTTCTAGTCCTATCCAGCCAGCTGATGAATTTGTTTTGGTTGCAAGCTCTTGCACAGCACAAAAATTATGTCAGTGAAGAGCGAAATCTAATAATGTTAAATTTACATCTCCATGATGCAAATTCCATCGAACTGCTTAATATATTCTCCCAAATCTCATTTTTGATCGAAGCCTGATTCATGTTTCAAATCCTTTCCAATATGGATATTTACGAGGTCTCTGGAGAGATACTAATGACTCTAACATATGTTAGTCCGGCGTCTCACCGAAACTCTCCATTCAACCCAAACTTCCCATTCAACTGAGAACTGGTACCTGCCGGGTGGACAATTAAGGCCGTTACTGAAAATTGTCATTACTAACTGCCTGTAGATGTATATGTATACAAACTAACAGGATGCTAGGGGGATAGTGCAAGTTTTACTTGCAGTATTTTTTTGATGTTCTGCCCATCAGGTCACAGACTTCATTATTAGTCCCCCAGCTTCTGAGCCATTCTCTCCCACGAGGATTCCTTCAGGAGCTGGCCACAGCTGCCAGGGAGGATGATTCCAGCTTCCGTCAAGTAAGTAGATCTAGCAAAAACTTGGAATGTGGTAGAAATGTGGAGCACTGTGGTCCAATACCTACGGTGTTCGACCCATGTGCCATGGTACATGGGTTCGAATAATAATAATAATAATAATAACTGTATTTATATAGCGCTTTTTGCCAGAGGATACAAAGCGCTGGTAGAGAATGCAACCAAAGACAGGTAAATGAAGTATATGAACATATGAGACCCATTATGTAGCACCTTTTTGCTAGGTGCTGCGGCGCATAATTGCTGCCACTGCCAGAAACACCAGGGCAAACCCCTTCTCTTAGCGACAAGTGTTACTGGGTTCTTTAACGTGCATTACACAACACACGGGACCTACGGCTTCACGTCCCATCCAAAGGACGAAGCAATAATGGTAAAGTGCCTTGCTCAAGAGCACAAGCACCATGTTCCCACGGTTGGGATTCGAACCCATGTACCACGGCACACAAGTCGAACGCCGTAACCAACATGGTGCTTGTGTTCTTGGGCAAGACACTTTACTACAATTGCCTCTCTCCACCCGGGAGTATACTTGGGTACCTGTGAGGGTACAGACCAGATTGTGCTGACCTCGAGCTGCTGCAGCAAAATGGTCTCATGGCCTGATGAACAGGGGTAATAATTAGCATTTTGTGTCCTTCGGTACAAGGTGCTTTATAAATACCAGTTATTGTTGTGATTACTAATTATTAAACTATTCTGATTGTCTACAACAGAGATCAGTGGGTAGTTTTTGTGACTCAATATCAGAGGGTTAAGGGTTTGAATCCTGCCGCTGGCCATGTGTTCTGCCCTTGGGCAAGCCACTTTACTTTCACTTGTCTCTCTCCACCCAGGACTATATCTTGGTTCTGCAAATAGCTAGGGAATAACCTGTGATGGACTTGCATCCCATGCAGAGTGAACAGAAATAGTCATTTCATTCCAAGGAAACTGGAGATAAACGAAGGCCCGATGAGCCGTATTTGCACAGGACAGACTTTACAGCAAATATCCCTCGTTATTCATCATTAGATTTGGATCTGTTGTTATGTTTACCAAATGTTCAAATCACAGAGAGAGATTCATGTTGCCAATCGTTTTTGCTTCCTCGTAGATATTCACTCCGCTAATCATTGGGCTTGTGCAAGATATCCAGCGATGCTCCTTGGACGGTGATAGCTACAAGGGTCCGTTGTCTGTAAGTTGAACATCAAGTGGCCGAGAGACCGATCCGTTTGGCTTTGCTCACTGCGCACGCGGGCAAGAACACATGCAGTACCGTATGTTCCATCCGTGCGTGTAATACGCGCGTGCACGCATATCGGGCATTTGTATACGCATGTTGGACATTAATCACGGTTTGTGATTGGTCAAAACATTATTGGGAGGAGCTTAATGGATTGGTCTAGTTTTGTTGAGCTTTGGTGCACAGAATTCAGCACAGAACATTTGTGCTTAGCTACATTGGGTTACCGGCCAAAATGTCATGTGTGTATATTGCAAGTGACTGGTAACCAGCATGTTTTTGCTGAGTTAGAAAATTAGGTATGCAATGTTTTCTGCTTAATCGTTCTGAGAAATGGTGCCTGCTGTTTTAGATAATTAGTGTATTAGGCCAAGTAAAAAAAAAACATGTTCAGCATCCTGCCTTTTTTAATAAAAGGAAGGAGGTGGCCTTTTTTTCCTCCAAAATGGCTGCCCGACTGTGCTGTTTTTCAAGATGGCCGCCCGTTTTTTTTTAAAATGGCCGCCACTTGGAAATGACATGCCAGCTTTATATGGGCTAGATGCAACAGACAAACAGGTGAAAATGATGTCACTGTTTAAAATTTCTCATTTGTTCGGTTTAAAAAAAACCCAAAAAACCAGGAGGCGGCCTCCAAAAAGGAAGTGAGCGGGGACGTTTAACATGTTTTTTTTTATGTGGCCTTAGTGTTCATTTTTTGTCACCCTTACAGTCTCTTAACATATCTTTTACTGCTGTTAAGTGTCACAACTTTGTATAATACCATTTGCGTTTTTTTTTCTGTCTGACAGGCCATGAATGAGCTGTGCAAAATAAAAATAGGAAACTCCCGACCAATATGCAAATTAGTAAGTACATGCACAAATTTATTGGAGTTCTCTTCGTTTCATGTTAAATTATGTACGAGGGTTCTGCCACTCATCTAATCCACATTGCATTTCGAAACTTTGACGTCCCTTCTTTACTCACACCTTGCATGGTCTTTCTTTGTTTCAACTTTGATATCAGAAAACATGGAAAGTATTACGTGTTTTTTTTTAGTTGAGCTCACTACCGCAATGGCTACCAGATTCCATCACGGGGGCGGTCGGTCGAGAAGTGGAGAAACTATCGCTGCTGGGGGCATTCCTGTCTCTGTCTGTCTTTGCTGAAGATAACGTGAGTAAAACCAAAGGGTAACTCTGAGGTTTTCCAAGTTCAATTCAGTTCAGTTCATTTGTTTCTCCACTTATTCAATTCAAGATTCATGAAAAAAAAAGTTAAATCGACCAATATTACATGTAGTGATGTACCTTTACGGGTAGAATCGGGTATCTTAGTGGATGGAACTTTAAAATGGTGGTTGTGTTTACAATTCTGTAACTTGGAAAGTACATAAGTGAATTGAATGATTCGATTTGAAAGAAAGCTTATGAATTGGGCTTTCATATCCTAGATTTTAAGAGTGCTACATGCAGAACTTCACTAAAACAATAGTCCCGACATTTGGGTTTGGTTTTTTTTACTCACCCTGTATATTTATTTTTGGATTTTGATGATATTGCAGACAAAAGTGGTTGAAAAGTATTTCTCAGGGCCCATGTTGACGCAGGATAACGTACGAATCCTTAACGACAGCTTGCAGCACCATCTACACTTTGTCAGAGTAAGTCCACTTTTTTTGCTGTTATCAATACAAAATTAAGACCCTACAAACTAAATTTCTTGTGAAGTTTTTACCCATTTTTTTCTTTCTGAAGGAAATGCAAAAAATAATGCACAACCGTGTTGAGTTTATGTATACAAAATGGTGAAGTGTATGTTTTTGCCATTTGCAGTGTTATACATTTTTCTGACACTAGAGGTCGCTGTTGCATCCCCTCCCCTAAATTTGAATGCCTGACATTTCTAAGGAACAACTTCCTGTGCATGTTTGTCTTATCAGAATGAACTACATGAGATCATCCACAGCATCTTAGTCAACAGCGAGAGCAGGGAAGCCATGGTCACGTACTTTGCAACGGTCATCCAACGGAATCAGAAACGAGCCCAGATGCAGGTAGGGCATCATACCAGAAACTTGGAAAGATAACAACACCCTTACCCGACCCCACTCCCCCCCCCCCCCCCCCCTAGACCCCTACCCACAGTTACCTAAGAAGTCAACAACTTTTATTACTACACCTCATCAATATTCATGATCAAATTGGATCACGTCATTGGCCGATTCCGCCGTGCGTCCGGGATACGCGCCCAGGTGACGTCATCCAGGTGAGTATCCAGCTCGCTGCCCTGCGGTATGTTTTCTGGTAGCACCAAAAATTCCCTCTGGAACCCGCCTCGTAGACATGTAGTCTGTGGCATGTAATCTTTATGGCACCAGTCTGTTGTTGTAGTCCTTGTAACTACTACAGTAAAGGCACATTAAAGAGTGTTGGCACCAGACTATTTCATTGACTGACGAAGAACTTGAATATCTTGTGCTGGATAAAGGTGCGAAACCTACGAAGGCCGTTATGGACAAGGCAGCGAGGCTACTAAAAAGGCACTGAGGCTACTAAATATTATGAGGTGTAGTAAAACAAATACAGCATGGTTTATTTCTGGAAAATAGTTGGAATTACTGGTCCCTCGGTCATGTCGGTGTAGGTCAGCTTGACTACCTCCCTCCTCTTTGCGTCGGGAGGTAGTCAAGCTGACCTACACCGAGGGACCAGTAATTCCAACTACTTCCCCTCAAACCATGCTGTATTTGTATACTACAAGAAATCTGCTGTATCGCCCCCCCCCCCAAAAAAAAAACCCACCAATGTCCTTTTCTTTGTGGCGTGCATTGTAAAAACACTGATGTTCCCATTACAAGCAAGTTTTAGAATCACACCCTCTTATAAATATTTTGCACAGCAAAAAATAATTATTTAAGTAACACGGCAATTATCACATGAGCCTGTTGCAAGTTTTGTGTGGCATGCACATGTAGCTGCACTGTTGTTGTGGCATAAGCTTCAGTCACACAAAGCACTTGGGTAAAGAAAAACATAATGCTCAGTAAGAAGGGTTCATTTCTATCATATTCATCATAAGATGGAATTTTTGCGCCAGGGTGATGTAAATCAAATTAGGTTTTGCCCTTCACCAACGTTCAAACACTGTATACTCAGTGTGTTACCTCCCGAGTGAAAGTTGGAAAAAAATCACAGGAGGAGCAGGAGGTCGTGGGTTCGAGTCCCACCCGAGTGATTTGTTCCAACTTTCATTTCGGGAGGTAACACACTGAGTATACAGTGTTTAAACGTTGGTGAAGGGCAAACCTAATTTGATCACATTTATCGTTAGATACATTTTGTTCACACAGCTAGCTGTGTGTCTGTGATTTGAAAACACGTTCCTTTTTATGGGTAAAGCAGTTTTGTTTTTTTCTGAAGGTGTTTGATGTTTACATTTGTAAGTTTTGTTGGTACAATCTTTGTTGCTCAGGTTGATGAGAGTCTAGTAGCCGGCGATGGGTTCATGCTGAATCTGCTGGTGGTGCTACAGAAACTGAGTATGAAAATAAGACTAGACAAGGTAAGGGTGCTCATCTCTGTCATATAGTATATTTTTGGGGGGGGATGTGAATTATAAACCCAATTTTAAACATTCATTGTGCTATACACTGTAGTGAGGAAACTATTGAAGCTATATGTATCACAGCTATGCTCTTGAAGTGATGTGTGATAATGAATCTAACTGTTGAGATTTTATGATCATCAACTGTCACCTATCGCGTTATCTGCGGCTATATCAGGGCAAGCTTGGTGGTTGAGTGTTAAGATGACTGCACTAGTAAGCAGGAGTTTGTGGGCTCGAGTCCCACGCAAGCAAATTTTTTTCTGAAAGGTTCTGGTGCGGCACTGAATGCGCAATGCGTATGAAATTATGCCAGTGAAGAGCAAACCTAAAATTTAAAGTTTAAGTGTCGTCTGTATTCCAATGTATCGCTAAAGTCTTGTCCCCTTTTCGTTTCTGCAGGTCGATGTGATGTATCCACACCATCCCAAGTCTCTCATTGACATCTCCCAGGACACCCGACTAAAAGCCACATCGCAGGAAGCGACCGAGTGGGTTGAAGAATGCAGTAAGTCAAACTCCTAAATTCTTTTCTTCTCCTAAATTCAGTTATCCAATTTTTAGAAAAGTTGCTGTCTGGAAAGGTCGGCATAGCAGATAACTGATCCTGTTACACCAAAGCTTGCAACCAAGCCATCATGTTAGTTCTAATCTCAGGAGCACCCTTCTGACTAACCACATTACCTAACCACATTACCTTTATCTCCCCCCCCCCCCCCCACCCCCCCCCCTTCCTCTCCAGAAAGCAACCATCCATCTGGCTGGAGCCCAAGTTCCTTACCCAGTGCCACTTCCAAACCACCCCAACCCCCCCCCCCCCTTCTACCAACTTCTAGCACCCAATCCAGTTTATCATTTAGCCTGCAGGAATTCAGCTCCGACTTCTTTAATCATCATCATCTTTGTTCTCCCATCCTCTCCAGATAAGCAACCTTCCATCTGGCTGGAGCCCAAGTTCCACACCCATTGCTACTTCCTAACCCCTGACTACTAACTTCTAGCACCCAATCCGGTTCATCATTTTGTCTGCAGGAATTCAGCTCCGACTTCTTTAATCATCATCATCTTTGTTCTCCCATCCTCTCCAGATAAGCAACCTTCCATCTGGCTGGAGCCCAAGTTCCACACCCATTGCTACTTCCTAACCCCTGACTACTAACTTCTAGCACCCAATCCAGTTCATCATTTTGTCTGCAGGAATTCAGCTCCGACTTCTTTAACCATCATCATCTTTGTTCTCCCATCCTCTCCAGATAAGCAACCTTCCATCTGGCTGGAGCCCAAGTTCCCGACCCAGTGTTACTTCCTGACCCTGCACTGCCAGCACCTGGCCCTCATGCCAGCGTGCCGTCACTACACCCGGCGCATCCGGGGCATGCGGGAGCTGGCTCGCATGGTGGAGGAGTTGCAGACCTCGGAGGAACTGTGGAAAGGAACGCCCAACGAGAGACGGAACCGCCAGCTGCTGGACAAATGGAAGTCCCAGATCAAGGTATGGCTCCTGTGTTCTTACTGTCATTCTTGTGCAAGCTTAGGTGAGGACCATTAGTCAACTAATGGTTTGTGACGTGTCTTACGCCTGCGTACAAATAGGCGGGTACGAATGCCTTCTGTCAAAAGCTGGTCAACACATTGTCACAAAACTGATTGATCCTAGCTCCTTGCTGCATTGGTAACCGGCGATGAAACTGTGCCCCGGGCTCTGGTACAGACTAAACCGGTGACAGCCATTTTCTGCGGTGGCACTAGGCTTCGCACGAGTCGTGCTCAGATAGTACGCGCGCCTCAGGATCCTTCGACCAGTAGAAAAACCAAAATAGGCGAGCACCTTGCCTTAAAGAACGTGTGCAGCAAGCGCGTGAGAGTGACATCACTCAGCTCGACATCAATCAACAGCTTCTAATTCTGGTTGCCGGATTAGGCTATACAAATAGTCGACTTGAGTAGCCCAACCATCCTGCGTATGAGTGGAGTTGGTCGAACTCTGTCTACATCAAATCACTTCTGTAACACTCATGGTCATTAAATAGACAACTGGTTCTTCACTCCTAATAGTAAGTTCCTAACTTAGAGTCCTACACCGCATGTTTTTCATCCACTCCTCCTGGATAATATTGCTTTGCAGAAACTGGACAAAGCCAAGCTGTGTGGCGATGCTGGTCTTCTGGACGAGACACTTCTCAGAAACTGCTTCCAATTCTACGGCACTGTCATGTCCCTGCTACTCAAGCTACTCACGCCCAAGGACCAAGAGTAAGATATCCACAACTTAAAAAAAAACCTACTCCTTAAGGCCTCCCCCCCCCCCAAAAAAGTCTCCGGTTTCTGGTATGGAGCTTGCCCAAAAAGTGGTGCGGCGACGCGGCTTTTTTTTTTTTTTACCTGATTTTTTTGCTTCAAATGTCGGCTGATGACTGCAAATGGTGCCCGACGAAACTTAGTGCAAATATATGGGAGTCCACAGAGGCCACACAAAGCTTATTCTTGACCATAACCCAATCTAAAATCACGTTAAAATTGTGCAGCAGCAGGATTCCAGTCAAACCAGTGAGTTTGGCGGTTTTGAGACATCATCTTTCATTGAAAAAAAAAAGTTTTCATTTTGCCGACGCGCATGGCTACAGCGACGCGCGCGCATACCAGAAACCGGAGACTTTTTTTTGTGTGGCCTAACTAGTCTTGTTTACATTGAAATCAAAACTACATATGCACAGAAGCCGCTCCTCACATTTGTGATATTTATTTTGTCATCAGTAGTGAAAAGCCGTTCCAAGTTAACGTTTATTCTCATTTTGTGTGTCTTTTCCCCAAGGATAATCAGTCTACCTCTGCCCAAGGAAGTGCCCATGGAGTTTGCCACGTTACCCGAACACTACATCGAAGACATTGCCGAATTCATTCTATTCACCGTACAGTAAGTTTGCAGCCCTCTCCCCACTCAGGCTATTGGCACGACTTGTGGGTATAATAAATGGAAAATTCGCCCTTGAAGTTTTGCCGGTGTGTTATCACAATCTGTTTGGGTTAACTAGAGTCGTTCCTAATAGGGGGCCATCCATAAAGTACGTACACATGACGTAGTAAGTATAAAGTACGTCCCCCCCCCCCCCCCCCCCCCCCCCCCGTACGCGTGGCGTACACAGTGCCCCCCCCCCCTCCCTGTACAAGTACGTACTCCATAAATTGATACAAGTAAGATACATGCACATTGTACATTTCAGGTGTACATTTAATGCACATGAACATGTACATTACAAAGCATTATGAATGCGCTAAGCTTTTCAGCTAGTTAAAGCAGTCTTATTATTTAGTAATGTCGCGGCGCCTGAATTTTAATGACCTCAACAGGCGCGGCGGCACTGGGAAGATAAATCTAAATGGTAGGAGTGAAGTGTACAGTGTTATAATGATTTTCCATGCATTAAAAAAAATGGTCCTGGTAGGTATTAAATATGACAAAGTACATTGATTTCTAAACAAATTATTAAATGCTAATTATCGCTCTGCGTATGTACATATTGGCTTAGAAGCCTCCTCCCCCTGTACGCATTGTGTACACGATGTTAACACCCCCCCTTCCTCCACCTTCATGCATACATGCTTTATAGACGGCCCCATGTATTGTGATCGATACGACTCTGCCGCGCCTGTCTGAAAGCAGCGCAAAGGATCTGCTGTTGATTACATTGAATTAACACTGTACTAGTCTGAATTGCTTGAGTGATGCTTCAATTTGGTCATTTCTTCATTTGTGTCCTCTCGTTGCTGCTTTCTCTCAGACACTGCCCTCAGGCTCTTGAAGACACCGCCCAGCAGGACATGGTGCTATTCATTGTGGTCATCGCCTGCTCAGCTCACTGCATCCGCAATCCCTACCTGGTGGCCAAGATGGTCGAGGTAAAAGTTCTTAAAAAAAATATGATCTGACTGCTGGTGACTAGCCTTTGTTAAAAGTATAGCAGGGAAAGTGGAAGTGAGTTTTCACTGTCTGTGACTGTTTAAATAGCAGGAGGGTTAGTCCTGACCCTGTTACGTTTTGAAAACTCTGCAAAATTAAAAAAAAAAATAAAACAGTCAGTAGTGCCAATGTAGTTGTATTCTATAACAAAAATATGGCTGTGCTCTCTCAGGTATTACGACCTAAAACTGATTCTAGTGACTTTTATTAATAAGCACTCCACAAACGGAGGCCAAAAAACAATAATAATAATTTTTTTAAAAAGGAGAAGAAAAATCCACTCTGTGAGTTTTTTTTTTTTTTCAGGAAAGAGTTTAAACATTCTTTTTAAATCACTATTTTTTTCAGGTAATATTCGTCTTGAGTCCAGTGGTCCAGGCAAGAACGGCCAAGATCTACGAGGCCATTCAGAATCATCCGCTGGCCCAGAATCACTTGGTGCCCGCACTCATGACATTCTACACTGGTAAGGCCCACGAGAAATGGATTTATTGGGGGATGAATTTTTAACAGCTTCATATTGCATTGGGCTACCCAGTTACAATAAGAATTATGTAAATAATAAATAAATATATAGGTGATCCAATGTTATTAATAGTCTGTCAGCAAACCTACAATCTCAGACTTGAGGGAGAGTCTAGGCTTAAGAGTTCTCCAGATACCCTTTATGTTGCACACAACCCCAGTTTCTGTTGAATCAAGCAAAATTTAAACTCGTAGACTTGAACTCAAGTCATTATTTGTGAGCATGCAATATTTTGCCAGTTTTACCACAGCTTGTATTTTGATTTCCCTTTGAATTTCCTTTGAACCAGATGTTGAACAGACAGGAGCCAGCAGCGAGTTTTATGACAAATTCAGCATCCGCTACCACATAAGTATCATCTTCAAGTCGCTATGGAGACTGCCTATGCATCGCAACGCCATGATCACATTCAGCGAGTAAGTACATTTCAGTGATTACTGATAAACCACTCAAAAAGACAGTTTTATAAAATAAATTACAGAGTTCTTAAAATACCCCTCTCGTACCATACTTTCAATGGGGGCGCTGTTGAAATCCGACCATCATGAACACTATATTACAGAATAATGTACAAATACCCCTGTAACCCAGCTGGCTCTGTACCTGTTTTTTTTTTTTGGGGGGGGAGGGGTTCACATTATTTTTTATGTATTTTTAACATAAAAATGGATCCACGTATGAACTCTGGAATTAGCACCCTACCTTCTTTCAGTGCATTACCACTATTCCCTGTTGCCAGGTCCCAGACTGAGTTTGTACGTTTCATCAACATGCTGATGAACGACACCACCTTCCTGCTGGACGAGAGCCTGGCTTGCCTCAAGAGAATCCACGAAGTCCAGGAGGCCATGAAGAACAAAGAGGCTTGGAACGCACTGGACCAGGTATGCGATTAGCGGGAATTGGTTGGGAACCAGTCACCCTCAATACTAAACCTATGTCATTTTGGCTGGTAACCTGGGGTTTTTTTGCTTGACAAATATTTGGCATTGCTTGATGGTTAGCAGAAAAGTTTAAGGAAGCCATGATGAACAAAGAGGTTTTGAACACACTGGACCTAGGCCCAATTTTGTGGCTCTGCTAAACACAGAATGTCGCGCTTACAATCACCATTCTCTGCTAACAGTGCTAGCAGAAAAATGTTTGTGCTTACCCTGTAAGCACAGAATCCTTAGTTACAGGATGTACGCATGCACAGAAGCCAAAATTCCTTGTTAACCTGTAAGCACGGAATTTTCTGCTATAGTAAGCAGGGATTTTTCACTATTACGGTAAGCAGAGCCATGCAATTGGGCCCAGGTTTGCGCTAAGCAGGTAATTGATGTATTTGTTTTGTGTTTTTGACAGGAGGAAAGACAGGGTAAAGCCCGCCAGTTGTCTACGGATGAGAAGCAGTGTCGCTCCTATCTGACACTCGCCAACGAGACACTAGAAATGTTCAATTACCTCACGAAAGAGATCAAAAAACCATTCCTCAGACCGGTGAGTTGCTGGAAGCATGTTTTTCTTTTCTCAGGAATTGTCCAGGGGGCTCAGGGTTAGGGAGTCCATACAAAGTGGACTTGGCTACAACAATTTACAGTCTCTCGTGTCTCGTCTCTATTTGCATGACAGGAGCTGTGCGATCGTCTAGCCGCCATGCTCAACTTCAACCTGCAGCAGCTGTGCGGCCCCAAATGCAGCGACTTGAAGGTGGAGAACCGGGAGAAGTACGGCTTCCAGCCCCGACGGATGCTAGACCAACTAGCTACCATCTACCTGCATCTAGACAGCGAGGAGCTGGCTATCGCACTAGCAGATGATGAGGTAAAGACAAACACAAAATGGGAACGCAATCAGAGCAAGATTTTGGGGATGTCCGTAAACCATGGTAATGGCCTTGGCGTCAGTTACGGGCTCCAGTTTTATGATTGCAATTGCCTGACATGGGGGACTAGGGGTTTTTGAAACCATGGCTTCGTCTGCAGTTGCGTGATTTTCAGCACCTAACATAGGAGACAGAGAGTGTTTTTCAAACATTGGCTTTGTCTCAGCTTCGGATTCAGGCTCCAGTTTCATGATTGCAGGTCCCTGACATGGTGAACCAGGTGTGTTTGTAGCCATGGCTTCACATTTTTCGTGATTTTAGGCGCCTGTCATGCGGAACAAGGTGTTCTTGAAACCTCGGTTTCATCCCTAGTTCAACGTCAGGCTTCAGGTTAATCATTTTAAGCCCCAGGCTTTGAGAACAAGGTGTTTTTGAAGCCATGGCTTCTCCAGCTGTGGGTACATGCTTAAGACACACGGTTGTCCAAATCTGGGCTTCGTCCTAACTTCGGCTTCACGCTTAAGTTGGAATTGATGTACTTGCCACCTTCTTTCGGGTACCTGTGAGGGCAGAAAGTATGTGTTTGATATTCGGTTGCACTTATATGGCAGCGTCGAGCTGTATACTCCCCAGGGAGCTGAGATGGTCTTCACTTTGTTTTTAGTGGCCTGGTGAGCAGGGGTAATAATGATGTAGTGCGCATTGATAACCTGTTTGTTTAATTTGTTTAATCTTGTTTAATATTTTGGCTATACAGGGTGAGTTTAAACAAATGCATCCCAAATGTCAGGACCAACTTTTGAATGAAGTTTTGCCTGTAGCACTTTCCAAATCTAGGATATGAAAGCCCAGTCATTAAGCTTTCTTTTAGTACAAGAATCATTCAGATCACTCATGTACTTTCCAAGTTACGGCATTTTGAATACAAACAGTTTTAAAGTTCTGTCCACGGATCACAAAAAAAGAAAGTGTTTTTTTTTTCAGCAAAAGGAAAACAATTCACATGCATCCGTATGGGAATTGTTTTCGTTTTGCTGAAAAAAACACTTACTTATAAATCCATATTGTAATTATAATTGTTACCAGAAGTATTAAAATTATAATGATAGTCACAATCACAAAACCTGTCTGACCACTTTTCATTCTCATTAAAATGACACAGCGATCCTTTCGGCCTGGTCTGGTGAGCGACGCCCTGAACATCTTATCCCGGCTCAAGACCCAGTCCGAGATTCATCAGTTCTCCCGTCTGATGGAACGAGCCCAGGAGATCACCTCCCGCAACCAGCAGATGGAGCTGGACTATGACGACGCGCCGGATGAGTTCAAAGGTCAGATACTGAGCTTGAACCCATCGGCACTTGTACTACATTGTATTACATTGTATTACTTTGTATTACATTGTATTACACTGTATTACACTGTATTACACTGTATTACTTTGTATTGCATTGTATTACATTGTATTACTTTGTATTACATTGTATTACATTGTATTACATTTTATTACATTGTATTACATTGTATTACATTGTATTACATTGTATTACACTGTATTACATTGTATTACATTTTATTACATTGTATTTATTCACTGAAGAATCTATGAAACCATTGAGTTTTGGCCCATGCAGGAAGTGATAGGCAGGGCGGTCTGGGGCGGTAGTGGGACTAAAGAGTTGTGTACTTTTAAAAAAATCTCCATATGCTTTTTTTTGGTCAACTTATGTACTCCTTGGACACTTATAAGATCCTTTGATCCACTTATAAAATTAGGTTGAGCTTGTGATATGAAAACTACAGTGCCGAACATTTGGCTGTACAAATATTCCTTTTTTGCTGGCAGAGAATTGCTACAACAAAATACCACTATACCATGCAATCTGTAGTGGGCCCCGTTGTGTTCGTTATGTTAAGTTCCACTGTATGTGGTATGCATACTTCAATATATGACAAATCAATAATATTGTGGTGTTACATTTGTGGTCATCATGTTACCGTCCTTAGACCCTTTGATGAACATCATCATGTACGACCCTGTCATCCTGCCCTTGGGCCACATCATCGAGAGGAAGATCATTGAGCTACTACATCGTATTACATTGTATTACTTTGTACTACATTGTATTACATTTTATTGCTTTCTAACAAACCAATCATGTTGTGGCGTTACATTTGTGTTCATCATGTTAACATCCTTAGACCCTCTGATGAACACCATCATGTACGACCCCGTCATCCTGCCCTCGGGACACATCATGGAGAGGAAGATCATTGAGCGCCATCTGCTCAACTCTCAGACCGATCCCTTCAATCGACAGGAACTCACTAGTGACATGCTGGAACCAGGTAGGTGTAGTGTTTATGCAGTGCTTTCCATCGTATCAACAATCTCAATGCACTTTACAAATATTCCCCGTTCATCATGCTACTAGACCACAAGGCAGCACACATTCGGTCATATACCCTCACAGGTACCCATTCATACTCCTTAGAATTTTACAATTATTCCCCCGTTCATCAGGCCACTAGACAACGCAGCAGCTGATATCAGCGCACATTCAGTCCTCTACCCTCACAGGAACCCATTCATACTCCTGGGTGGAGAGGGGCAATTGTAGTTAAGAGTCTTGCCCAAGGGCACAAACACCGTGTTCCTGGCAGGGTTTTGCATATTTGTGACCTGTTCTGTCAAAAGCAGACGCTTCTGGGCAGAGGTTGAAATTGAGATAGGGCCAAAAAACGCTGTGGGGGTGATTTTTTTTCCATTTTCTAATTTTTGCATATTTGTAATCCTGAGCATGTCTAAAATATACTATAAAAGTTTGAAACCCTAATTTGATCTCTAATTATAGTATTTTTGATGATTTGTTAAGGTATATCAGTTAAAGAAATTACTGGTTTGTGACGTTAGTGGCCATTTTCTCTGTTTTCTACTTTTCGACACAATGAACTTCAAAATAGCATAACTATGCCCAGGAATTACAGGTTTAAAAAATTAAACCACCTATTAAAAGGAAACAGAACACATTTTAACAATATGCAAAAATCTCTGCCCAGAAAAGTCTGATTTTGACAGAACAGGTCACATTTAGTCACTGACCAAGACTAGGTTCAGCCAAACAAGAATGAAGTGAGACAGGCTTGCTTCCTCCTCCCCCCCCCCCCCCCACCCCACGTTCTAGACCTTTAAACAACAGCAGCTAGAGAGTTAGAGCCCTTGAATGTGTGGTTTATGCGCACGATTTAGTCCCGTTCAAGCCTAAAGCCGGCCGCAGGTCGACCTTGCGACGACACAGATCAGTCGGCGACTAACTTTTCAGGATAAAGCTGCGTCTGAGCTACGACCGTCGGGAACAACTCAGTCGCCGATTTTGTGCAACCTGAGTGTAACTGCGACGATATTGAAACGATCGGCATCAGTTGGCGCTCAAAAACATCACCAGTTGCAAGAGTATAACAATTTCAACTTATGGGACGTGTTCCCCGACCATCACACGATTTCTCTGTTCTGTGATCTGAGCATAATTTTTGTGCTTGATGCATCACCCTAATATTAAAACGAGTGTCCAATGCTCAAAATGTCTGTATTTGAAATTCCTTCGGTGTTTTCTTTTAGAATAGAAATGGCAAGGTCTTTCTAATCTGTGGAAATGCTTTTTTTTTTTTTTAAACCATAACTTTTCTACTTCAAGTCGTTGAGATTTTCAACCCTTTTTTCATCAAAACCCGTGCCTAAAGGCTTATAGGTAAAAATCCATTTGATCATGTACAGTTCTTAACTCTTTTTTGGTTTCTTCTTTTCTATAGCAACGGATCTCAAGAAAAGAATCGTGGATTGGATCCAAGCCAAGAAGACCAAATTGTGACAAGATTCACCAGTTCACACCCCATTCCTTCAAAAAAACCTCCAGTCTTAGTCGTCAAACCTTTTAAGTTTCCAACAACCATTCTTTCAGAAGTTTCTTCCAAAACATGCTTTGTGTATTTCTCAGTCTCAGAATTATGCGCTTTATTTAGGAGTTTTGGAACGAAGGAGAAACTAACAAGTTTGGATGTCAAAACTATATTCAAAGTGGCTTGGGAACAGTTGAAGGGTACCAGCCGTACTCTCGTCCAATAGGAGCCCCTGAACCCATTTCCAATATAAAACAGGCCACTTGGAGTTAGAGTATTTTTCTAAGATGCTTGACAGCCGGTACCTTTTGGGGAGCACAACTTTTGGAGTTTTCGAGGAATAAAAAACTGAGGGAAATGTGCGATGTGATGTTTGGTCCATTATAGACGTCCTGGAGATTTCTCGCAAACTTTTGAAATCCGCTTCATGAATTAGGATTTTTAACAATTCTGGATACTGAAAGAATGTACTTTATTTAATGGACTTTTAAAAGGCCAGTCAGACATTTGAGTAATTTATGATTTTGATCGCCATTGTTTAATAATCAGACCATAGGCTGCGACTGAAAAATGGGTATCTTTTTCAAAATTGACAGATGGGAGGGGGGGGGGAGTTGAAGGGTTTACATGTATTTGTTTAAAAGAAGAAAGTGTTTGACAAAATCTGTTGGCTAGATACGGTTCAAACTTTTTTCTTGTTTGTATTGAACACACATCAGATTACTTCCACTGTGATATTTTTAAGTGTGGGGGACACCACCAGTGTGAAAGAATGAGCTTTGTCCACTCAGTGACTCCCCACAAGAACACGTAAGGAATAAGAGGAAACTTTTTCGGTTGTTGAGAGCACAAGGTACTTAAAGCAGTGTTTTTATATGTAGTTGAATCCATCACGTCATCACAAGACCTCGCATGTCAATCACAAGTCATCTTGTCCCAAGTCAAGTCACAAGCTAATTCAAACGAAACGTGACAAAGGCGTGGGATCATTTACTTCTCATGGAATTTTTGTTTGTTTCCAATAATAACACCACTCCAAATCCACAGAGGAGTATTTAAAACTTAACCTGTTGAAGGTCTCAGCTCAGTTGATATTACACTCTTCAAGAAAGCTGTGAAAACTACGCACAACCTTTTGATCACGAATTAAAAATCAATCCAGTGATTGTTAGAAAACACCTACATTTCTGAATTTCTTCTAAATGACTGCAAGCCAGACAGAATAATTTCATGGGCAGTTTGGTACCAGTATGATATTTAATAATAATTTGGTAGTTTACTTGTTTGGTTAAATGCAACTGATTTATATGCCTTAATCTTCAAGCATAGTTGAATTCTCAATCCTGATTGGTCGATCCATGGCAACACCAGTGTGATGTAGTTAATATCACGGTCCATATCGCAGTCCCCGAATCACACTATTCCAAGATGCGAGCGCCATTCCCGCTTGACGCCTGTGTAACAGGATAACCGCTGAAAAGTTTGTGTAAGCATGTGTGTTTCATCTTGAATGCGTATCAAGTTCGCTTGAAGATAAGTTCGTTATCCCACTTGCGCTCGTGGAACATGGAAAATGTAGTGCGTACCACATACCACTCGGCCTTTGGAAACGTGGCATGTGGGACACAGACACACTACATTATTCCATGTTCCACTCGTGCTCGTGGGATAACTAATAATGTTTGTCCACTGTAACTTGTAAAGAGACTTGGGAAAGGACTTGCGATTTACTTGTGATTGGACTTGTGACTGAACTTGTGATGGACTCAACAAGAACACTGACTTAAAGCAGTTATACAGGGTCCTTTATCTCGTGTGTGCATCCAGAATTTGGGAAACTTACAAACAACCATTTTTTTGATGAGTTTGTCGACATTTCGTAAATGTGGCGTCTTCATTTGTTGGAATATTTCAAGTCAAGTTTCACTTTAACTCTTTACTTTTTGTACTCCTAGCCCACATATAACAGAATACAAAGTGCAATGACAATTGTGCCAACACATTTTTTTGTACACGAACTTGTTGTTTAATTCAAACTTTGCTTCATAAACATGCTGTTTTGTCGCTTTCACTTGAAATGCATTTAAATTATCACTCCTTTAACGCAAGCACAAAGAACACTGCTCAACACGCCAGTTCCCTTAATTTGTGTTGTACTTGGGTGTATTTTGTATAAACAGCACTCAAAACAAAAAGACATGCATCCCTTTAAAGATTATTTGTTTCAAAATCCCACATATCTAATACATGCACCTCCTTTTTCTACATATCTATTCTACATATTTTCCCATTCCTTGTGTTTCATGATTGACTTCGTATTCAGACTTCCTGGCCATGGGTTTCTCGCTCTGAAAACTGACTACCAAAACAGTTACATGTATTTAAATTATTGAATTTTTGAAGATATTTGTGAGAACAAAGGCATTTTAGAGAAAGGAATGTCTCTTTTGTACTCTAGTAGTTGTTGAAGAGGATCCGTTGTATGCAAATTAATGTCAATATTAAAAGAGTGGACAGTGAAAAACAAATATTAGTTTCTTGCTGTTTTTATTTCTTTGCATTTTGCTGTAAACTTTGATTTGTCTTCTAATTCTTATTCAACTGGTTAAGATGATTAAGCATTAAAGCGTGCTAGAAAAATATACGTTATTAACCCTAACCCCTAGGGTATATTTACTAGAAAGTATCCTGAATCTGCCAAAATCCATCAATTTTGCCATGCAAAAATAATTTGGTGGCCAATGAGTCCATCAGAATCCACCAGTTAGCCGGGAGTAAATCTGTTGCAATCCTGAATCCATCAAAGTCCCCCAACAGCTCAATATGGAGGCATCCTGAATCCATCAAAATCCTGCAGTTCCGCTAGGCTTACAATCCTGAATCCATCAAAATCCCCCAGTTTGTGCAATATGGAGGTATCCTGAATCCGCCGAAATCCCCCGAAACAGGGGTGTGGATTTTGATGGATTCAGGTACGTTAGGGTTAAAGAAACTTACAGACTTGGTGAATTTTACAGTTGCAATATTTGTAGGTGATGGCCAATGCCAGCCCGTGACACGGCTTTTTAGAGCTCCGTGAATAAACGTGAAACGGTGTTTTCAAAATCTTATACATCCATCATCTAGTAATGGCCATTGGTTAACGAGATTACCGACTAGGCGTTTTGGATCATTTTCTCTGAATCGTTAATTAAATACGGTAAATTGGCTCTGTCACGCAGGCCCGGATTATCCAATAGGCACAGCAGGCACTGTGCCTAGGGCCTACGAAAAACTTGAGGGCCTATGAAAATACCGCAGTGTGCCATAAAACAAACGCACCCATGTGATCTGATACACTGTGCCCTCTGGAGACATGCACACAATGGGGAACAAAAGATTGTATACGTCTCCACAGGGCAATTTCTATAGATGAATACGTCTCCACAAGATTTTCACGAAATGGATATATGGATTTTACTCAAAAATTAGGAATTTTCAAGGTGGGTTGATCTGTCACAAATGGAAAAGTTTTAGAAAAGGGATATCAAGTCCGAATTTCAGCCAAGGAAATTAATTCTGGTTAAAATGACAGCATTTTGAAACTTCACTTTCAAACTCGAAAACTTTACTACACGAGAACAAAGAAATGTCTCCACAAGAATACAAATTTCAGTATGCGTGCACACACAGGAAAAGTTTTTAAAAGTTTTAGCGTCTCTCTCAGGATTTTCTATTTCACCAACTGATGCGGACTTAGCTTAGCTGCATGTACAGTAACGTACAGAATTTACCTGTTAAAGCTACCAGTTTGGCTTGGTTTGCTTAGTACAGTATGCAATTGATGCTGGTGAATAGGGCGGAGTAGGGTCTACTGAACACTGGGGCCTGGGCCTACAGAACACTTAATCCAGCCCTGCAGTCATGACCATTTCCTTTCATTGTGCTGGAATTACTCTTAAAAACCTCTAAATGACAAAGAACACTTGAAATTCTTTGCAAAATAAAACTTTGGTGTTGTCCTAATTCACTAAAAGCAATAATTACTCAAAAATAAATCTGTTAAAGCTATAGTCCATCATTTGTAATTAGTGCATTTTGTTCGTTTGAAGCAACAAAAGTGTTCAAAATCTAATGAAGGATACTGAGCAACTAACCTGATGAAGTTTCAGCTAAGCTTCAGCTGTACATTCCGAGATAAGCAGCATTCTAAGATCTCAATTTCAAATCAAAAGTTACTGAATCATGTTTTGAATTGTTTTGAATTGCAGCTATATGCGGCTTCGCGCACTGATCCGACAAATTATAACAACCGCGCGCGCGTGTGCGTCGTTCCAATACTTGTGCGCGCTGCGCTGAATAACAAAACGAACTACTAATTTATATTTTCCTACGGTGCTTCTTAAGAATCACCGTTGGAAAGGCCTTCTTTCGTTGATTACTTCAAAATGACAGCTTCCCAGAAAGAATAATTTCACAGGGAGTTTAGTCCCCTTACTATCTTTCAACCAAGTTTGTTTTCAACAGTAATTACGCCAGTTACTTTTCGGATAGCTGCAAATGATGGACTATAGCTTTAATAGAAAACTGGTGATCGGATCAAGTAACTTTTACTGATTGTCTTAAAAACTGCTGCAGTGAAAGTAGGTATGTACTTGGCAACAAGAGTATCCCGCTATTAAGCAACTATGCATTGGTTTACGAGTCTGTTATCCATGAAAAAACATTACGGCACTAAACGCCTTGCTGCTGTCATAAGGTCACTAGAGGTCACACGAGACAGAAAGGTCAAACACAGCTGGTACTGTGTGTCATCAAGCCATGACTTTTGACTTTTACTGGCCGTCTGACCCCCCGGTGACCTCTGACTCAGCACGCGGGCTGACAGGTTCAGTAGCCAGGTTGCCATCTGCTGCTTCTGGAGTGAGATGGCGGGCACCAGTTTGGATCCTTCCCACGATGCAACGGTAAAAACCGGCTGTTGCCATAGCAACAAATGGAGCATGTTGGCTGCTACCGTAGCTGATGGGCGCTGTTGAGAAAAAGAATTCAACAAAGAGCAGTGTTTAGATGTTTTAATGGTGCCAGTTTTGTTTGTCAGCAAAAATCGCCTCTGAAGTTGAACTGCTTGTATAATTGTTATGGTTTCAGTAAAATTGACGAAGCTCGTGAAAAAATCGTGAGGTTTGGATCATAAAATCAGACCCAAGGTAAATTAACTCGCAATTGAAGTGGGCTCACCTCTGAAGGATCTTTCTTCAGTAGAAGGCGGATAATTTTTCCAAGTCCTTGGTGCACGTTGTCCGGTATAGCGGGGAGGTCCGCGTCCTCATACCGAGCACTGTCCAGCCCTGGATGGTTGTCGCCGTGACGATAGAACGGGTTGGGAAGTCCCAGAACTTCAAAGCTGATGGCCCCAACTGCCCATGCATCCGATTTTGTGTAGTTGATTTTTGCGGCCGGTCCTGGTATTGCTAACTTGACCTGGAAAGTAAAATTTGATGTTATTACCAGCTTTGGGTTAAAACAATTTTTCCAGATTTGTCAAGACAGAGTAAACCAATGTCACTTTTTGGTGATTTTTTTTGGGGGGGAAAGGGGGTTGGGGAGAGGGAGGAGGGGGTTGGGGAGGGGTAAGAGGTTTCGGGACGGGAGGCACATTGCGAAATCATTATTGACCTTCCTTGTCATTTCTACTGTTAACAAAACTTGCATGCTCCAGTAAGAATGTGTCTGAAAGGTATTTTTGCTGCGGCTTCAATTTTTGCCATTGATGCTCTATGCTGAATAGCCGTAATCGAGTCTTAATCAGACAAAGTGTGACAGCCACTTTTTCTTTACCCACCTCTGGAGCCATGAGGGCGCTGTTGCCACCAATCTCCATGTGTCTTAATGGGTAGGGGAGCTGCAGGCCTACTGCATCATCAGCCAGACAGCATCCAAAGTCAGCGATGACCACATGAGGGCTCCCTTCATACAATGAAAAAAAAGTCCACATTACTGTAGACTAGTCTATCACTTTTCTTTTTATGTTTTTCAGTCCCATTTGTATGGTGAACCATAAGGGACATCAAAGCTAAAACAATAGTTTGAAGGAAAAAAAAGGGTGGCCTGTGAGGGACATCACAATAAAAATGTTCTTTTAGCAACGGCAATTAACGTTGTTTTCTTTTCCCGCCATTCAAAATTTGGAAAGAGGGGAGGAGCCAGTTTACGGCTGCGTCCCAATTGCTGGAATTCTGCCAGCTGTACGTAACAAATGCATGGGATCTGGATTCGGTCAGTTTCAAAGGTACATGAGTAATTGCCTGGCAGTAGCTGAGTATTTTGGATGCAGCCTGAAAAAAAAGGCTCTTTCCTTGCTGGTTAACATGGACAACCATCATATAAGCACTGCATTGACTGCATACCAAGCAGTGTCCTATCTGGTTTGTTAGTGTGAAGTCATCTCAATGCAACCATGTGTACTTCACACAGTGTAGCATAGCGCGAATGGAATCGGAAGTTAACGCAACTCGAGCATTTATCCAATGGGCACTAGTTATCAGAGGTGCATGCGCGTGTATGACGTTTATAGTAACGAACCGGATACTAAAATGGGGCGCTGTGGTCCAATGTGGTTCAAACCTTTTCACCACAGGAGGGCGTGCTTGTGCACTGAGTCAGAATAGTTCAGTCTTACCTTCAGTCAGCTCGACCAGGATGTTGTTACTCTTCAGGTCGCGATGAGCTATCCCATGACGCACCAGGTAGGCCACGCCCTCCAGTAGCTGAGCGATAATCGTCATGGCGACCTGCTGGGTGGGGCAGCCGATGCTCCGGTTGTACTCAGCAAGAGTCATGTCGTACCTAGATTTAGGGAAATTGCCGGTTGCACTTGTCACTTGCTGTGGGACTCATTTCAAGAATCGTACAAGGAATGTACCGGACCTTCAAATTCTTGCTTTGTGTCATATGAAGTTTATGTGAGAGAAAATGAACCCATTATTGTGCTGGATTCTCCAAAGTTGAAGTCATAATTTATCCCAAAACTAATTCAACTAGCCTGAAGCCGAAACTGGAATTGAAGCCAGGGTTTCGGAAATGGCACTAGCCAATAGCTACCTTTTCATCACCAGATACATGGTCTGGTTCCGTCCCATCCCGTCAATGTGAAGCCTGGCTGGCAGCGCAGCAGGGAAGAGGGTCCGTGCCTCTTCCAAGTCGTGGGCCACCGTGGGGGCAACAAACACGTGGTGGATCACCGCAATGTTCGCGTGGGGCGGCAGGAATCGGTGATCTTTCTTCTTGGCTCTGTGCCTGGGAAGGGGGGGGGGGGGGAGGGAATCAATAACCATTAGAAGTACTTTTTTCCTTCTATAAATTTCAACAAAAAATCAAGTTAGCCACTGAGATAAGGGCAATGTCTCATCTTGTATCTTACCCATTCTCCCAGCGGAAATCGCCAAAGGAACCGCTTTCAAGGCTCGGCCATAGAGGCAGGTATTCCCTCTCAAAGGTACGGGATATCGCAATGGCATTGGAAGCAATATCATAGTTGAACATCATCTAGAAAAAGAACAATGAAGACAAATGCAAAGGAATTCAATAATTACATACGTATGGTAATGTTACATGTGAGAAAATTCCGTCTTTTGTTCCTCAAATTCTGTAAAATCTTACTTTTAACTGTTCCATGCAAGAGTCCTAAAAATCTTACTTTTAGGCAGCAAAGAAGTTGTGACACACATAATTTTAGTAAAAATACTGTTAATAATAACAGGGGTGTGGAAAGTGATATAAATATCCCAGGATTACAGCTTTCAGCCCGCAATGGTTTACAGCTCACAACTGTGCAAAACTATACAATTTCCCTCAAGTTTTGTTTTGCAGTTTGCACATGTTGACTGCAGTGTTTGTGAATGGCATTTTTGACATGAACTATATCTTTTAAATTAGTGTTAAACACTGTGGTGATGCTGGAATTACGATACAGCTCACGAACAGATTAGGTAGGCCTTATGTCTCTTTCAAATGATGTCATCTCCTACAGACCAGCCACGTGCATCGGCATTTTGAGTGTCAACTTGCATTTCCGTGCACCTGCTGCATCGTATTTAGAACACATTTGAGGGAACAAGTGAGAGCGTTTGGAACATTTTCAACACTGCCCAATGCGTGCCTGATTGCGTTCTCTTACAGAGATGGCCGTCTTTGAAAGAGACCTATACAGTGGAGTTGAAATAATGTTCATCTAATCTCAAGAACTTCACGTGCACGGTGCAAACCAGTCATACCCACCTTCAGTGCCAAGTCATAACCACCGCCAGCCTCATCCTTTACAGGATGACCGTCTTTGGATTCCTCCTTCTCCTCAACCACAACATCATCGTCTGCATCGGCGACATCATCAAGACTCTCCCAAGATGATAACTCCATCGAACCAGCAGCATCCTCTTCGAGACGCTCTTCTGTCTCATTGGAAACCATCTCCCAGTCTTCACTGTCATCTTCCTGAAAGCTAAGACCATCGTCTCCGCCGACATCCTCTTCAGCGCCCATGGCATTGTCAACAGCTCCCTCTGTTGAAGGAAGTGGTGTCAGCCGGGCAGCGTAGATGGACGCGCTGGTGCCTTTACCGAGGAGCCGGTCCGAGATGTCGTAGGATGCAGTGTCTGATGGGAAGGGTTCTTCATCAGCAGGACACTGAAGTTCATCATTAGGCCTTTGATTCTGGAAGACACCCTGAAAATAAAAATTAAAAAAAACCTCATTCGGAATTCTAATCATTTAGATGCATACAAATGAAAACTTTCAAAAACTCTGTAAGTGCAAGTTATTTTCCCTCTCAAAGTCTCACCAAAGACATTTTATTGTAAAAAAAGACTGAAATACTTGTCTCATGTATTGCATCTGTAGTTGACAAATGTGACAAATTTAACCGAGAACCAAAAATGAAACTGTGCTTAACAAATACTCGGAACAAATCAGTCTTTCTTAAGCGAATGTAAAATTTAGCTGACAATATTTACATCTTGTTTGTTTATAAAAATGGAAATTTTAAATAAATGTAATGACAATATTTTTTTTTTAAAAATGTTTTTGGAACATTTTTGAAGTTGAGGTCGTTTTTCTTTTCCTTTTTTTCCTCTTCTGTTCAAATCTCTAACCAGGGATGCCTACCCTCACAATCTCACACCACGTCTCCAATGGCAACCGACCCCGCATCTTTTCATTTTCATTCATCGCACCATCATTTCCTTCCAACACGCTCCTCTCCCCGGCCGCCAGTGTCAGCCCCAGGAAGGCGTAAATGGGCAGGCGGCCCCGCCCTCCCACGCCCCTCCCGACCAAAGAGCGGGATTGGATCAAACGCAGTGCCGCGTTCCGACGCAGCTGGGCGGCCCAGCTTGCGCTGTTGCTCTGGTAGCCGACGAAAACTCGCTGTAGATGGTTGACGGGTGTTGCTGGGTCCTTCCTGGGCAGGGGGCGCGGCGCGGCTTGAAGTAGTCCCTCCTGCTTGTGGGCTTTTCCGGTGATGAGTAAAACCCGTTTCCGAGCCAGAACTTCGGCAGCGAGCTGCTTCAGTCGAACGAAGGCAGCGCGGAACGACATGATGCAATTTCAACGCAGTCAAAAAAACTCACAGGAAACGGGTCTCTGACTTCAAAGAAATTTAACTCTAAAATAAGTAAAAAGACGGTTGGTTATTGAGCAGAAAATTGTCCGGGCCAATTGCTAGCTTTCGGGCCCCAAAGGGCCCATAAATTTTGAAGAATGATTGTTTCTCTCTTCCGTTTGAGCACTCAATGGTTGACATCCACCGTACCGCCTACCGAAACGTCGTACGTAAATAAACTGACTGAGGAAGATTTATTTTTAGCAATGATATCACTTAAAGCGCGCCCTCTTGTGCTCAGGTATGACAGCAGCAGTTAGATTTGCGTACCAGTCAGTTCGGTGAAGTTTTGACACATCTCATGCGCTTCACAATCCTTACTCGATTTAGGCCTGTGTTGGCTTGAAGACAGTGGACCAACTCGTGGACATGGTAAGGCTCCGATAGACTAGACTGAGTCATTTGGGGAGGGGAAGCAGTGGCGTAACGGTGGGGCACAGGGGGGGGGGGGGGGGGGGGGACTCACGTGCCCCGGCCCAGCGGAAGTCCATCCCCGCCGGTGCCCCCCCCCCCCCATTTAAAATCTTGAATTGAACAAAAACAATTTATCAGTTGCCTTCAGTGCCCCTTGAAACGTGCACCCCTAGGTTGCCCTAGACGTTTAACCCTAATTACGCCGCTGGGGTGGGGGGAGGGGGGGGGGGGGAGCCGGTGGGATGGCAGGAGGGATCACCGCAGGAGAAAGGGTGCACATTTTCCAGAGGGGTGTGGCCTGAGATTTCGACCCCCGCCCTGCAAATAGTCTGCCGCGAATTTGAATTTCCTCCGTCTGATCGGAATGGCTGTCCACCGCCGGGACCGGATATGTTCTGTCCCCCGTTAGGAAAAATTGTCTCCTCTCTGTTAGGTCAAACACAGGCCATGCCCTTCTGATGGTCCTGATTTCATAATTGATACTTTAAAAATCATACAATTTTGCGGGAAAAAATGTAGTGGTCTTGATTAATTTTGGCCGCCTTAGACCTATTTTTTTGCGTGTGGAAATTCTCCGTTGAATGAGGTAGAGGACTGAATATTATAGAGGGGTACACTATTTCCTTGGAGGAACTGTCTGGGCAAGACGGCCTAATATATAGTTGACCCCTGGTGCGGTGGCGCATGGCCGGCCGGACCCCTCGAATTAACGTGTAAAACTTGAGTCGGAGTTTTTAAAATTATTTGGATACATTGATTTCTCAAGGAAATCACCCTCGGAAATGACCTTTGTAAAATTGTTACTAGCATCACAGTTTATGGAAACTGAAAAATCGCACGAGGTGAAAAAGTAATATTGTGCCAAAAACTGACCTCTCCCTTCCCAAAATCTAGAATAAATATGGACTATTGGAACTCTGAGCACTCGTACAATGAAATACTTTCGTTGTGATCATTGGGTAAAAAACTGAAACTTCAAATAGGAGACTAAAATATTTTGGGGACACACAATGTTTTGTTACAAATGAACTTAAAGAATAATTGTCAATTACTAACAAATCTAAAGTGACCGTTGATAAGAACTGTATTCATGCAAGCCTGACTAAATCTAGAACCATCGGGTCAAGGGCGGATCCGGGGGGGGGGGGGGCAAAGGGGGCCATGGCTCCCCCCCCCAAAAAAAAACCCCGAAACCAATTTTTTTTATGTGACATCGCAATAAAGGCAGGCAATGAGTACACCACCATCTTTTCCTCAAAAAAACATTGGTTAAAGTGGTCAGAAATTGCCTCAGATCGCACCACAGAGCATCTATAGAATCAAACATTTTTTCGGGGCCCTTAAGCGGGCCCCGAACCCCACGCCGTAATTTTTTGACCCACTTTTTGTAGGGTCCAAATTTGTTTTTGCCCCCCCCCCAAAAAAATTGTGTTCTGGATCCGCCCTTGCATCGGGTGTAGGTAGGTAAGTATTTGCGTCGTTATCGTGTTCGTTCTCACGCAAGTACGCACGCGATGTGAAAACGAACGTGATCGAGGAGATGAAAGAAGTTAGTAAAACACGTTTTTACCAATATCCAATTGATTTATCATCATTTTTTCATGTGGAATGCCAATATAAAATGCCAACATCAACGTTTCTTGGGTGATTACGGTTAGACATTTTTCTGTCAAAAATCATAGCAAGAGAAAGGGCAATCCAGTGAAAAATGCCCATAGAAAGGTAGCGGAGGGGTCAAGAAGCTCAAAGACAAAATGTCGTATATATACTTTGAGACTCTATTCCGGGCAAAACCAGGGAAATAATTATGTCCGGTGGGGGGATCGAGTGACATAATCCTGGCGTACAGAATCTCCTTCCACACGGGCACTCAATGAGTTTTTACTGCTGAAAAAATCGTAAGTGCCTTCCCCCAAATGCCGAGCACAAGGTGCCAAGGACGGGGAGGCCCCGAGTGGAGTGGGGGGGGGGGGGGGCGTCCAATGGCACCGTATTCTTTTTAACCCACAGACACTTTTATACACTTAAGGTTTTTTTTTATTGCTTGAACCGATGTATTAGGAATACCCGAGTTCACTTGAATTTGTCTTCTCTAAATGTGGTCCTTTTCTCGGGCGGGGGGGGGGGGGGAGGGTGGGGAGGGGGGGGGAGGGGGGGGGGGGGTAATGTGTGCCTCCCCTGGCTGGCCGGCCCATGCAGTCCTGCAAGAAAAGTAGAAAACTTATAAGCGATAGTGCAGTAACAGAACTAACAGCGGTTGATAGTGGGTGATGGTAAATGAAGCGAACTCTCAAAGAAATTGTGACTTATAGGTTTTTGCCTCAAGCACGGATCCTAGCCTATAGCGCCTACAAGTACCCGTCGTTGAAGCACACGAAAGACTCGTTGCAAGTCTACTAAACCAGCAGCCGAACAAGTGCCGTTTACTTTCACTATGCAGGGCATCATTGTACTCCGTGTGTACGGATACGTGTCCTTTTGATCACATATGCGCATGATGAATTCGCCAGCCAGGTTACAGGTGCGTTACTATAGCCACAAAGAGTGACGTCAGCAATGGGAGTTCAATACATCCTTTATGCAAATATTCATTCGGCCGAAGCGCCATTGTGACGGTAAGAAGAGTCCGGCGTTGCTGCGCCATTTGCGTGTCCGTGTCCGCACCTGGAGTTACAGTTCACAGGCAGACGACAAACATCTACTGAGATACGGTGCGTTTACTGCTCAGGTAAGCTCAGCGGCATTTTCTTATCTTGGTGAAAATTGATGAGGCTCAGTAAGGGGCGGGGGCTTTGGAGAAGCGTTGGGAGCCACTTTGCGATACATTTTTGTAGTGTAGGCCCCTACATCATTTACACACCGATATGACTGATATCTGTTGCATTTTGCAAAGTTGCCAGCGCATTTAATCCCTTCGGGAAAGATTCCCATATCTGGCCAATGGCCATCAATAATTTTCCCCTTCAATGACCTATCAGCCATCAGAAAGTGATATTAATATGTCATAAAAAGTCGAAATTAGCAGCCACAAAGGAAAGATTTCCATATACGAAGTTCACTAATTTTCATCTGACTAACGAGCCCCCAGATAGCAATTTCATGTCATCAAAGTCAATTTGAGCAGTGAGAAAATACAAGCATTTTCTTAGAAAACACTTAGAATTTTTCAGTCCAATCTCATAGGGTTTGTACACAGGTACATCTGGTCCGCCAGATATAGGAATCTTTCCTCACTTCGGCCAGAGCCGCAGTGGCAGCCATCATGGCCCCTAATACTCGACTCGACTGTTTGGTTAAAATGCAGGAGTAAAATTACAAAAAGACACGAGACTGAAGCTGCATATTCTATGTTGGTGTTGCAAACACTTCGATCGGGTCAGTGACACGGGCGTCTGGTATACATTTTTCCCTATATAGCAAAGGCCTCCGACAATGATTATGCACAATGATAAAAGAGTGAATCTGCACACAAACCAGGAATAATAATGAAGTTAACTTGTAATTAGCTCAATTAATTAACACGATGTTAAAGTATTTCCCATCCATAAGTTATTCTTGACGACTTGAATAGAGGTTAATTCGCTCAAAGCCATACCCCGCCAGTCTGCAGTCCATGTTTACTTTGAAAATCAATAGGCCTATTTTCAGACGTAGTTATCAAATAGTGTAAAGATCAAAACCAAACAGATAACTATTGTATATAATTATAGTATCCTGCCCTACTATAGTGCTGAATTCGATGTAGGCTAATTGCCAGTCGTTTACTGATAAGATTCACTATCTCACTGCAGACGCAAATTCTCTCAAATATATTGGTCCACATCACATGCTCCACACCTAGATCCTTCTCAAATAACAAATTAACGAATTTCGAACAAAACCATCGTTGTTTTCGCTATTTGTCCAAGGATCTGAATTAAGCTGAAGTTTCAACGTTGTACATGACCATGCATGATACAGAAAGAGCAATTACATTGTATTGGATAAAGCAAAATTAGTTTGTTTCTTACTGCTGCAACTCAATGTTTTCATGGGAACTGACCACAAACAAGTAAGGATATCCCCACAAAACGGAATTTGTTCACCATGCCAGATTCACCTTGACTCTTTCCCCTTGACTTCGTTATAATGTCAACTTTTCGATTTGGCCACACATAAGCTTGAATATAAATCACTAAATACCATATAGTTTCAAAAAAGAATGCAAATACGTGAACATTCAAGGGAGTGCATGTTCGCCGACAATTAAACATTTTTGTTATACACTCACAGTGGCGTACAGTGGCGTGTCATGGCTAGGCTGAGCGTTTAAGAGCACCACGGACTCAAGCTCTGCTGGTGTTTCTGATCAGCAGAGTGTGGGTTTGAGTCCCGGTCTCTACATTTGTGTCCTTAAGCAAGACACTTAACCATTATTGCTTCGTCCTTCGGATGGGACGTAAAGCCGTTGGTCCCGTGTGCAATCCATGTTAAAGAACCCAAACGCTAATCGCTAAGAGAAAGGGTCTCTTCGGTGAGCGCAAATTTGTATCCTTGTGGAGACATTTCCACAATAGGGAACAAAAGATTGTATAGGTCTCCACAGGGCAATTTCTATAGATGAATAGGTCTCCACAAGGTTTTCACGAAATAGATATATGGATGTTACTCAAAAACTAGGAATTTCCAAGGTGGGAAATGGAAGAGTTTTAGAACAGGGATATTAAGTCCGAATTTCAGCCAAGGAAATTAATGCTGGTTAAAATAAGAGCATTTTGAAACTACACTTTCAAACTCGAAAACCTTACTACACGAGAGCAAAGAAATGTCTCCACAAGGATACAAATTCGAGAATGTGTGTTTCTGGCAGTGCGTTTATCTTCAACCATGATGAAGGCAGCACTTGTAAGGAAGGAAGGAAGGAAGGAATGCGGCGTATATATGTAATTCCAGCGTTATGTAATGTCCATTGACAGAGCCTTTAGGATCACAGTGAATAAACCTGATAATGTATTAATGTTATACATCCGTCATCTAATGGTTAAGGAGATTACAGGCTAGGAGGGTTGGGTCATTTCTCTGAATTTTAAAACTCTATCACAAGTTCGTGTATATCTATAATTGCTCTTCACGTCAAGCTTAAATATTTAATTTTGTTTAAAAAAAACCCCTCAAAACTAATAGTAAACACTAGACCTTTAATGCGCAGTTTATTACCAAACGGGAGTTTCAGTATCGGAGTGCGATAAAAGATGAGGAATTTGTAACGCCATGTAAAAGATCAACAAACCCGACGGAGCTTTAGAAAAAAACAGTTTGGTCATAAACCTATGGCATTTTTTTGAGATTGATGTTAAGAGGTTACAACAACACACGGATGGTTTACACGGTGCCATAGTCTGGTTGCAGTCTCACTTCCTTATACCTTGTGCAGACAAAACGTCGCTATAAGTTGAATTTGACTCACAGAAAAGAATACAATTCTTGAAGTTGGAGCTTAAAAACATTCTAAGGAAATGGCAAAACGGAATTGTTAACTCATTTCTGAAAAAGAAAACAATGCCTGTTTGACGTCATTTTCTCAAATTGTGGAAATCCAATAACAATATGTTTGGAAGTTGTGGAATTTTCCATTGCGCGTACATGTATGGTCTGTAGGCCTATGATTCACCATCAAGCGCGTAGCCGCGTACTCTGGCCTTGCTGTTTTGACTAGACTTAATTCAAGTCGCTGATTTGAGTTCGCTAAAGCAACACAGTTTACGAGTTCAATAATCGTACGCCTTTCCAGATTTGTTTTTCATTCGACATTTGACATTTGAATGATTTGTAATTTTGTAAGTGGTTGATCAAAGCCAGCCGGAATCTTTTTTCCCCACAGATATGAAAAAAAAAATGAAAGCTTCATCACTTGTTGATAATTATTTTCTGATTTGTCTGTGACGATCTTACGATTCACTCAGATAAGAGCCGTATAATAATTTACCATTTTTTCGGTCTATTGGATTTTAAATGGTTTATTAAGACTTGGTTGGCAAATACCTTTTGACATCAGATGATGAAATCATCAAAAGTACAAATCGTTGTAACCATAATATTTTTAACAAAAAAAAAAGGAGTGAGTGCATTATACAGGGTAGTGCAAAAAGAAGAAAACCCACTTTTAATAATGTAGTGAAGTACATGACTTTGTATAGCTCTTCAACCAAGGGCGGATCGGGGGGGGGGGGCAACGGGGGCCGTGCCCCCCCTCCCCCCAAGAAAAAGCCCGAACCCATTTTTTTTTTAAAGTGACGTCACAATAAAGGCAGGCACAGCGTACACCACCATCTTTTCCTCAAAAGGATATGGTTAAAGTGGTCAGAAATTGCCTCATATCGCACCACAGAGCATGTAGAATCCAAGCGGGATTAAGCGGGCCCCGAACCCCACGCCGTAATTTTTGGGACCCACTTTTTTGGGGAACAACATTTTTTGGGCCCCCCCCCCAAAAAAAATGGTGTTCTGGATCCGCCCTTGGATGGTACATAATTTATTTATACACTACGTCTGCATCAGGGATCGATTCCTAGCTGGTATCCATACCGAAATCAGAGTGTTTGTGTTGGCTTGTAGAATCGATTTACATGTCTGTAGTGTTGTACTCAAAGCTGAATCCACTAATACTCTCTTTCGGAAATATCAGATCCTTTGTCAATCCGGCATCAGTATGGTATTGTTCGTGGAAAAACAACACGGATACGCTTTTTTGTCTAAAACTCTTTTTTGACACGATCGTATTTTGCTTCCAACAACCTTTGGAAAAAAATAACGAGGATTTGATGGAATTTACTCTCCCAAGGAACGTGTAGTTCACTATTCGGGTGACATTGGCCGTGCGATCAACCGCTTACGGCGAGATGGCTTTCATAATGGAGAATTTCTGTTCATCAAAAATTGATACATGCATGTAGACTAGTATAGGGCACGATTTGTGATCAGATTTCCTTGTAAATAAATACATTTTTATAAGATGTTTCTCTTTGGCATATCACGAGAATCTGTAAAATTGCACAACTACACATTTACTGTCGACCTTGCATGTGTTAAACCATGGAGGAATAAAAACAACATGGTTAAACGTAATGATAAAATATGCGGTGGGCAGAATTTTAATACATTAAAATAACATTATGCACGCTTGGGTGCTCGCAATATAAAACACAACCATTAAACAAATTAACATTCTGAAAATGCAAATCAAAGTTTCCACTTGTTGTATAGAAATTACTCATTACGAAAATAGTGATTATAGAACTTATAGATAAAACCATTCTATTTTTAAAATCTCTTTCGATTTGAATGTATTTGTCTGAAACGAGTAAAGAATTCCAAATTACTGTTAATGTTCAGAACACGGAAGTCGATCCTCGTCTGCTATCCGCTGAGCATGCAACATCTGGCCTCGTGTTAATTATTTTGTTAATTATTTTGTTATGAGAGCTATATATGTATATTATATCGATGCCCGGTGTTTCGTAAGTCAACTCTTTTCTTTCGCTAGCCCCGGACCCACTCACGATTATTGACAGAATAGATTATGCGCGAAGCTGCGTTAACGACCGGCACTAAGGTTACGCAACAAATGTTTTCAAACTCAAATTTGAAGATAAGCATTGTATGCTCGATGGGGGTCCTTTGGGTATATGTACATGTTGTAAAAGCACTGGGTGTTGGCTGCATTGTACTGTGACCATGAGCTAGCATTGCGTCAACTATTTCCGATTTGTTTTGACCTCGGCCGTGTTTCGCTGGTATCGTTGTGGAACAATAACTTCACGTAGGCCTAACGTGAGTATATATCCTCATTTATTAATATTCCAAATAATAACAATGCTTGACAAAACATTCATGACTATCTGACCATAGTATGAGAAGAATATCAATGCAGCTATTTTATCATCTCCTGCATGTAGGCTATTGAATATCTACATATCTAATTTCCAGATTCGTTTGCACACGTTTGCGTATCAAAATGTCAACATGAAATTTCACGAAAAAATAGACATCTGAAAAGGGCAGCACTTTTTGATTAGCGTATAAAGAGGGTGAGTATGCTTCTAAAGCAAAAATTAACTACAAACTAAGCCTAAAAATTTGACAAAGTTCGACATGTTTTTTGTACATGGTGGATGTGTGGCCTTTATTTACGGAGGTAGTCCAGTAAATTGGCCACATTTATGGGGCTAACCTTCTTGGTACGTAGACAGTTTTTAGGCCCTCTAAAGCCCCTGTCACACTTGTCCGAATCTATAATTCCGTTCATAAACCGATCTGAAATATTATTAATTCGGACACGTTCGGAGAGAAATGTCAAAAAACCAGCCAGAAATGAAAATACACCGATCATAATCCGGTCTTATTCCGGATCTAATAAGTTGCTATTCCGATTGCAATCCGTCTATATTCAGAACCTCTCCGATCATCACCGGACATGCCAAACTTTGAAAAATTCATTGATCTCAAGACCGACCGCTTTCCGAACATTCCGTTTATATTCCGTTCGTCTCCGTTATTTATATGGTATTACATCGTGGTAATGCGGTATATCATCGGATAAAGTGACATCAAAGTCCGTTTTTTGATCGGCATTACAATGTGGGTTCGGAATGAACTCTGAATACATACGGAGGCCTGTTCCGTACTCTTCCGTACCTATTCCGCATTGCAACGAATGGCAACGAATGAGTACAGTGTGTATTCCGTGCATTCCGTGCATTCCGTGCATATTCCGTGTGTATACCAGATACCGTCCGTATTGAGGTTGCCGCGACAATTCGGAGAAATTATTAAACAGGTTCAATAATTTCTCCGAGTTCCTCAGTGCATCACCGAACGTACACGAGTACATTGTATATAGCGTTGGAAAACCGAGGGAAATCCGTTTGAGTTCAGTTCAAACCGATTAAACACCGAATCCACAATGTTTTACTCGGAACATGAACGGAGTGACGATTCGGACAAGTGTGACAGGGGCTTTAGCTGATGTAAATCAAAAGTTCTGAATCGCAGAGGAGTAACGTTCCGCCATGGTTGAACAGTGAAGATCTACACTGTAGACGTGGTAGATGACATTGGAACGTCATTTTTGAATAACTTTATAGACACTGAGCAATATGTTTTTATAGACATCTATAAATAGGTTTATTGTAAAACGTCCATAATGACATCAAATGTTATGCCAAAAATGACATGTGTAGGCCATTATTCTTCACGGAACAGAGCTTCATGGTGGAATAGCCTAAGCCTAAGTAGCCTAAGCCTAAGTGGCCTAAGAGGGTGAGGGGTTCGAATCCAGCTGTTGTCCTACGCTAATTGTGTCCTTGGGCAAGCCACTTCACCCCACTTGCCGTTCTCCACCCATGAGGAGTATAAATGGGCCCCGGCATTAGCTGGGGAGTAACCTGCGATGGACTAGCATCCCATCCAGGGGGATAGACATATTCTCAGTAGTCTCATGCTCGGGCCTCAGGCTGAAACCGGAGATATTGAAACGCCAGCCTGATATGGGCGACATTGGCTTGTGACAGACTCTCATGGACCGTTTAACCGGTAGAACCAGCACTTAAAACTCAGAGATCCCTGTGAGCAAATTACAATGACAAAACTGACAAGCCTACGCGGATAGGACTCGAACTCAAGGCCTCCTTCTAAAAACCTTTTTTTTTTTCTTTTCTTTTTAAATAAACAATAAATAAAAATTCTCTCAGATGGAAAATTCCATTGACAAGGGGACTTGTTATTTTTTCACTTTGTGCGTTGTACCGCATTACCGGATTTGGTTGACGTCATGACACATGTAGCATTGGAAAGTAATCAAACTGACGCGTTTTACCCATGTGAAAATGAATCACTGTGAGGACGTCTATTATAGGAGTATTGATCCAACCCAACCCCCCCCCCCCCCCAAAAAACCCCCAAATACACAAGAAGTCATTGTAAAACCTATTCCCATAAAACATTTCATCAATTTATTTATTGGTTGAATACGTCTGTATAAATAAGGTTAGAGTCAAAGTGCTAACATTTGAACGTTTTAATCTGTAATACGCCCCACCCCAAGCGACCATAAACGCGCCTTAGAAAGACCCTAATGGTTTCATATAAAATTTACATAAACTGAGCCTCTTCCATCTAATATTATGAAGGGATATTTTCAATCAGTCTCACCATGAGTGCGTGTTTGGATACTTAAACTGGGAAAGGAAATTAATTGAATGAAATGTGTTATCCTGCAGTGACTAAAGAGCGCTACCGAGTGGGCGTAATGGAACCTTGATCGAGGCATACATTTTGGTGCTTCTGAAATACGGACGTCGGACTTTAATTTAACAACAAATTACCTGGTCTATGACGTCAACGATAGAGCTCCCAACATTTACTTGCATGAAAATAATTAATGAGGCCTACATGAGCTACTAAAGTGGCTCACGGCGACTAAATTTTAATGTTTATAGTACATTATACATCGCAGGGAAAACCGAGCCCATAAATGCACTCCTTCTACACACAATGCGACGAAGTACACAAGTGCTGCGTGTTGGAAAAAGACGTTAGCGATGCGTTCGTTAGCTTGGCCCCGCAAACGTACCAACCCGAAGTGGAATGACAATGTCACCGAAAATCTGAAAATGAAGTGTCTGTGTTTCGGTAACAGCAAGGGTGGATCGAGAACACAATTTTTTGGGGGGCCAAAAAAAATTTAATCCCCAAAAAGTGGGTCAAAAAAATTACGGCGTGGTTCGAATTTTTTTTTTTTGATTTAGATGCTCTGTGGTGCCATCTGAGGCATTTTTCTGACCACTTTAACCAATGGGTTTTTTGAGGAAAAGATGGTGATGTACTCATTGCCTGCCTTTATTGCGACGTCACATAAAAAAAATGGTTTCGTTTTTTTTTTTTGGGGGGGGGAATAGCCCCTTTGGCCCCCTCCCCCTGGATCTGCCCTTGGGTAACAGCTTTAAAATCCTTGAAAACTTATTGTGATTGGAAGTAATTCCCCCCCCCAGTAATATTCATGAACTTCATATGAATCGTTACGTTCATTGCGTGGGTATAGGCCATTTAAAAAAATGTACGTAACTCAGGAGGACCGTTTGCCAACGTTGTTAACGTTTGCCAACGTTAGTAGCAAACAGTCGGTCCTACCTGTGCAAACGTTGACAAACGTTCTAACGTTGGAAATCGTTTAGCAATACACACAGTGATCTGGATCATAGGACTGAATACGCGCTTCACGATTTCAGAACGCATGCACGAAACATACTTGGATCTACCTGGATTTACCTCTTGAACGCCTTCTCATTCGGACTCGCATTCTTCCTCAACAGATTTGTGTGCAGAGAAGACAAGCTAAATTATGGACGACAAATCAGGACAACCGGGACAGCCGATGCAAGCTTTCGGTCAACCACAGCCGGGGTACCAATCGCAACCGCAGCCAGGCTACGGTCAACCACCACAGGCCTATGGTCAACCTCAGCCGGGCTACGGTCAACCCCAGCCGGGCTACGGTCAACCCCAGCCGGGCTACGGACAGCCGCCTGCCCCACCCGGCTATGCTGGCGGTCAACCCGTGAGTATAACAATGTCCCTTTTTGAAATTGGAAACGAAGTTGTATCAGCTCTGCGCCAACTTCATAATGTTGAAGACTCAGGCACATTGTTGGGTTTGCAACTAGCGGATGGAATGCGTAGCCTATTATTTTGACATTGAAGACCCATTAGTAGTTAGAATCTGCTTAAACTTTGAAGGGTTGCAAGCCTCTACAATTATTCGGGAAGCTTGTTCCATTGACTTACAGTGCGGGGGAAGAAAGACATCTGGTAATATTCTCTGGAGCAAGACGGGATTTTGTAAGCTTGTGAGTTTTCTGTTCGGGTAGGAGCATCTAAATTCGTGGACTCAATTGGCATGTTGGTCGATATCATATCCAACATAACATAGACCTCTCCATAGCGAAGATAACTGAACTTGGACAGTAACAGTTGCAAGTTGTGCTGGGCGTATACCGGTAAGGTCGGCATATCCATAAAACGTCGATGTATTGAACACCTCTGGTTTGTGTGCAAAACTACTTTTTTTTTGTTTTAAACAAATAGTCACCTCATATTGATTGTATCCGAAAGCTTCTCCCAATATAATGTCCTAAACAACGCTGTGCATTATTTGGGCAATTCCATCATTGTGAAAGGGTATATAGTGTTATGTCCGTGATAGAGCCAATTAACCAGGATATCAAATGAAGGATTCATAGAAATGAGCCACAACTCCTAGTCTGTAATCTCCTGGACATTACTAGATGACGGATGCATGTGAGTAGACAAATACTTTTCCTGGTTAATAACTGAGTTATTAAAAGCGCTGTCGCGGACATTACGTAACGCTGGAATAGCCAATTTGTAAACTGACAAGAGAAGGGTCAATTTCAGTTGGTCATGATTGTGTACCAACGATGTCGATTTCCATGAAATCGATTTTAGATCCTAAGTTATTAGACCCTGTTGTTGCTCACAACCGATTTCAGTTCTATTAATGAATGACACACACTCTATCTCCATCAATCAGTTCAATCGGGAAAGAAGGCTTTCTTGGAAAACTTGTAAAGCTTTTAAAGGCTTTTTAAAATGTAGAGCCGGGAGCAAAACATGAGCGGAATGCGCTACTCACTTTGTTTGGACTGTGCTAAGACGCTTAGGGGCCTCGTAGCCGAGCGGTTATAGAGCGCGGAGCTACGGAGTGGAAGGTTGGCGGTTCGAATCCCATTCGGACTAAAAACTCCCTCTGACGACCCAGCAGTGAAAAAAAACGGGTCCCTGATTCGCTCAGGGAAGGTACGACGGCGAGAGGAGAGGAGATGGGCACCGCCACTCGTATGCCGCGCCCAAGACACACTGGACCTCTAACATCCCACTGTCCCCGACGGCCAATAATGGCTACGGGACCTTTACCTTTTACTTAAGACGCTTACATTGTATGTCCTGTGGTCAGCGCAAACAGCTGATACGTTCGTTGCACGGGATCGCCAAATTGGAACACAATGAAAACGTTGCAGCAAATGTATTCAAAATCACTCCGATCCATATGCATTGATTGGAGTGAAAGATTTCTTTAAAATTGCAGTCTCGTTTTTTGTCTCGCATCAAATGCCTTCTTGGACCTCATGTTCGGTTCGAGGAAGACTTTCACATTCATCCTATTTCCCGCGCTTTTGTCTTTTCTCTCCTGCCAGATCATGGGCCAGCCGGGCGTTCCTGGTGCGTTGCCGGGACAACCGGCGCCGACGCAGTGGATGCCCGCCCCTCAAAGTATACCCGGATGTCCTCCCGGCCTGGAGTATCTGACGCAGATCGATCAGCTTCTGGTCCACCAACAGGTCGAGCTCTTTGAAGGTACGGTGTGCTGTAAAAATTTGGACTCTCTGAAATACGGACGCATTAGTCATACTGCGCATGCTCAGTGGCCAAATTTCATAGGGGTGCAAATTTCAGATGACAACAGCACCAATTATGGACAAGTTCGAGAGGGCAGATTATGAAAAGTCTTTGATTTTCGACGTAATTTTGCGCCTGCGCGCGAATGTCACGAGTCAACCGAATACGGTTAAACCTCATTAACAAAACTTTTCGACCCTGGTTCCCTGCACTGCGTTATAATGAACGCGACCACTCGTAACCAGTGATAGGACGATCATGAATTATAGATGAAGTTTACCAGAGTTATCCAACTATGGTTGACTGTAACGCGAGTTCGAGTGACGTTGGTCGACGGTTGCATATTTTTTACCATTATTTTGAATTGATTATTTGTTACTTTTAAAAAACATACATGTACATGTATACCTTGTTGTATTTTTGATCAAATTTTGTTTGAATTGAGACTTGTTACTTTTTTTTTCATTATTATAATGTTTGTTATTATTTGAGATACTGTGTTTGAAAATTTGTATTGTATCATTGAATTGGAAAGAAAGAAAGAATTTAATTGGTTATCTATTTGACAGGTCGTATCATGTGCCTTGCTTTTAGTTTCCTTTGTTCACCATTCATTCATCAGTTAATTGAATTATTGTCTTTATTTTTTTTTTTTTAACTGGTTTTTCTTTTAGTTTTCACCAACTGGGAAACGTCTAACCGATATCAGGTCAAGAACAGTGTGGGACAACAGATCTACTTCGCTCATGAAGGTATGCATTTTTATTATTAAAATCTGTTAGAGCGGGGCTGGCAAATTTTAATAAATAAAGATGTTTCCATACTAAACCACATTTTGGAAAAGTTTTGGACAGTCTTGATGAATGTTGCCAGTCATTAAACTTTAAAAAAAGCATACAATATTGTTTAAAATTTATAGAACGACACAGCTGTTTTTGAATAGCTCAGCATGCAAAAATAATCTTAAAGTAGTTATTTTGCATATTTTTGTTCCAAACAGAATCTGACGTTTGCCAGAGGCAGTGCTGTGGACCACAACGTGGCTTCACCATGCATATTACAGACAACATGCAACAGGTAGGTCAGTGTCTCAAAAGGTCATTATATAGAATCTTCAAAGGCCCCTCGCGTGACGCGTGATGATGAGAGTGCATCACTTCTCCGCTTACGGTCGGCTAGGCCGCATCCGAATTGGCTAAAGCCGGTGTCATATAAAATTCGGACTCCTATGAAATCTGCTCTCCTTGATCTTATATGGTCTACGACCCTCACACGTGACTTGGCACTGTTCTTGGGTGCGTTCGATTAGCTAATTCCCTGTTTATACACAGGGTTAAAAGCACTGCCTTAAAAAAACACTGCATAAACGTGAATAGTGACTATTGCAATAATAATTCAGAGTGAGTCGAGTTCAGCACAGGAAATCACGCAGCCAGTCAAGAGTAAGATCACACACTAAACGAGAACGACCAATGACGAGGAGAATTGGCTTACCTTTGTCAAGTGAATTTGAACAACTCGTTGCTGGGCTAATGGAAACTGCAAGACTTGTTCGTTCGTTCGTTCGTTCGTTCGTTCGTTCGTTCGTTCGTTCGTTCGTTCGTATGGACTAGTGTCTGGGTTAACAGCTTCAGTTCGAGAAGTCTTCTCTTAACAGGATCACCACAGGAAGGTAGCTGTCATGATCCTAAGACTTGTGATTAACTAAAACGCACATTATGCATATCCATTACAGTCTTGTCAATCAGAACATGACTCTTCTGTTAATCACTTCGGCATTTATATATAACATGTATTTATGATTGGTCATTTCAGGAGGTCATCCGAGTGAGCCGTGAGTTCAAGTGCTGTGCCGGTTGCTGCTGGTGTGCCAATGTCGATTGCTGTGGCTTCGAAGTAGCCGTAGAGGCGCCTGTGGGACAGGTCGTGGGATACGTGCGACAAGCGTAAGTCTTATGCTCATATCATTATAAGTCTTATATTCAGCGTAATGACTCTTCTGGTTTCGAGTTTTAGACAGTCTTTTCGCAAAAGAGTCTCGCTTGATTATGCATGCTTTACGTGCGACAAAGTAAGTCGTATGCCTATATCGTAAGCCTTATCTGCCTATATATCGTAAGTATTTTTTCAGTGTCATAAGTCTGTTTAACACTGTCGTAAAGTATGTAGAACCCTTTAATACAGATTAAGTCTCACAGTCACATTGTGTTGAAGACGTATTGAAAGTTTCATTTTGGTATGCTTGTGAGGATTTGGCGCACTAACGGAAGCTTGATTGGCACTTTCAAGAAGTCGATTCACATCCAGCATTCGAGTTTCACGGATTGCTCCTCATTATCAACCCACGTAGCGAATGATGTATAATGGGCCTGGTACGCTATCCACCACGTTCCATTGAAGACATTGCACGATATTGAACAGAATGCTTGAATGAGCTGTCACTTCGAAGACACATTTCTGTTACAGTTCTTTGTTGACATTAATACTGATTTAAAAAAAAAAGTAGAAAGATGTTCTTAATATATGATCTGGACCCATGTGAAAACTGCCTGGACAAATTAACACAGCATTGAATGTATATTAATTTACGTTCTTACTTCTAAAGAATAAAACTAAGGAACTGACGGTTTACAGTGAAATTTACTCTAAATTTAAATTGAAATAATTTAGCAAAGAATCACCTTAACGGAAACTTGAGTGAAAACTCGACCTGTTCGTTTGAATGCATTTCACAATTATTAATCGTCTTGTCTCTAGTTTCAGTTGAACAGAGTAAGTTTAAAAGAGTGAAATGTCTTCTTTTTTTGGAAAAAAAGAACTTTACTGATTGATTTATTATATCGAGTGATTCAAGACGCCTTCACCCCAACTTTTGGTAGAGTGCTTTTTAAATTTCGTTATTTGTTCCCCCCCCCCATTTTTAGTCAGAGTGGTTGGTCGCCCCATTATGACATCCTGAACGCCAACAGGGAGCCCGTGCTGAAGATCCGTGGACCGTGCTGCGTCTGCCAGGGCGCCTGCTGCACGTGGGACCAAAATTTCAATGTAAGAGCCTCTCTGATTGGTGGATTGTAGGTAGTGATCTGCTCTCATTGGTTGGTTTTAAGCATGGGTGACTTGGATATTCTGTGATTATTTTCATTGGTGCATTATTTTACCTAATAGTATGTAACAAAAGTTATGAATGGTTACAATTGACCTATCGCGGTAGAATCGCGTCAACGCAGCTTGTGAAATAATGTCCAATTACATGATGTACAAATGGACGCGGAACCCGCAAAATCCGAGACAAACGAAAGTTAGTGTCCAAAAACTCCATGGGGTTGTCCAAAGCCCGGTTCATGCTCTTCACGAAAGCGAAAGCGAACGCGAATTTGTGACGTCATGGCAAGTATTCGCGCTGCGAATTCGTAAAAGTTGAACATATTTCAACTCGGGCGAATTTCGCAGCGAATGTTTCATGACGTCAAATTTGCTTCGCATTCGCTTTCGCATGAAGTATGAACCGGGCTCAAGGGGCGTGGCTAAGTCGCAAACGGCGATAAAGGTCAATTACCTTAATGTCTTAAAATTCTATGATAAGAGCCATTTATAATTACCGAAAATGGTACAGTCGGAGACATTACCATAGACTTGTGCACAAACAATAATTTTTCAATTTTTGTGAATACTCCCTCCCCTCATATCAAACAACTAAAAGTACTAGAATGTGTCTCCCTATTAGGTACAATTTTCTTAATGTCAAGAACCGACGTTTTGAATGGATGACTTTTAATTGTAAATATTTTTTTTACCTCTTAGGTCATGAGTACTGATTTGGCTAACGAAGTCGGCAAAGTCAGCAAGCAATGGAGCGGATTCGTCAAGGAAATCTACACCAACGCCGACAACTTTGGCGTTTCCTGTAAGTTCACGAAGTATTACCAAAAAAACACACGGACAGCGTATTACATGTAGTTTGAAGGGCAACATTTTCCGCCTGTACCTTTCAAATAGAAAAAAATCGCGAAAAAAAAGGTTTTTAAAAAGGAACAAAAGAAGATTCCAGTCAATGTTTAATATCCTATATGTATGTGAAGAGAAAATACAAGCTTGGTAGGAACGGGAATAGACGAACCCTATATGGGCGGTAGATGTCGAAAGAGAAGCCAAAATATAACTGGACAATGAATGGCGCCATCATGTGTTAGAAGTTGTGTGATTTTATCAAATGCTAACTTTAGGGATATATGCCCGAATCAACTGGCTGCGGCAGGGAGTAACACACGTCTACGGGAATTGGCTGTAGCCACAAGCCAATGACTTCCACAGGCGCACGTGCCGCAGCCACAACTTTCGGACACGGCCTTAAGAACCTTCTTTCTCAAAATGTTCTATAAACGCAAATTTATTATTTTATTTAAAAATAATATTCGTGATTGTAATTTTCAGTTCCTACTGATCTTGACGTCAAGGTAAAGGCCACACTACTTGGGGCCGTCTTCTTAATTGTAAGTATAAGCATTTATCTGTCATTATTTTAAATTGACAAACGAAATGTACTTTTCTATCTTTCTGCTTAAATGGCTTAAATTTGGAAATGGTCTGCCATTGAGGTTTTGATATACATATACATGTAAAAAACACAAGGTATAATACAGTTGACTCTCGTAAGTACAAACTCAATCAGACCTAGCCAAAATGTTTGTTATAACCAGAATTTGTATTAACAGTGTTCGTACTAACGATAGTCGATTGTATAGGGGTACTATTATCATGATCAGAGGGTCAGGGGTTGGAATCCACCTGCTGGGCAATATATATGTTATGTCCTTGGGCATGACACTTAACCCCAATTGCCTCTCTCCATCCTGGAGTATACCTGCAAAGGGTATACCAGCATTAGCAGGAGAGTAACTTGCGATGGACTGTTCGCTATGGAGTGTCATGACCTAGCGGTTAAGAGCACCACACCGGACTCATGCTCAGTTGTTTCAGAGGCAGCAGAATGTGGCTTCGGGCCTGGGTTGTGCCCTTAAGCAAGGCACTTAACCATTATTGCTTTGTCCTTCGGATGGGACGTAAAGCCATAGGTCCCGTGTGTTGTGTGATGCACGTTAAAAAACCCAGTAACACTTATCGCTATTGAAGAGAAGGGGTTTGCCCCGGTGTTTCTGGCCTCCTGTTAAAACTCCCCTGCGGAGTATTTAGAAGAACTAACCAAGTACCTAATGGAAACCAGTTTGAAACTGTTTGGGCATGCCATAGGTAAACAAGTGTAATACCCGCCGTAAAGCAATGTGGGGTAGAATTCTGTCTCATTTGTTCCATGCCAGGGAAACCAGAAATAAACACCGGCCTTATAAATTGCCTCGAAACAAACATTAAATTACCGTGACATCTGTCTGGAACCTTAGTACGGATAAGAGTCAGATTAATGATACTGCTCGAGCTTTAAGTGGGGAGAGTTACGATGCAAGAAATCATTGTTTGTCCCTCTACACTCTCACTTTGCAGGACTTCATGTTCTTTGAGCAGCCGAAGAACAACAACAACCACTAATCGTGACCCGTTTGGACGGCTGGAAAGGAGGTCACAAGTCTGCCTACGTCACATGCGTCACTGCTGATTGAGCTATCATTAGAAAAATATATATACATAACGTATTCATTTTTGTTCAACTTGCGGGATTTCGTGATAAAAAAAAAGTATGACCTGATCTGACAAATCGAGTTTTATTAAACCTAATGTTAAGTAATCTAATGTAAGACAATGAGTATCAGTAACTGCCAGACACAGCTTTATCGATGTCTGCTTTTGGGTTTTTTTATTTCAAGAAATGACATCAATGACAATTGATCATGCGGAATACATGTACATTTTTTAAAAGGTGTTTTATTTCAGTACTTACGTCATAAGGGTAAGATCTCTCAATCAATAATATGTATATAGAGGGTGATAGCAAAAACATGTATGACGCCACAAAATTAATGGTTGGTGAAAAAAAGTATGAGAGATCACTGTTTAAATAATTAAAAGCTAGTATGTTCGTCTTTGATAAGAGGAGCTGTGTGTGCCTATTAAAATGCATTCCAAAATGAAAATTATTCGGATTCATCAGGGTAATACTCCTCTTGTCGGCATTCTATGTCGGTCATCTTCCCATGTTTTGCTGATAAGGGCTCATATTTCGAAGTTTTTATTATTTTAGTTAATCAACACATCTTGGCATGTGCTACCCTTTTGTATTATTTTTATAGACAATAGTGACTGTGTGTCATTTCTCCAGTTTTATACGCGTGTTTTTCAATTTAATAATTACCAAGATATGTATTGCACTTCGGTACCTGTTATTAACCAAATCGTTCGCCATACATTTTGTCGACATTTGACATATTACAACAACAAAAAAAGTATCAATGATAAAGAATTAACCAACACTGTATTAAAATGCCTTATGAATCAGCGTCGTATTGTTGATTCATCGTCGAAAAAATGGAACAATCATACGGAATTGAACCATTATGTATACATTCTGTATACCATAAGAAATACAATCGGTGTGTCATTTTTCATTAGTGTATACAACTGGGTGTGGTTACTCTCATCATGGGCGTCGCAAGGATTTTTTTCTAGAGGAGGGAAAAGCCAATGCCCCCCCCCCCCCAAAAAAATCCCTATACTTCCCAGCCTTTTCCCGATAGATCTTTTTCGAGGGTGGGCGGCACGGACATTTGCCCCCCCCCCCAACCCATTAAATTAACAACAATATGATTTCGCAAATCTTTTCCTTTTCCCCCTTTTTTTCTTGTCGGGGGGAGGGGGGGGGGGCAAGCCCCTCCCCCGTCGCGACGCCCATGTCTCTCATAAGTCATTTAAGATTCAAGGAGTACTCGTTATACAGTATTTATACATGTTTTTCTTCTTCCAGTTTTCTCTTTTTAACCCACGTGATTTTAATTCAGTTACGACTCTTGTCAGTTTCACAACGCTTTGTTTTTGATTGAAGAACTTTTAATGAAAAGGAACTAATTGGTATCAAGTGTATTGAAATTGCTTGTAGGAGAGGATTATGGATGATGATTTAAATGAGTTCAATTATAGCAGCTTTTTCGGCAGTTTTGATATTTTTTGTTTTGGGGTCAGTAGCCGTTTCTAAACCAAATGTTAACCACGTTCTTACTTAGAGTCAATACTATATTTTAATCAAAGATGTGTACTTTTTTATTCAACATTTTGTAAAAAGGTAGAAGCTAGGATAAGTAAACATGACATCTGTGTTAGTATGAATCTGTAATTTTATTGTAGGACTTTGAAAATGTACGATTTGATAAGAACTTTCTAAACGCTTCTGTTAACAAATTTGTTTGTACTTTTTTTCAAACAGGACTTGGTGTGTGTATATACAATTCTTTGCAGCTCAAAAGTGTGTTGATTTGCGTTTGAAAACAAAAATTGTCTAATTCTGTTGTAGTCGGGTCACATTTCAATAAAACGTTCTTGTACACTGTATAGCACATTGTATATTGATTGTTTTATCTTTTTTTTCATCACAATTTTGGTACAGTTTGGGATTGTGCCATACAAGCATGGAATTTGGCACACAGAGTATGAGAAAGGTGTTTGGCCATAGGGTCACCGCAGATTTGTCCTTTGAAAAAAAATATGGATAGAGTAACAAGCAGTTTTCAAAATTTTCAAAATGGCTGCCATTGATTGGTATTTTACCTATATATTTTTTTCAAAGGACAAATCTGCAATAGCCCTGCAGTAGGCTATATTCAAATCTTTTCTTCATGACCTACTCTTTCTGTGTGTCAAAGGGCATGTTTACCTCATCAAAGACACAATAAGCCTCTGTACTGATGACGTCACCGTGGCCCCCACTGGAACCATAGGAAAGTGCACATGTACACAAAAAAGTGTGACGTCATCAGTACAGAGGCTTATTCCCCCAAATATTTCCCCTATCTGTCCCACTAACTTTTTTGAGGCAAAGAATCAAAACAAAAAGAAAAACCAGCTGCAAATTCCATGCGCCCGAGAATATGCGCCTGGGAGCTTTCCGTTCCAAAACGGAACTCCGCATGCACGCTCTTTGTGACTCTTTAAAATTAGTTTGCATAAAAACTGTGTTATAAACAACATAAGCTGAGAATGGTTGCTTTCAAATTCAGGGGATGTTGGTACAAAATAACAAACGAGTTGACATAATGTTTATAGGCATAGTATTTTTAGGTTCCTTGTCCAAACATGTTCTGTTATCTCTGCCATGATTGAAAGTTTTGACAGTATAGAGAGACCCAGATAAAATTGACCCGGTCGAACTTTGGAACGGCACCTCCACAACAAGCATTGACTGTGCCTATCAAGTTTAAAATTAATTCGATTAAAAAAATAGCTCTCCGCAAATGATTAACCGCGGTAAAATGACGCACTCACTGACAGAGCTTGCCATTGGACATGACCGTTGTTTGTGTCGACACCCAGACGATAATGTACGCGGGTATGCAGGAGATGTTTTTCACTGGCGAATGTGACTCAGGTATACGGTACAACATATCGGCTCAGTAACGGTGCAAAACGAACAGAGGTGTTTTTGTCTCCCTTCGACAGCGTATTTTTGCGTTTTCCTCATCTTTGATTACACCTGTTCGCTGAGTGGATTTGGAAGTTGTGGAAACATGCAGCAGGGTCAAGCTCAACCGCCGGGCCAGCCGTGGCCAGGGGCGTACGGCCAGCCGCAGCAGGGCTACCCACCTGCGGGCGCTGGGGCGGGCTACCCACCGCCTACTGCCGGGGGTGGCTACCCACCAGCCGCCGGCTACCCTGCCGGACAAGTCCAGCAACAAATGCCGGTAAATCCTGAGGTATTTACATTGTCTCATCCCTTCACCCCACATTAAATACAGCATTTGTATAACCATTTCCCAAAACCGAAATTATGTTCTCATCAATGGCACTTCGTTTTCATTTTAGCCCCTGATTTTAAATTACATGCCGTCGTGCAATAATAATTCTCGAACAAATTATTCGACAAAACAAAACTCCTACCCTCGCTTGTGGCTGTAAACAATCAACCATGACAGCTGTTTATTATTTTCGCAGCAACATTATTTGTTTGTCAGCTTTTGTCTGGCGAAGGCCTGCCGTACACGCCGCATACACATCCATTTTGTGCAGGCGTTTCACAAAAATAGGCCTAGGGTTTTTTTAAATGATAAATTATGAACATTAGCTGTATCAGTTTACATGTACATGTTTCAAATCATGACTCATGAAGAATGCTGCTGTATGAACATAACTATTGTCAGCATGATTTCCTTTGTCAATATTACCAGTCTTCATTGTGCAAAAAAGAGGGTGATACCATCCGTCCAATGGGCGCTGTTAAAATCTCATGATAGTGTGCAATACCCCAACTGACTACGCCTCTGCGGACAGGTGGACATTATGGGTAGTTATTATTACCGTTGTCATTCATTTCTGTGTGAGTCAGAGCAGGGGGACCCCCCCCCCCCCTTGCCGGATCAGCGCCTGGGTATATAGCTTGCCAGTTTACCATCCAAGCTCATACCGCGTATAACTAGTATGCAAAATGCCGTTTTGGGATATTTAAACGCCTTTCCAATGCATGAAATTATATTGATTGGAACGATTTACAAATTGAAAGTGCAAACACAACTATTTCTTGCTAACATAACATTCAATCATTTTATCGCTCGAAAGAATGTAATACATTTTGATCCTAACAACAAACGAACACGTATAGTTTCACTTCAGCTTTCGTGGTTTCGTTTTCACAAACGTTACTCTCACTGTTGTTGTAACACAGTGAACCGTCTCTTTGGTAAACGTTATGCAGCAACAGTCTTAATTGTGTTGATAGCAGCTTAAAGGGGCAGTTCGGCCTGAAATTTCCGAAAAGGCACTGAAAGGAAACAAACCTAATGTCTTACCGTTCCCGAGAAAAGACGGGGGAAAACACACCTAAAAATCCTGGTTGTTGACATCGGACGCGACGGACATTTTGAAGCATGATGGCCCACGTTTCAAGTCGTGTCCATTCAATGTACCGTACACGTTGTGTGTGCCATTATAAAACACACATAGCACCCAGCACGCAATTGTTATGTCTTACACGTCCGCAGAATGCGAACCACTGTGCGGCTGGATTCACAAGCACTCAACAGCTCGATTTTTCGGAGACAAAATTGTGACCTCCGCTTGGTTCTCGCAAGAATAACACAAAACGTCCAGCTTTTAAAGGACGGTTGTGTGGATGTTTATATTCTACTTTTAAATGCTCTTTCCCTTTGATATCACCGGGTCGTTTAAAACACATTTTGTATCCCAATTGGACGCCTCCAGGTCGTAATATCCCTTTAAGTACATGAAAATACGCGTGTAATCAAGTCGGACTTTTTTCAACAGCTTTATGTTAGGCATTATGTGGATTGTCTGCGACTCAGACTTTTGAAATATTGTTAGTAAACACAGATTACAATGTTGGTGATCTCCGGACGACAGTACGCGTGAGTGCTGAACTAAATGACCTTCGCGTGTTTATCTGCTGGGTCGGGCCATCTGCCGCTATTTACTGATGACTGGGATGGTGACGTCGGTTGTTGGGTTTCACGTTCATTGTCACGACGGCGTCACGTAGGCAATTTCTTTGATAACAGTTACCGATATACGGTTGGCATGTATGGCCAGCGGTGCAAGAGCTCTGGAGGCTGCCCTCGGTTTGTTCATTTGGCAACATTGCATTTGCAACTCAGGAAACTTTCCGACCATATAAAAGCACAACTTTACTTTCCATGAAATGACTACAGAGCAATGATACATAACAAAAAGATGACATACCTGTAAGCTGTAACCCTTACAATAGAAAGTTGATTGTTAACCCTCTTTTTTTGGGGGGGGGGGGAGGTGTTGGGGGTTGAGAAGAAGAAAAAGGTTTTTTCGTGGTCATCCACCTCTCCAACACTCGCCTATCATTTTGAGCTTGTATGGAGTCGTTCCAATCTTCCATAAAATTCAATCTGGTTGCGTGTCTTATGGGGTCCAAATACTGAAAACAAAAACAGTACCTCATAGCGTTGCATCAGCTAGGCCTGATATTGAATTACCAGTGTATCGTAGTCTTGAACAATGTACAAAGCGTCGAGTGATGTCCAGCACTCCCTTCCCTTTCGATATCTCCACGGCCGGTGTTGTTTCCCTTCACTGCTTTCTGGTGTTAGCTTTGCCCTCATCTAGAAACAAATCATGGCGACGACCATGTCTACTGGGGTCAACTGAAATCGAGATGAAAACAAATGTGTCTTGCGGGGTCATGTACAGATAGCCCGATGATCAATTTCATCACACGCCAGTTCATTTTCTGTCCAAATCTTGTCTCGCTTGTTTTCCTGGCAGAATCTATAGTGCAAATTACACCTTTATGTCCTTGTAGGCTATCTCTTAACTCGAGTACAACAAGTGTAACTTATCCTCACGTATCAAGAGAAATCTGTTCCAACTTATTTTTCTTCTCAGATGGTGCAAATGCAGCCAGCGTACGGCCAGCAGCCCGGCCAGCCGGGCCAGCCGGCACCTGCCCAGTGGATGCCCGCCCCTCAACCCGTCAGCAACTGTCCTCCCGGTCTGGAGTATCTCTCGCAGATCGACCAACTACTGGTCCATCAACAAGTGGAGCTGTTTGAAGGTAGAACAACTGGGACATTCTGGTTAACTCTATCCCTCTGTCATTTATGGGGGTGCTTGCTGTAGTGCAGTTGATGTAACTGCTGTTACACCCTCATTATAGTTCGGGAAACTCGGTCTTTTGCCCAATGTTGCTGAACATAACTCTTACTCTCTTGGGCAACTCATCCCCAAAAGTTGGCCATTTTGTATTAGAATTAACCAACATAATTTTGAGGTAATTTCTTAGTATAATGTTACAAATAAGTAACATTTCCCCCAAACTTTTACGGTTCATATGTTTCTACTACTGTAAGGAATGTACCTGCTCTACAGCCATATTAGCTTCAGGTTTGGTTTGTGTTTTGCTGCTTTAGTATATTATTTTGCTGCTCGTACTTATACTGCCGTAGTGCTTGCTACTCTGCTATGTTTGTTATTGTAGCTGGATAGTTCTGCTAGTGATGCCCAAACAACGCTTTGTTTCAGTGCTTTCAACGAATAAGTCAATTATTAATTCGAAAACACTTTCATTTCGTTAAACACACACACAGTTCTCACCAACTGGGAAACTGCAAACCGGTACCAAGTGAAGAACAGCTTGGGACAGCAGGTGTACTTTGCCCACGAAGGTAAACCTAGCTTCTGCTTTTACACTAACAACAAACTGAAATGACTTTTGCAACAAGATTTATTTTAAAATGCCCCTGTGTAATAAGGGAAGCCCTAATGGCAGTGCTAAGATACTTGGGTGGTTTTTGGAGCCACTTACAACAAAGGACAAGCTACAGCTTCATATTCCATCAATTCTGGGAAACTAAATCGGTACATATGAAACGTAAGATTTGAAAGTACAAACACTGACTTGAATTCCACTGAAACCAAAGGAACGGATTAAAAAAAATTAAAAGTTCTTTCTCGTGACTAAATAACATTCTGTCTGACTGTGAGGATTTGTTCTTCTTTCGAATACCCCGTCCAGAATCGGATGCGTTCCAGCGGCAGTGCTGCGGACCAAAGCGTGGTTTCACCATGCACGTTACGGACAACCAAAACACGGTAAGTTCTTGGTTCTTGGTTCTTGGTTGGTTCATCTCCTAAATACTCCGCGTTGGAGTTTATACAGGAGACCAGAAACACCGGGGCAAACCCCTTCTCTTAGCGACAAGTGTCACTGGGTTCTTTTACTTGCATTGGATTACACAACACACGGGACCTACGGCTCTACGTCCCATCCGAAGGACGAAGCAATAATGGTTAAGTGCCTTGCTCAAGGGCACAAGTGTCCACCCGGCGGGCTCGAACCCACGCCACTGTTGCATCTGTAACACCAGAGCATGAGTCCGGTGTTCTTAACCGCTAGGCCGGCCATATGACACTCCGTAGTTTGTAGCAACATCTCTGGAACATCATCAATATGGATGGGAACAACGGGCTCATTCTGACGGAATCTAGCATCGGGGAGTTGTTACTTCTTCCCGAGATAGTTCTTCAGCCTTTCTCACTAGTTCTCAGACAGCGCTTGAGTATAAGGTGCTTATCCGTGCAACTACGTAGGTGAAGGGCAAAATGCACCTCATTATAAAATAGGTCAAATTAAAGTGGCAACTTCTGGAAGTGCCGATACAAGAAAGACCCGACGGTTCCTATCAGGAGGTATTCAGAGTTCACATAATTATACGGCTCGTTCGCACCCGCTGGTGTCTGGGTTGACAGCTTTAGTTCGAGAAGTATTTTCTTAACAGGATCACCACGGGAAGGTATATAGCTGTCGGTGAAAAATATATTCAACAGTTCTGAAGAGTTTTTGTAGGCATGCAATCGAGGCCATCACAAGTCCAGTCACAAATAATCACAAGTCCAGTCCAGTCACAAGTAACATTGGATGAACAATAACAAAGGAATGTCTTTGTCAAAGCTCATTTTAATAGCTTGTGAGCTGAATTGGGACTGGAGGTCTTGTGATGGACTCTACTACATCCCTGAGTTTTTGAACGCATGTTATTATTAAACAGTAGAGAGTGCATAGAATGTTACAGTTGCTATATGTAAATTTTCTTCCAAGTAAACAAAATAATTATGAAGAAATTGTTCATATAAATGTTGCAGTACCCTTTCTTCTATACATGTGGGTCATTAGTTGCTTTCCTTTAGAAATTACAAGGCCACACTTGAAACAAGTCTACTTCGCTCCTGCAACCACCTTGACTCTCACAAGAACAAATAAGTGTCATCATTCACTGTTAAAATGGAAATAAAACCAATATTTATCACAAATTCACAATCATTAACCACACAAAGTATTATATTTCACAGGAGGTGATACGTGTGAATCGTGAGTTCAAGTACTTTGGAGGTTGCTGCTGGTTCGCAAGCGCGGAACCCTGCTCCATGGAAGTCTCCATAGAAGCTCCTGTGGGTCATGTGGTCGGCTACGTCAAACAATCGTGAGTTCCAATTGGTCGACATATGTAAGCTGGTGAAAATCAGGGCTGCCATTTTTATTTTGTCTGCTAATGTGTTTTCGTTGTGTATGTGTTCTTTAGTTGATCTGGAGCTTTTAAAGTGCGTGGTGATCCAGGGAGTTGCGACGCGCGTGCGCATTTTCGTTTTCCTTTTTTTTAATTTATAATTTTCCGAACGGATGTTAATTTTGAACTTTGATTATTTTCTGTCTTTCATGGACAATTCTAGAGCGAGCTTCATGGCGCCAGAGTTCAACGTCCTGAACGAGAAAGAGGAGCATGTCCTTTCCATCAAGGGTCCCATATGCATATGTCAGGGCGCCCTCTGTACGGGAGACCAGGAGTTCGTGGTGGGTTAACTTTTAACAACTACTGAACTTTAAAGTCAGGCATCTAATTGTCGATCGTCTTCCTGAGTACTGCATACCAGCGCAGACTTGTATTTGTTTTAGCTCGAGGGTTTGGTAATTTCACTTGACTTATTTTCGGAACCTTTGATAGCTGGGTCATGTTGCACAATTAAAGCTTACACGCCTCTGGTTTCTGCATGAAATTGTAAAGTTTGAAGAGACACCTTTTCTTTTGTTAAAATAAAAACGAAACAATGTGCATGTTCCACCAACCACTTCCATGCTGTTTATATCCCGTGTGAGTGTTGTTGATATGATGTCACTCACCGCAAAGACTCAGTGCTAGCTCTTCGCTGGTGTACATCACTAATTCTTGAATAAGGCAGTGTACAAATGAAGCTAATATCCGCATACCCGGCAGCCATCCGGCCGAGGGCGCTACTACTCCTCAAGAGACAATTTGAATGAAATATTTCTTTTAAATATGAATTTTAAATATCGGTTGTTTTTTCCCCTGTTGAACAGATAATGAACAGTGATGAAACTCAGGAAGTTGGAAAGATTAGCAAGCAGTGGTCTGGACTGGTCAAGGAATACTTCACAAAGGCAGACAATTTCGGCATCTCGTGTAAGTTCATCGATGGATTCGGTTTAGATCATTGTACTGACCTGCCTTGTCTATGGAATATCCTCCTACACAGCAAGAGTCTATGATATGCGTGCAGATTCAGCGTCTAATTAGACAAGACTGCATCTTGACCTCGAGATTCTGACCATTCAGCGGGCGACTTCTATCAGGTCTTCCGTATACGAGTAACCCGTTGTTGCATTACAAAACATGGCATCCAAATTGGCCATCCTCAGCTTAGTACACATTTCTGTTCGAAATGACGTCAGAGTTTCTAAAGACCACTACGATTGGCTGGCGCACGGGGTCGCATAAAATTGACATGCCAGGATATATCAAAATATATTAAACATGCGACGCCGAAAATGCGACGCCGATGTGACAAATGGAACACCATGCTTCAGATGTATACCTAGATTTATAGCGATTTGTGATGAATACCACGTGACTATAACATTTATGCACATATTTTGCCTCCATTTACAAACTTTTCATAAACGTCATCTTTCCGAATCGCTATAAACAATTTTTGTAAAGTATTTATTTGCTTTTGTTTGCAATTTTTTTTCAAAATTAAAATTTGGCAGTTATATTTTGGAAAAACTGATGGGGCATGTTTTGGTCAATTTTCGGAAACGGACATATGCAAAATAGACGCGCATGCGCACCGATCGAATAAAATCGGGGTTCCGAAAACCGTCGTCAAGAGTGCAATTTTGTGACCACGGCATGGCATTTGCTCAATTATAGTCAATTATATTTGGTCAATTTTCCGGGGACAGACACACAGACAGACAGACCGACCGACCAAGTGACATGAAGAAGCTCCTGCCAGAGCTTACAAAGTTTACCTGAACCAAATAGCGCCTCCGTTGTGTCTACCTATCGTCTCAAAATGCCAATGCAGCTATGGTAGCAGACCAGTAAATAAACTTCCATAGACCCCAATGGTAAATGCTCCCACTTCAAAAATTCGGGAAAAATACTCATAACTCTCCAAGGTGTTTGAGACGCACAACAAATTAACCCTTTCATGCCCACATTGTTTATTGACTAGGCTCTCCCCAGGACCAAATTGTTTGCTCAGTCATGCGGAAATCACTAGAGCGTGAACAAAATGAGCACAAGTCAAAAACTAACTTTTTTTCAACCCAGATTTTCATTGCCAAGGAGTGATTAAAATCATAAATGTTGTGTGTAAAGTTTGTTCCTTGAACCTTATTCTTTTATGTGATGTCAAAATGAAGTCCATACGTGCAAATATAAGAAAGTTATGCCTTTTTGTTCATCTGGTCCCAATTATCAAACTGCAAGCCATTTCACCACATGACCAAATGGCACTCCATACCTCAAATTGTGCGTGGATACTTCTGAAGCACTTTTCTCATATTTTTTGTATGGTAACACTATGAAAAAACCACACCAATAGAAAGATCCGAAAACACTCTTTCAGCGGGTATATAGTTGATGTATGGGCGGCCAAACATATCAACATGCCGCCTTTCTGAAAAGTAGTGAATATATCTGTGTTGAGGGTGTTTTGTTTATGGTTTCCTGGTCGCCTAAAGTCGCCCATGGGAACCAGCAGGGGGCTACTTCTTGTCGACAAAAGTCGCCCATGGTAAGGAAAGGGTTAAAGCTTATTTCATCATCTTTCATTTTCTTTTCAATTTTTGGGGGGTCAACTGATGACTTTTAGGAGAAATTTCCATCTGAAGATGATCACCCCTGAAAATAGTCCTGAAGCCCATCGCCATTTTGAAAAACGATGCCTACACTCCATTGCAAAATAGAGCGCTTTTAGGGTCCAAATTACATCAAAATTACACAGAACGGCAAGCTCCCAGTCCTGTGCACGGCTTCCACCCATATTTTTTACAAACCCTCAAGTTCATGGCCCAAAGCATGCCCAAATACCGAAGATTTTGAGGGCATGCAAATCGTGATTTGGCCGGCGCAGGCAATTTTGGACCGATTTACTGGTCTGCACCCTATATACAGGTAGCAGACCAGTAAATAAACTTCCATAGACCCCAATGGTAAATGCTCCCACTTCAAAAATTCGGGAAAAATACTCATAACTCTCCAAGGTGTTCGAGACGCACATCAAATTAAAGCTTATTTCATCATCTTTCATTTTCTTTTCAATTTTTGGGGGGTCAACTGATGACTTTTAGGAGAAATTTCCATCTGAAGATGATCACCCCTGAAAATAGTCCTGAAGCCCATCGCCATTTTGAAAAACGATGCCTACACTCCATTGCAAAATAGAGCGCTTTTAGGGTCCAAATTACATCAAAATTACACAGAACGGCAAGCTCCCAGTCCTGTGCACGGCTTCCACCCATATTTTTTACAAACCCTCAAGTTCATGGCCCAAAGCATGCCCAAATACCGAAGATTTTGAGGGCATGCAAATCGTAATTTGGCCGGCGCAGGCAATTTCGGACCGATTTACTGGTCTGCACCCCTATACTTTTTCGGAGGATGTGAAGACTTCTAATAATCAAGGTCGTTTACTAAATCTTTATTTTCAGTTCCCATGGATTTTGACGTCAAAATGAAAGCAACCATGCTGGGAGCTGTCTTCCTAATCGTAAGTAACGTTATGCTGTCATAATAATATCGATCCATTTAAACATTGAAGTGATTAAGTAATCGATTAACAGTATCGATAATGGTAAATAGTTATCGCTTTACCATGTCACATTTTCTATCGACTTTTAACATTTTACTTTTTCTATCCACAGGATTTCATGTTTTTCGAGGAGCAACAGCAACAGGACGATCACCACCATCACCACCACTAGAGGGCGCCATAGAGCCGGATATGAGAGAAATCTCGATGAAGTAGTCCAGGTCAAAGGTTATTCGGGATAAAATCGCTGAAGTGATGATACGCGATGTTACGCAGACGTTTCCGCGCGCCTTCGATTATCCCGAATGACCCGTGACCCTATATCATTGTGCACATGCGCAATTGGCTTATTGATCAGCTGATCTGAAGAGAGGATCAACACATCTTTTTTTTTTTTTTTTTTTTTTAAATATTTTTTTAGCTGAATCTTAAAAGGGTGTATTGATCAAAACGATGAGAGGTTAGATAAAGTTGATCTCGCAGGTGTATATAGAAAAACGCTTTCGTTCGCGTGCATGAATTTAAGAGCGCAAATATTAGTGTTTCTGAATCAAGAAAATCATTGTGAATTGAGATATTAGCCCACAAATATATTATATTCCACACTGTAAATAATGCGTATAGGCTGCTACCCTACTCCATCGTGTTATGTTGAAGTTTACGGATGTTGTGTCTGTAGACTGCAATTGATTTAACCTGACTGATTTTCGAACGGGTTTTCTTGTTTAACCCTAAAAGGGCCGGGGCGGAATCCGCCCCCCCCCCCCGACTTTTTCCGCGATAGCCTTTAAAAAAATTTTTTCGCGGCCCAAGCTGTTATGACTTTTTAGCCTCAAGCCTTGCGCATCTTTTGACACCAAAAATATAAAAATTGGACCAGGGGTTGTCGCGCAGCGAAAAATCTTCCGGTGCTACGCGCCGTGAGGACTGAATTTTCCCGTATACGTCGTGTACACAGACCAGAATTACCATTCGTACATATGAATAATTAATTGGCCATAATTCCAAAACCCTTTGACCTATAGTGATGAAATTTCTTGGGTATGTTTATGAAGAGTTGCTCTATGCATGTACCGAGTTTTATAATTTTTCGTCACTCGATGGCCGAGATCTTACGGGGGCGGAATAAATAAGTTATATTTAGTGTAATCTCACAATTGGAGTTCAGGAACAAAGCTGTATAATCATTTATCAAGCTTGGATAGTTCAATATGAATGTAAATATTTGGTCATTACTCAAACTGAACATTAATGTTTTGCTGTACGGATTTTTTTTCTAGGAGGAATAGGATTTATTGGTAATTTTGCAAGTTTTGAGTTATACATAATTTTGTTTAATGCATTGATTTTGCTACCGATATTGAATGCCACATATAATTTGCTGATTGATTTTCTTAAAGTCCAATTCTGGTCCATTTTGACTTAGTGTATCGCTGAAATATTCTGGCGTTCAGTGGAACTTCTATGGATTATTGTCTCTATGCTGGGAAAGAAAATCCAGGTTAAAATGAGGGTTTCGTTGAGCAAAGTCTAATGAATCCTTGAAATTATATTTGGCTTAATAGAATTGTCGTGGTAAACAAGAATATAATCTAGTTGTGTACAATACCAAAACAAACAAACTAGAGGTTGTAGGAACAACCACACGGTTTTTGGCCATGGACTACCGCAAACTTTTCCAAATACATCAACTCAAAATGCATGTTTTAATCCATGTTTAACTTAGTCAACATGCCGCTAGTGGGCGCTGTCACATTTTATGACGTCACCTGTGATATTTTTGTAATCAAGGCCCAACACCTAAAAATAACTTAATGATGTTATCAAAACCAATGCATAGATGTTGTAATATAGGTCTACATACGTAAACTGGGTCCACAAGCTGTTACCTTTAAGGGGTCTAAGTAGAAATAGTAAATTATGTTATACGGGGTCCGGCCAGCACAGTAAGAAATAAAGTAAACAAGTCGGAAATTGTAAATAATTATTAAAGTCGATGTCTCGTACAAAATATGTGCATTAATTTTGTATTTCTAGAAAATAACAATTAAAAAATAAACCTCCCTTTCCAAGTGTCATTCAAAAAAAATAAAATAAAAAATAAAAGAGAGGTGTAGACGACTGCTGTTAAAGATGTACTACGACCTGAAATCACCGATAATTGTATGCTTTGGATGGTTTAATTATCCTATTTCAAAGGTCTGGTTGAAAGGAAACTAACCTAATGTAATACCTTTCCCGAGAAAAAATTAAGAAAAAAACTCGGTTGTTTCCATCGGCGCGGCGGACATTTTGGCATACGCATACGTATTTCCAGCCGTGTCTATTCAATGTACGGTCGCGTTGTGTGTGTGTCACACGTAATACAATGTAAACAGTGGCGTAGCACGGTGATTTTTTATTGGGGAGGGGTTAAAAAAAATGTGAAAAGGGCACTAAGCCTTGCACATCCGTGGTGAAATGTAGACAGGGTTTTTTTCTCCGGACAGTTGGGCTCCGTAAAATCAAAAAGCGGGAAGGGGGGGGGGGGGGGCTGGAACCATCTGTCGAGGGGGGCGCTGTTCAAAACCAACGATTATGCACTCAAACTGTCAATATATGGTGCTTTTCAGGGCCATACATGTGCGAAATTCAGTAAAAGGAACCAAAAACAGCTGGTGCCACAAAAAACGGCACCACTTCTTTTTAGAAAAAAGAGCAATTGTTCAGAAAAAAGGGCACTTCATAAAAATAAGGCACTTTTTAAAAATGATGGGGGGGGGGTAAGCCCGTTGAAAAAGGGCATTTGAATGGAAAAAGGCAGTCTAATTTACAAAATATTGTGGGGGGGGGGGTTAAATACCCCCCCCCCCCCCCCCGCTGGCTACGCCTATGAACAGAGTTTACCCGAGCCAAAGACCCCTCCCGTTGTGTCTGCCAAATTTGAAAAAAAGTTAAATGCAGCTTGTTGTACCAAATGCCTACGCTTTTTTATCCACCGCATCACGTATCCGATTCGATCTTGAAGTTAAATTACAGACCCGGATTCATATTTTTGGCGAAAGAGGGCGCAGTAACGTAGTAACGGCGCAATTTTCTGGGTCCAAACATCAGTTGAATGCCTGTTCCTACTACTCTGTTCCTGGTGCGTGGCCGCTTTTTGTTCCGTTCCAAATACGCGCATTGAATTACATTCACCACTTCAATCAGTGATTCAAAACCATTATTGTATGGTAGGCCGACGTATGAACATTGTGCTCATAACAATCATTCAAAGGGCCCTGTACTTGTACCGCAACTTACTCGGAGTCACGCAGTCTTTAAACAGTGTTGATAGTCGTAGAATCGGACCAGTCTGCTCATGTCACGATAACCAGCATATTGTTACCCTTACCATGGCTTCGCCAAGCACCTACTCGTTCGATATTGCCCGGGCCAAACTGCCGCCAGACACGGTCGCTATCGTCACGGGAGCTGCCGAGGGACTCGGCAAGGGCTTCGCGGAGGGCTTGCTGGACAAGGGAGCTAAGGTAAAGCGAACCATGCAACGTCTGATGAGAAATAGATCACAGGAACCGTTTCGAAGAAATATTAAGGGAGGGCTAGGCTGGGTTCTGAAAGCTTATCAATTTTGACGTGTGTTACATTTGACGTGCAACAAAAGGTCGAGCATTAAAAGGTAACAGTAAGATATTTTTGGTAGTCTTTTTGGGGGGTGGGGGTGGGGGTGGTTGGGGAGTGCATGGTAGCTGCATGACAAATGTCCCGTCCATAGAGCTGTATAACCCGTCAGATAGTTTTCGAAAAGCTTAATATTATTGGCCTGTGCGTTCCATTTTGATTCCCAAAATTTTAGCGGTTCATTTGATTTTTAAGACTTTTCCATCACAAGAGTCAAAATTTTTGAAAGGTTTTTCATAGCTTAAGGGCAAATTTAACGCGCACCGTTTCTTTGGTTTTCAATCATGTGCCAGGGTGTGTGCATTGCGGACGTGAATGAACCGCTGGGTTTGAAAACGGCTCAGGAACTGTCGGACCGCTTCGGGAGAGATCGGGTCATCTTCGTCAAGTGTGATGTCGCGTCGGCTGCGCAGGTCGAAGGTCAGTCTCGGGATGATGTCGAGAACAATTCAAAATTTAAAATTCCACATTGATTCGTGCAATTTAACCAAATCGGCCGAAATCAACTGTCAACCGAGCACACACACAAACATTCCAAACTGACAGAGTATATGGCCTTAAAAGTGAATTTTCCGGACGGGTGCTTTTATAAAATTATTTATTGCAATTTTACGATAGCAGCTTGCTTTTATTTCATTCGTAAACGTAAAATGATTTAATGTCGTAAATACTTTTTTAATGCATATAGGATTGAGCAATAAGTACCTATAATAAATAGGGGGGGGGATAACACAATTGATATTTAAAATAGAATAAAAAAACAAATCGCAAGCAATTAGCAATGGTTACACGGACGGACAGTTCAATCATCCAAGACGATTGCTCTTTTCGAAGAACTGGAAAAATCACGCCGCTGGTAAAAACAAATATTTTTCCTAGAATATCGCATCCCAGTCCCATTTCGCACAAACCAAATTCATATCGATGTTTTTTTGTTTTTCTTTATTGCAGCCGTGTTTGCAAAGGCAAAAGAGAGATTTGGGGCCATTAATCTCGTGGTAAACAACGCGGGACTTTGTAACGAGAAAGAGATCGAACAGACCATCAACGTAAATGTTGTGAGTAGATACATTCATTGAACCGTGACACAATTACGTGCACAGCATAGGATCAAGTCAGTGTACTAGATGTTTTTCAAATTTCACTCGCAAATGGATTATCGCCAATTGAACATCAGACCCCCATTCGCTCAAAAATAGGGTCTCAGTTGGAAAGTTCGTGAATGAAGGCCAAGGGTTGATCTAAGTCAAGTTAACCAAAATCTGTGTGTGTAGCGTAAGAGTCTTTTCCAAAGTTATCTTGTATTTTGCTGCCAGAAATTTACAAAATATGGAATGTTGTTACAGTGAGTTGTTTAAAAAAAAAAAAAAAAACCAGCTCGATCAGATCTCGAAAGCTACGGGCCAACGAATTCGTATTCAAGCATGAGTCACGTGATTGTGCCATGTAATCTGGAAGGAGTAGTGTTTTGAGGTAAAATTTTTTTTTTTTAAATCTGGATTTTGGCCCAGTGACCCCATGATGACATTTGACCCCAGTTTGGTCATGTGGCATGTTGGGTCTGAGCTACTGATACTTTTGACAAAGTTTGTTTGAAATCGGTCACAATATGTAGGAGCAATAGACAATGTCAGCGTAACTATATAACGGACAAACGGAGAGACATGATACTTTTGTTGAGCTCCTATCTAGCCTCCAGCTGAAAGAGTTTGGCACGCTGTCAGAAACATGAGTTTGAACAGAATCACCCGTCTTAGACATGATAATAATAGTTTTAATCTTTGTGTTGTTTGTTTCTTTTTCATAGACCGGGGTGGCTTATGGGACCTACACCGCCATTAAGTACATGAGCCCGGCAGAGGGCGGTACAGGAGGCAAAATCATCAACATCGCATCCGTTGCGGGTTTGTAAAGATTATACATGTAGAACGCCCTCTAAGGTGTACGGCAAGACTTAAAAATTCGACACTACTAAAACGGAACCACTTGCATCAAGTCTAAAATAATCGATTAGATGTACCCCTCTACCTATATAATGGGATTAAAGTTGAAGTCCGTGCACGTTCCCTGCATGTTTGTTTCTTGTCCATGTGTCATTTGCCTCTGAAGAAGTATTTGCTAAAGACGAAATATATCAGGCCTCTCTAACTTGTTGATTTACATATTTCAGGTCAATCCAGTCAGTGAGCAGTTTGCAGCAGCTTCATTATTTTTCAGACAAGATCTCCTTTATATATCCAAGCAAATATTGTGTGTATTTAGGAAGAGGCTATAGTTTAGATGCGTTGAATCACAGACTTCAAATTATTCCAAATATCTGACAGACGGGTACATCAAACCGGTGACTTTCTTTTTGTACTTGCAATAATTGGTTCCGGTTTATTAGGGCTAATTGTTTTAAAATGAGTGATGCTCGGTCATCCGTGGCTGCAGAAATGCAAGTAAGGTATCTATATAGAAAGCTTATGAGCTACACTTTAAGATGGAGCCACTTTAAGAGTCAAGTTCGGAGCTTTTACTTATAAACCTATTGTTTTGGGATTACCATTTTATACACCCTGTATACTGGTATAGGTCCAGACATCAGCGTAAAATCTATACACAAAAATCATAAAACTTTCTGTTTCAATCGAAATTATTCACTGCTCATAGCTTCTCTACCCTAATTTTTACACCGCGTATAGGCTTCCACCCGTTTGAAATAGTACCTGTGTACACAGCTTCCAAATTTGCTGTCGTGGGCTTGACAAGATCTCTTATGGTAAGTTTTCTATCAATAGATATTGGAATTCATTGGGCACTGAACAATAAAATCACAAAATAAGTAGGCATTCGTGGTAAGTTAGAGCAATAGCAAAGAACTGTCATGTAGTGTAGTAATAATACCACATTGTTTATCGACATGTCTCCTCAGGACCAAATAGTTTGCTCGGTCATGCGGAAATCACTAGAGTGTGTAAAAATGACCACAAGTCGAACACTCACTTTTCCAACCCAGCTTTCCACTGCCAAGGAGTGATAAAATCAAAGGGGTTGTGTGTAAATTTAGTTCCTTGAACCTTTCTCTTTTACGTGATGTAAAAATTAAGTCCATATATGAAAATATAAGATGGTATATGCCTGTTTGTTAATCTGGTCCCATTTATAGTTTGTGTTAAATCTTTCTTTTTTCAATCATCAAAATTAATGTTTTCGCTTCCTTAAGGCTGATCCACGTTTGAAAGAAAAAGGGATAACTTTCGGCGCGTTGTGCCCAAGTCTTGTGGACACTAGACTTCTCGAGAAATTGGTGCTTCGACACCCGGAAGGGGACCAGAAAAAATTTGACGACAATTCCCAAATCATGGGCAAGATGGAGTAAGTGTGATGTAAAAGTGTCACTAATGAACCTCTTAACAGACTTAGGGCTGAGGATGGACTCAGTGCACAAGTATCGTAACGGTATCCTCTTTTACTGCACCTCATAAATATTCATGATCAAATTGGAGCACGTCATTGGCCGATTCTGCCGCGCGTCTGGGAAGTAAAAATGATACGCTCCCAGGTTTAGTCATCCCGGTGACACGTGAGGCGGTGAGTATTCAGCTCGCTGCCGTGCGGTAATTTACTGGTAGCACAAAAAAATTCCCTCTGGAACCCGCCTCGTAGACATGTAGTCTGTGGCGTACGCGTGTAATCTTTACGGAACCAGTCTGTTGTTGTAGTCCTTGTAACTACTGCAGTAAACACACATTAAAGAGGGTTGGCACCAGACTATTTCATTGCCTGACGAAGAACTTGAATATCTTGTGCTGAATAAAGACGCAAAATCTACGAAGGCCGTTATTGACAGGCAGCGAGGCTACTTAGAAGGCAGTGATGCTGCTAAATATTATGAGGTGTACAGTAAAACAAAAACAGCATGGTTTATTTCTGGGAAAAAGTTGGAATTACTGGTCCCTCGGTGTAGGTCAGCTACTTCACCTCAAACCATGCTAGATGTGTATAATACTTAGCAGTTACAAAGAGATTCTTAGAGTCGTATCTCTGGGCTCATTATAAGTTTTGAAATAAATTGCTTGTATGGGACCGTGACAAACGTAAAACATAATCAAGAAGAGCTTATGTCCTTCACACTAGCTTCAGATCCCTCAAAAGTTTCGGGTGAAACGTATTACTAACCTTATGCCTGGTTGTTCTGAACATGACCATGCTGATACTGCCTAGGCCTACTTTTATTTTGATAAATTAATGACAATAAATATCCTGTCCCTTGTCAACGACAATGCTATTTATGCAAAAACGTGTCTGTGTACGACGTGCAGAGTTGTAATGACTCGAGTCAATGACTCGACTCGAGTCCGACTCGAGTCACATTTTTTGGCGACTCGACTCGAGTCCCGACGGGTAAATGACTCGACTCGACTCGAGTCACTGCGAGCAAATGACTCGACTCGACTCGAGTCCCTCATCAGAATGACTCGACTCGACTCGAGGAAGGCTAATAAGACTCGAGTCCCAAAATAAAAGCAAAACTTACTTGCGAAAAATATTTGCAATGACTTACGCTGCGCCGTTCGCGTTGCCAGTTTTTGTTCACGTCACGTTAATGTTCGCGAATAATGTACGTTTATATACAGCGGCAGTCTGTTTCCTTCCTCCATAATGAAACAACAAACATACACCGTGTCGCGGACTCCCACCTTGTGGTTCTATAGCATGTAATGCTAAACCCGGAACCAGACTTAAAACGCCGCATTTCTCAATCCGTGGTTTCATCATTGGTTTCGGGCGATTTTGAAGTTCTTGGTGGAACGCTGGCTAAATTCATGTCCCGATTTCACACAAAAAAATGGATACGGACGGGCCCACCTTTAAATAATCAGAAACAGTTTTGTATAATGCAATTAGGTTTTAACGTTGTCAGCGATCAGCGAACAACAAAATCTAGACCCGAAGCCAAACCAGTTATAAGACCGAAGTTTCACATCTTCTTATCTGTGACGTGAGCTAACTATGGAAACTGTTGGTTGGGTACCATACAGCATACTTTATGTCTTTGGATTTCCGTAATAGACTGGTGCCTTGTATTCATTCTCTCTTGTGTTTGTTGCTTTTTATTGTAATTTAGTGTTCAAATATTTGTGACTCGAATTGACTCGAGCTAATACTTGACTCGACTCGACTCGACTCGACCACACTCTGTGACTCGACTCGACTCGACTCGACCTTGTTGTTCTAATGACTCGACTCGACTCGAGTCACTTCTTTAAAATGACTCGACTCGACTCGAGTCACAAAAATCAGTGACTCGTTACAACTCTGACGACGTGCAAACCCTTGTTTATTTTGACGTCAGCAGGCTTTGACCATTTAAAATTTTCAAAGTTTGCTGAACATGTATTTGAAGTTTCGGAAATGAAAAAAAAAATCATTCATTCAGTAGATGTTGGTAGGACTACCTGGTGTCTGATTTACATGTTCCATTGCAGCATATTTTGTCCATTTATTAGAAATCGTACACAGATGGGGCATATGAAGCCACATTTTATGTCGAAAACACAGTGCGCGGCTCCACAGAGCCCATTCAGCCCAACGTACACTTTTCACAGCGCATGTGGCCGAGTTTGACCGAGCTAATGGCGGACACGCCTATAGCAACTGTTGTTAAGTCTCCTGACCAAAAGTCGTGATCTTACTCGGTGCGCACTGTTTCATTAAGCCGAATCGGCCCATTGGTGTGAATATTGAGTGATAAACAGTGCAATTTCCGCAGTGTACACAACATTTATGGTTTAAACCTTCTTTTATGACGTCGATTGTCGGCGTTTTTCTCAGACCTCAGTTGGAGTGGACACAGTTTTGCTTTCGAATTGCCATGTATTTGTTGGTATATTCTAATCATCATTTCGTGCAACGTTTTGATTTTACAGCGTCTCCACGATCCGGGACGCCTTTTTGCGGCTGGTCCTCGATGACTCCTGGTGCGGAAAAGTCATGGCCGTTGACAGGTCGCAGGGCATATTCGACCCCTTAGCTCAGTGAAGAATTGCTCTCTCATATGCTTGGGCTCCTAGCTTTGAAAAAGGAGCTCAAGAGGTACTATTATAAATATATGTCTGTCGTCAATGGAGTTTTCCTAGAGATTTAGTTCTAAATGGGAGTATTATTCTGTACTTGGTCAAGAGTGTAATCCTAATTGTAACCGCTTTAAATTTGTCGTACTTATATTGCTACAACAGATTTACATGTATTCCTATATAGTCATTATTGTATCTGCATGTTAAATTCATGGATGATACAGGGTGTTTAAACAAAGGAAACCCAGATGTAAATGTAAATTATTAAAAAAAAATATAATAAAACTTTTCAAATAAGTTGAAGATCATGTGAAACACCAATGTGTCATCTTTCCAATGATACCTTGATTGTGTGTGATACCTTGATTGTGTGTCTGTGGCCACAGTGATTGTTATTCTGTACGTCATGGGTCCAAACCTGCACTGGGCCAAGTTTGTGCAAAAGGGTAAGTGGAATTCTGGGCATGTGGAACGCTTAATTTAAAGAAAGAAGACATCCTTTTCTTTAAAACAATTTATTCAATTTTGACAGTGATTTCACCACTCTCATGGTTAACCCCTCATGGCCCAATGCCTTCAACGTGGCCACCACCTCTTCCCACACAAAGCTCTGCACGAAGTCTAGTCCATTTCAACCTTTGCATAACAAACCAGCCGGCAATCTTTGCCAGATAAAACTTGGCCCAGTACAGGTTTTGACCCTTGACAGAATAACAATGAATGCTTAGTCATCCGTTGCCACAGACACACAATCAAGGTTTCATTGGAAAGAGGACACATTGGCATTTCCAATGATTGTGAACTTATTTGAAAATATTTATTAGATTCTTTAATAATTCACATTAACATCTGGGTTTCCTTTTTTTTTTAATACACCCTGTATATCTTTGGGTTCTATAAGGGTTTTAGGTTGCAGCTTTATTTACTTGTTATAAATTTAGGGATTATTTGTTCTCCATACGTTTGAATTGTGTGAAGCAAAGAGAAAGACGGGATTGCAGTGATGTAGTGCCTTGATGCTGGGCCTTGGCCTTAAGGCTGCCTTAAGGCTGGACTTTAGGGCCTTAATTCGCCTTGGCCTCGAGGCTTAAGGGCAAAAGCCTTGGCCTTGGCCTTGGCCTTGAGGGATCAGTGCCTTGCAATTTTGAGTCAAGGCTCTTCAAGGCCCATAGATTTTTGCATTTTTCAGATAAATCTGTTTGAAATTTTGCTGTTACCATTTTAATCGTGTTACCATGGAGGAGGGAAACACCCTATAGATTTGTGTGTTGGGCACACTTCCACTTTTATAGCATCGTATTTTGTTACCATTGTAGTAGATTTGCTGCAACAATATTCTGTACACTTGTGGGGCTAATGAGATGATCACTGAAATTGTATACAATTATGGAATAGATCTGATTGGTTGTATATGTCTCCCTGATAAGTGCTAAAGATTTGCATACATCTGTTTTAGGTAATGCTAATATTTCTGACCATATTGGCCCAGCAAATAAAAATTTCCCAAATCAGTTTCTTGGATCCCCCTTTTGTTACACTCGGGAGAAGTGTGCGTCAATATATCGTTATTTTGTTTTAGTTAAACCATATTCATGAAGACCTGAACTTATACTTTAATAGATACAATGCAGTAATAAAACAGTGTATGCGAGCATGTTGATTGAAATTAAAGACAAGTTGTTCTTCTTAATGAGCGATTCGTGATGATGTGTCATATGTGACTATAATTAGTTCTATATTAGTGGTCATTTTATAAAACAGGGCATTGGCCTTGGCCTTAGCCTTGAGGGTTAAGCCTTGGCCTTGGCCTCGAGGCTTGAGGATCAAAGCCTTGGCATTGGCCTTGAGGGTCAAAGCCTTGGCCTTGAGGGTCAAAGCCTTTGCTCCAACACTGGACGGGAACAGTAAAATGGACCGCTCCGGACTTTAGCCATTAGCCTCGCCCAAAGTTCACCCTGGTGGCGAGCTTCCGGAACCCTAGAATAGTGCAAAAATGCCAGAATGTGCAGTTATCTTTTGGTTCATTTATTTCTCATGAAAATCAACCCCAGAAAAGGCCTTCGTCAAATGTTCACTATAGCATGTCAATTTATGGAAAAAATATCGTGCCAACAATTGACCTCTCGCTTCCGAAAATCTTAAAAACATGCAGACTAGTGGAACTTACGGATGCATATACCCCTAAATCGGTGTGCGTAGATGAGAATTTCTGAAATGTGTGGTGGTCATTAGGTCACAACTACAAGTGCAATAGAAGAGCAAGATGTCTTCTAAAATTCTCAAATAAACTTAAATTACTCGTTAGTATTTACGAAAAAACATATTGTCTGTTGAGACGATCGCACCCTTTACTTGAACAATACCAAGATAAAATTCCGACCGGAGTGTTTCTCGGGGTGGTTACAGTTAGAAATCATTCTGCCAAAAATTATAGAAGGTGAGAGGGTGCTACCCAATGTAAAATGCCCATAGGGGTGCAGACCAGTAAATCGGTCCGAAATTGCCTACGCCGGCCAAACCACGATGTGCATGCCCTCAATTTATCCGGTAGGAGAGCATTTTGAGGGCTGCGAGCTCGTATTTATGTGAAATTTTGATGTAATTAGGCCCTGCAATGGCACTATTTTGCATAGGAGCGTAGGCGTCCATTTTCAAAATGGCGATGGGCTTCAGGACTGCTTTAAGGGGTAATCTTCTTTGGATGTAATTTTCTCCCCAAATATCATGGGTTAACCCGAAAAAATTAAACAGAAAATGAAAAATTATGAAATAAGCTTTTATTTAGTGCGTGTCGTGAACACCTCAGAGAGTTGTATTTTTTTGCGCGTTACTTACACTAAGGTTTATGGCAGTTTATTTACTGGTCTGGACCCATAGGCGGGTCGCGCAAGGATTCTGAAAGCTTGCCGCGTGACCTTTTGCTTTTACAGTCGTGTGGTTGCGAAGGCCTAAGCGTCGCCGTTGTTAAACAAAGTTAATCCGATTACGTACTTAGATGCTATAACAGAGCAGTGAAATTCATGCACCCCAAAAACATGGCATTTTGAACGTTGTGTTTCTCAGAAAATATGGAAGAGTCCATTGTAGCAAGGGGTTCCAGGCAGTTCGAGGGATGAAACTTCATGTCACTGTACAGGGGGTCCTTAAAAAAATGTCCCTCTGAAGAATGTTCAGAATTCTCGTAATTTATGAAGAAAATTCAAATTCAATAATAGAATGATGATGATGAGCCCAAACATTTTTCTTTATTGTGTGAAGTTTTTTGTTGGATTCGGTTTAGTGGTTTTGAAATAAAGACCATTAGTGTAACACCAGTCCATTTTGCTCGATTCCAAGTTTGACAATACATACCCTACGTGTAAAAAAAGTCCTACTTTTGATCATAAATAACTCTGTTGTTTTCCAATGGAATTAAACCAAAATGTATGTCATGTAAATAAGGCATGGCAAATTTTATGGAGTGAGTTTCATTAGTTTTGTGCAAGAGGGTGAGATTTAAACGCCATGCGAAATATAAACTCACTTTCAGAATTTGCCACTTTCGACTTGACGTCCTCCGTACGTTGTATATCGACCAATCCTGGCACGCTATCAATTCTATCACGAAGGCCCCCTTCAATGAAAACAAAAAGCATTGGGCCCGCGGTGTGTCCGTCCCGGAAAATTGGCCACCCCCCCCCCCCCCCACACACACACACACCCATTTCAGCAGTGATTGACGCCCTTGTATTTTTCCCTGGTTGGACCCCCTTTTAAAAATCCTTGACCCGCCTACGCACAGTGAATATTTTTTACTATTTGCTGTCTATGCCTATATGTATATGGTAAACAGAAATGTTCTCGTGACGTGCATAATAGATTGACAGTGTTAAAGTTCAAGGCCGAATTCGATCGTCATTGTTCCGTTCCGTCGCACTGAAAAACATTCCTAACAGTCTCCATTTTTGTTATACCACAACTTACTCGGTACCTACAGTGCTGATAGCCGTTTATTTAAACTGTGCCGTCTGCTCGTGTTACGTCTGCCATCATTTTCTACCATGTCTTCGCCGAGCACCAACGTATGGAAGTGTAGATAGGACATGCTTAAAAATAAAACTAATTCGTACGTACGAATTACTAAACCGTACGTACGAAATACTAATTCGTACGTACGAATTACTAATTCGTACGTACGGATTACTAAACCGTACGTACGAAATACTAATTCGTACGTACGAATTACTAAACCGTACGTACGAAGTACTAAACCGTACGTACGAATTAATAAATCGCACGTACGAATTACTCAGTGGCGTAGCCACGGGAGGGGGGGGGGCGTGGGGGCAGTGGCGTAGCCAGGAATTTTTCAGGGGGGGGGGGGGCGCTGAGGGGCTGGAACATTTCATGGGGGGGGGGGGTGTCATGTAGATCAATGATAACTTTTTTAGAAACTCAAAATCTCAGTGGGGGGCGACTGGGGGGCGACAAGGTTTCATGGGGGGGGGGGGGCTGTCACCCCCACGCGCCCCTCCCCCCCCCCCCCGTGGCTACGCCACTGCGACAGCCCCCCCCCCATGAAACCTTGTCGCCCCCCCCCAAGTCGCCCCCCACTGAGATTTTGAGTTTCTAAAAAAATTATCATTGAAATGATACCCCCCCATGAAATGTTCCAGCCCCCCAGCGCCCCCCCCCCCCCCCACTGAAAAATTCCTGGCTACGCCACTGCACCCACGCCCCTCCCCCCTCCTGTGGCTACGCCACTGAGTAATTCGTACGTGCGATTTATTAATTCGTACGTACGGTTTAGTAATTCGTACGTACGAATTAGTAATTCGTACGTACGAATTAGTAATTCGTACGTACGGTTTAGTAATTCGTACGTACGATTTATTAATTCGTACGTACGGTTTAGTAATTCGTACGTACGAATTAGTTTTATTTTTAACCATGTCCTATCTACACTTCCATACCAACGACACGTTCGATATTGCCCGGGCTAAACTGCCGCCAGACACGGTCGCTATCGTCACGGGGGCTGCCGAGGGACTCGGCAAGGGCTACGCGGAGGGCTTGCTGGACAAGGGAGCTAAGGTAACGCGAACCGACGTGCGATGAGAAATATATCACAGGAACTGTTTCGAAGAAATATTAAGGGAGGGCTAGGCTGGGTTCCGAAAAGTTAATAATTGTTGACGTGTGTTTTACTTGATCTGCTACAATAGGCGAGTAGGTCAAGAATTAAAAGGTCAAAGTTAAATATATATTTCATAGTCTTTTGTGTGGTGTGGGGGTGGTAGCTGCATGACAAAAGTCCCTTCAGATTATTTTCGAAAAGCCTATTTGCCTGTGCATTCGATTTTAATTCCCAAACTTTTTAGTGCTTCATTTTAATTTCCATCACAAATTAAGTGTCTATTAAGTTTTTGAAACGTTTTTCATAGCTTTAGGGCAGATTTAACGCTCACCGTTTCTTTGTTTTCCATGATATTCCAGGGTGTGTGCATGTGTGAACGATTCGCTGGGTTCGACAACGGCTCAGGAACTGTCGGACCGCTTCGGGGGAGATCGGGTCATCTTCGTCAAGTGTGACGTCACGTCGGCTGCGGAGGTCGAAGGTCAGTATCGTGATTATGTCCAGGACAATTCCAAATGTATATCCACTTTGATTCGGGGACGAATATTGACCAAATCGACCGGAACACCTGTCAAACGAGCACATGGAAACAGTACAAGCCAACAGGCCTTAAAATGCACTTGTTAAAAAAAAAATTACTTTGAATGATTGGTTCATAGCATTTCCAATACGGAAGCTTTTATGAAATTATTTAATACAATAAATAAGGTTATTCTTGTTCACATGTACAATCAAAATTACTCCTTTTTATATGACAAATTTGTTTACACCAGATTCGTGAAACGAACCAATCCACTGACATGGCACTGACGATTCCTTTTGCAAAAAAACCCCACAATGCTATGCCTCAAACTTTGCTGTAACTGGTACAATCATATGGAATCATTTGCATGTACAGTTGAGAACCGTGACTTCTCTAACCCCATTCAAATGTGAACTACGTAAAACGTTCAGTCAGTAATATTTCTGCAAATATGTTAATATTTTGTTTTCGCTGTCTTTATTGATTGGATCTAAATCTGTGCTGATCTACGGAGTTAACAAACTTGGTTGTCATAATAATAAGAAGCCGGATGGGAATTTCACCGTGTTTTCTCCCAAAAGTTTTTTTTTTGGCGGGGTTTTCGGCCCTCAAGTAATCAGCGAATATATGGCCATGTATTTTTTTGATGTTACAAGATGTGTCTAATTTGGTTTGTGTTCACACTTAATTCACCTGATAGTAAGGTGCGGCCAGCGATCATTCTCATATACAGCTCCCGAACTCGGCTTCCAGAAATGCAAAATCCCTGGAGATGTTTAAGACTCTACTCAAAACCCATCTGCTTATCCTTTGACTTTGAACATTTCTCCAGCCAATCATTCTCGTCAACTCGTGTTGGTTTTTGTTTTACATTATGCCGTGTTTTTGTGTATAATTTGTAATTTGAAAGATTTACTCTAATTGTACTCCTGTATGTTATTATGCCTGTACAGCGCACTGGGGACTTATTGATGGAATGCGCTTTACAAGAATGGTTTATAATTATTATTATTAGCCTGATAGCGATGTTGCTTTCACACTGTAGGACTACATGCATTTGTAAAAGTTTTACAATATTTGTAATAGTTGCTTATAAACATGCTTTCATTTCAATGTTTTGTATTGTATTAATTGCATCGTAATTTATTTGTACATGCACGTAGTCATTTGTATTATTTGCAGGGCACAACAATGAAAATCTGTTTTAAACTGTTTGGGCATACCGTGGGTAAAGAAGTGTAATAAATCTTTGGTTACCTTTTGAATTGTGAGAAAGCAAAATGGACCCCTCCGGTTCGGCACTAAGCTCCGCCCACCTGGTTTGTGTCAAATTCTACCAGTGTCTGCACGTACGGAGCCTGCACACAAGGATGAACGACTGTTCTGAGCTCTTGTACAAAATGCAGTGACGGATTGTATTACCTTGTCTAGATGCATGTATCTCTCGTTTGCGGCGGTCTCAGATGGACGATCTTTCTTTTTTTAAGACTTTGATTTCTAGTTTTTATGAAAGCAAATAATGGACTCACAGAAAAATCTTATAACTTTTACAAATGTATTTCTCTGTAGGCCTATCAATTTAATCTATGGAAATATCTTGTTGACAATTTTAACGGTCTTTGAGAAAAAAGGCGAAAGCACCGACATTGTCGACAATGATAGGTGATAATGGAGCTGCGACATGCTTTATTTCCATTGGAATTATTAGAGTAAGAAACCAAAAGTATTAGTGCATGCACGTCACGGGACGATGAGTGCGAATCGTGTTTATATGGTTCACTCAGACTTCTGTTCTTAATTCAATTTTCCTCAACCAACTTGAATTAAACAGCCTTTATGAATGCCTCGTTTTGGGATAACACTCTGTCATGAGATTCTGGAATTCTATTTATCGTAGAGAGAAATTTGTGTGCGAAATTCGAGCTGATTTGGACCCAAAAGGGTGTCCAAAGTGATGAATGTCGAACTTCTCTCGATATCGACCATACACAAACAACCATTGTACGCTATCATTATGTGCATTAATGGAGGACCCCCTCGATGTAGAAAGCATATACATGCACCAGCTTTTGAACAAAGCACCAATAGCATGACGGAGTATCTGAACAAGTATCTGAACAGTAGCTGCTCAATGGCTTTCGCCATCAAAGAGGGCCTCTGCGAGTGCACAGTGATAGCTCCGTATGGCCACGTCCACGCCATTAATTCTATCACGTAGCATGCCCCCTTCAATGGAAAAAAAGCAATGGTATTGCTGTTGTTCAGACAATCCGGCACTTCGTAATTCGTAAGTACAAATCGTTCAATCGCAATGGTGTCTCCATCGAAGTTGGCCTGGTTCGTTTTCGTGCCTGGATGCGTCTGTTGCTGAACAGCGCCCTCTGTTCTGTTTGATTTACCATCTGTCACTTGGATTATACATGTAAACGATCTGACATCAGGTCTGCAATCCCCCAAAGTGGTTAATGATTAAACGTGTGTTCACAATTCCTTTGACCTCCAGGACTTACCAAGCACTCAGTTACCAAAGTGGTGACTGTTTTGTTTGTACTACTTTGCGTACTTTGCTACCAGTGCCATGATTGGACCAAAAATGATGGGGGAAAAAGAAGAAGACTTGCTAAGTGTAGCAGTATTAAGGCACCATACTACCACCCCTTGCGATCTGTTGCACTCAAAACATTCACCTTTCAGATTTTCGGTGGTTGAAGTCACGGTAATCACAAAAACAGTCGAATAATTTCGTGTAAAGATAGTTTTGTCTATTGTCATCTTACCATAAATTATTAAGTGGCACACACGGCCTAAACTTGGCACACAAATTGCTCGGAATTGTTGTCGACATTCGTGTCAAATCGTCCAGATCCAGTACGGTTTGGATTAAACCATGTCATCGTCAAGCACCGACACGTTCGATATCGGCCGGGCCCAACTGCCGCCAGACACAGTCGCTATCGTCACGGGGGCCGCCGAGGGACTGGGAAAAAGCTTCGCGGAGGGATTGCTGGAAAAGGGTGCAAAGGTAAAGATGAGTAGGTCAAGAAATAATTGAATCACAAGATATTTTCGATATCATCGTTGGTTTGGGAATGGGAAAGGGGGAGTGCAGGCAAAGTTGGGAAAGACTTTTGACTTCAACAATTGTTCTACTAATTTTGTTTTTTTGAAATTTTTTTTTTTTTTTACGAAAAGTAATGGACCATTTAATTGTTAATTTCAAAAGCTACGTTAGGATTACTTTTTTTGAAATTTTATTTGACGAACAGAGCTTATTGATATATTTCAACTGTTATTGATTTGAAGGGTGTATGCATTGCGGACGTGAACGAGCCACTGGGGTTGAAAACGGTTCAGGAATTTTCGGATCATTTTGGTGGAGGTCGGGTCATCTTCGTCAAGTGTGACGTCACGTCGGCTTCGGAGGTCGAAGGTCAGTGTCGATGTAGTGACGACGTCTAGGACAATCACACTCGATTTTTAGTTGAAAATTGATTCGAAAGTTGTATTAACCTGTTCTACAGGTCTCATTCTTGCTATTAGCGAATCTCCAACCGATGTTCCTTTTACTTTCATGCAGCCGTGTTTGCCAAGACAAAGGAGAAATACGGCGCCATTAACTTGATGGTAAACAATGCAGGAATTGTCAACGAGAAAGACATGGCACTGACAATCAACGTAAATGTTGTAAGTATTATTAAGGTCAATTATGATTTATCTAACTCGCAATTGGCCGACAACACGACCCTCGAGCCGTTTAAAGTTTTGTGTGCATAGATGCTGGCAAAATATCAAGGGAAAAAAATCATGTTCTTGTCTTGTTCCCTGACCTACATTCAGATGAAACGGAGCAATTCATAGCTGTTGGTGAATTGTAAGGTCGGGGAACCAGGCAACCCGGCTTGCACCCGTTGAAGGATAACTGATTGCAAACAAAATATGGAAAAAAAAGCTAGGTTTGTTTTTCAAATGATGGTCGGCCGACCATTGCACTTGTAGTGTTTTGTTTGTATTTGTGTGTTGTTTGTTCGTTTATTGTTTTGCTTTTCATAGACCGGGGTTGCGTATGGGACCTACACCGCCATTAAGTACATGAGCCCGGCAGAGGGCGGTAAAGGAGGCAAAATCATCAACATTGCATCCGTTGCAGGTTTGTTATTATTTCATGGTCCGGTTCCCAGACCAAAAGATTTTGTCTGTTCGTGACAAAAGATGTGACGGTTATCTGACCTATACGATCTTATAAGGGACGTTAGGACAAGTCTGGTTAGGGAATCAGACTTAGTATAGAACGACGCCTCCCTCGACCGCACCATTTTGGTTATGACAATAAATATCCACAACAAACATTAAACATGCCCTGCCTCGATCTAAAAGTTGTCGTCCTTTATTTTTGAAACCATTAGGCTTGTTTCCCAACGAAATCTTACAAATCTACGTGGCTACGAAATTCGCTGTTTTGGGCCTGACGAGATCCCTTATGGTAAGTTCATTATGTTTTCCCGGCTTTTTAAAAACATTTTTTTGGAAATTGAATTTGCAAAATCACTTTCCGTCTTTCATCATTTAATTGCAAGTTTGGTCAGTGAACATTTGCTGATACAGTTTTACGCGATCCTCTTTTTATGTGTTCATGTTAATGTACTCATTGTGGTGTTTATTTTGTACGATCGCTTGCATTGCGATTGCGTCGAAACTTTGTTGATAATCACTCTTTATTCCTAATTTCATCAGGCCGATCCACGTTTGAAGGAAAAAGGGATAACTTTTAGTGCGTTGTGCCCAGGGTTTGTGGAAACTAGGATCTACGACAAGAGGGTGCTGCGACAACAGGAAGAAGACGAGAAAAGCTTGGAAAAGTACGAGGAAGAATACGGCAGGATGGAGTAAGTCGGATTGACAATGAGCTTAATTTGACACCTGTGTTCTGGTGTGGTTTTTTTTCGGTGTAACTTACTTATCGGTTCGAAGCTCATTTGGGGATTTGTCCAAATTATTATCCTACCAAATTATTATCAAGGCTTACTTGCAACGTTAAAGATCGTACTGGTATTTAAACACCCTTAGAAAATATCTTGTCTGGAATGCTGTCACTTTAGAAGTAATCAAGACAACGTAGGCGATTTCCAGAGGTCAGTCATTGATTGACTGATTTTTGGAATGAAGAATGCTATCGAGGAAATCGTGTTTTTATGGTTGGGAATGATTTTTCAAGGGTGGGGGCCACCATTGTAAAAATACAATACTTGAAAATGCACATTTTGTGTCCAACTCTAATTTCAATTTTCGTTTTGCCATCTTTAGGGATATTTTGGTGCTGCCTTTTTTGGTTTTGACGATAATGCAAATGTCTATACTCATGAGCAAAAGTGTGATGTCATTTCAGGCAGAAACCTCAATGTTACATACACTCACAGTATCAAAAGTTGCCAGATTTTGGGATGCATGCTTGCTGTCATAAATTGTCTTCTCTTTTGCGATTCGTTGTTTTGTCAGCATACGACAGTAAGCCAATGAGCAAACGGTTCTAACCTTTTCAATAAGCAAATTTCTGGTTTCAGAATTTGAACAGTAAAACACCTAAACTGAAAAGTGCCTTCCTGAAATGACATCACAGTAACAGCGCCATCAGATGCCCTGAAAAGCATGGAAAGGTTTTGAAATAAATGTTTAAAGAAGTAAACATTGCAATGAAATTGATTAATGAAAAAAAAGGATGTCAAATACTTGTCATACATTAAAGAGGAGTATAAAGTTGCACAAAATGTGAACTTAGAAAAGACAATCATTTCATGGACCCTTTAGGCCCCCCCCCAAAAAAAATTAATAATCGGTCTCTGGTCAGACCGAAGTTCCGGAATTGATGCGGCGATGCGTCTTTTTTTCTTTTTGGTGGCCTTTTTTTTCAAGCTTGAATTGTACAGACAAGGTGGGTACTATTTTGCTTTTTTGTGTCCTCATTATACATTGGTGTCCTCCATAATTTTCCTTGGTGCCCTTTATCATTTGCCTTGGTGCAATTTTCCCATTCCTTGATGCTCCTTGGTACAAAAATTTGAGGAGGTGCGGCAATAGAGGGCGCTGTTGTAGCTTCCGTGTTAATTTGAAGGAAAAAATAAGGTTGACGCGCATGATTAAAATCGACGCGCGCGCTGACCAGAGACCGAGTATTTTTTATTTTTTTTGCCTTACAGTGATTTGTTTTTCTGAAAACCTCTTGTTTCACAGGATCCCCGTGGTTCGTGATGCCTTTCTGCGGCTGGTCCTTGATGATTCCTGGTGCGGGAAAGTCATGGCCGTCATGAAGTTGGAAGGCATATTCGATCCATTAGCTCAGTAAAGAACTGTTTCTAAAACTTTATTGCCTTCAAAAGGTTTGCTGCTGCAATTATTAATTGCACAGGATCATTTGTAGGGACATTGACTGGATTATCTACTTATTAGACATTTTTGAGACATCTGTTATTCACACATTTGAATTGTGAGAAAGCAAAATGGACTTCTCCGGTTCGGCACTAAGCTTCGCCCACCTGGTTTGTGTCATATTCTACCAGTGTCTGCACGTACGGAGTCTACACACAAGGATGAACGACTGTTATGAGCTCTTGTACAAAATGACGGATTGTATTACCTTGTCTAGATGCACGTAACTCTCGTTTGCGGCGGTCTTTAAGATGGACGATCTTTTTTTTAAGACTTCGATTTCTAATTTTTATTAAAGCAAATAATGGACTCACAGAAAAATCTTATAACTTTTACAAATGTATTTCTCTGTAGGCCTATCAATTTAATCTATGGAAATATCTTGTTGACAATTTTAACGGTCTTTGAAAAAAGGCGAAAGCACCGACATTGTCGACAATGATAGATGATAATGGAGCTGCGACATGCTTTATTTCCATTGGAATTATTAGAGTAAGAAACCAAAAGTATAAGTGCATGCACGTCACGGGACGATGAGTGCGAATCGTGTTTATATGGTTCACTCAGACTTCTGTTCTTAATTCAATTTTCCTAAACCAACTTGGATTAAACAGCCTTTATGAATGCCTCGTTTTTGGATAACACTCTGTCATGAGATTCTGGAATTCTATTTATCGTAGAGAGAAATTTGTGGGCGAAATTCGAGCTGACTTGGACCCAAAATGGTGTCCAAAGTGATGGATGTCGTACTTCTCTCGATATCGACCATACACATTTTACAACCATTGTATGTACGCTATCATTATGTGCATTAATGGAGGACCCCCTCAATGTAGAAAGCATATATACATGTACCAGCTTTTGAACAAAGCACCATAACCATGACGGAGTATCTGAACAAGTATCTGAACAGTAGCTGCTCAATGGCTTTCGCCATTAAAGAGGGCCTCTGCGAGTGCACAGTGATAGCTCCGTATGGCCACGCCATTAATTCTATCACGCGTAGCTTGCCCCCTTCAATGGAAAAAAACAATGGGATTGCTATTGTTCAGACAATCCGTCACTTCGCAGTTGCTTAATTCGTACGTACAAATCGTTCAATCACAATGGTGTCTCCATCGAAGTTGGCCTCGTTCGTGTTCGTGCCTGGAAGCGTCTGTTGCTGAACAGCGCCCTCTGTTCTGTTTGATTTACCATCTGTCACTTGGATTATACATGTATACGATCTGATATTAGGTCTGCAATCCCCCCAAAGTAGTTAATGATTAAACGTTTGTTCACAATTCCTTTGACCTCCAGGACTTACCAAGCACTTAGTTACCAAAGTGATGAATGTCTTGTTTGTACTACTTTGCGTACTTTGTTACCAGTGCCATGATTGGACCTAAACACACGGCCTAAACTTGGCACACAAATTGCTCGGAATTGGTGTCGACATTCGTGTCAAATCGTCCAGATCCAGTACGGTTTGAATTAAACCATGTCATCTCCAAGCACCGACACGTTCGATATCGGCCGGGCCCAACTGCCGCCAGACACTGTCGCTATCGTCACGGGAGCTGCCGAGGGACTAGGCAAAAGCTTCGCGGAGGGATTGCTGGAAAAGGGTGCAAAGGTAAAGATGAGTAGGTCAAGAAATTATTAAATCACAAGATATTATCGATATCATCGTTGGTTTGGGAATGGGAAAGGGGGAGTGCAGGCAAAGTTGGGAAAGACTTTTGACTTCAACAATGTTCTACTAATTTTGTTTTTCGAAAAGCTTTTCTTTTAACGAAAAGTAATGGAACATTTAATTGTAAATTTGGAAAGCTACGTTAGGAATACTTTTTTTTTAAATTTTATTTGACGAACAGAGCTTATTGATATATTTCAACTGTTATTGATTTGAAGGGTGTGTGCATTGCGGACGTGAACGAGCCACTGGGGTTGAAAACGGTTCGGGAATTTTCGGATCAGTTTGGTGGAGGTCGGGTCATCTTCGTCAAGTGCGACGTCACGTCGGCTTCGGAGGTCGAAGGTCAGTGTCGATGTAGTGACGACGTCCAGGACAAACACACTCGATTTTTAGTTGAAAATTGATTCGGGAGTTGTATTAACCCTGCGCAGAGTGACCTGTTTCCCTTTGGGCCCCAGGTAATCCTCATTCGACCCTTGCCAAATAACCTGGTTCAATTAACTTTGCAGCCAGGGCTTCACCCAGGCCGTGTCAACAAACTTTTGACCAGGCCTCCTGCCAAGTCTCATTGAAACATCAACAAAGACCTGTAACTTGACACAGCCATCTCCCTTCATAACTGCATACAACTGCATACCACAGCCGCCAGTCAATTATCTTTCCAGCGCACTGTCTGGCAACTGTCTGGACACTGTCTGGCACGTGGCTTTTTGTTGTATTGCTATGAATAGGGTCTTGCGTAGTGCGGGAAAGTACCTGCTGCCCAGAGGGCAGCAGTTGACGAGTTGTTGTAAAGTTTTTTTTGTAAACACTGCGCAGGGTGTATTAACCTGTTCTATAGTTTTCATTCTTGCTATTAGCGAATCTCCAACCGCTGTTCCTTTTACTTTTTCCATGCAGCCGCGTTTGCAAAGACAAAGGAGAAATACGGCGCCATTAACTTGATGGTAAACAACGCAGGAATTGTCAACGAGAAAGACATGGCACTGACAATCAACGTAAATGTTGTAAGTATTACAAGTAGAACATTAATGCTAATTATGATGTATCTAACTTGGAATTGGCCGACAACACGAACCTCGAGCTGTTTAAAGTTTTGTGTGCAGCGATGCTAGCAAAATATCAAGGGAAAAAATCATGTTCTTGTCTAGTTTCCTGACCTACATCAGATGAAAAGGAGCAATTCATAGCTGTCGGTGAATTGTAAGGTCGGGGAACCAGGCAACCCGGCTTGGACCCTTTGAGGGATAACTGATTGCAAACAAAATATGGAAAAAAAAGCTAGGTTTTTTTTTCAAATGATGGTCGGCCGACCATTGCACTTGTTGTATTTTATTTTGCATTTGTGTGTTGTTTGTTTGTTTATTGTTTTTTTTCATAGACCGGGGTTGCGTATGGGACCTACACCGCCATTAAGTACATGAGCCCGGCAGAGGGCGGTAAAGGAGGCAAAATCATCAACATCGCATCCGTTGCAGGTTTGTGATTATTGCATGGTCCGGTTCCCAGACCAAAAGATTTTGTCTGTTCGTGACAAAAGATGTGACGGTTATCTGACCTATACGATCTTATAAGGGACGTTAGGGCAAGTCTGGTTAGGGAACCAGACTTAATATAGAACGACGCCTCCCACGCCACGCCCTCAACCGCACCATTTTGGCTATGACAATAAATATCCACAAGAAACATTAAACATGTCCTGCCTCTAAAAGTTGTCGTCCTTTATTTTTGAAACCATTTAGGCTTGTTTCCCAACGAAATCTTACAAATCTACGTGGCTACGAAATTTGCTGTTTTGGGCCTGACGAGATCCCTTATGGTAAGTTCATTATGTTTTCCCGGCTTTTTAAAAACATTTTTTTTGGGGATTGAATTTGCAAAATCCATTTCCGTCTTTCATCATTTAATTTCAAGTTTGGTCAGTGAACATTTGCTAATACCGTTTGACGCGATCGTCTTTTCATGTGTTCATGTTTATGTACTCATTGTGGTGTATTTTGCACGATCGCTTGCATTGCGATTGCGTCGAAACTTTGTTGATAATCACTCTCAATTCCTCACTTCATCAGGCCGATCCACGTTTGAAGGAAAAAGGGATAACTTTTAGTGCGTTGTGCCCAGGGTTTGTGGAAACTAGGATCTACGACAAGTGGGTGCTGCGACAACAGGAGGAAGACGAGAAATACTTGGAAAAGTACGAGGAAGAATACGGCATGATGGAGTAAGTCGGATTGACAATGAGCTTAATTTGACACCTGTGTTCTGGTGTGGTTTTTTTTCGGTGTAACTTACTTATCGGTTCGAAGCTCATTTGGGGATTTTTCCAAATTATTATCCTACCAAATTATTATAAAAAGGCTTACTTGCAACGTTAAAGATCGTACTGGTATTTAAACGCCGTCTGGAATGCTGTCACTTTAGAAGTAATCAAGACAACGTAGGCGATTTCCAAAGGTCAGTCAATAATTAATTGATTGATTGACTGATTTTTGGAAAGAAGAGTGCTATCGAGGAAATCGTGTTTCGGGTTTTTATGGTTGGGAATGATTTTTCAAGGGTGGGGGCCACCATTGTAAAAATACAATACTTGAAAATGCACATTTTGTGTCCCACTTTAATTTCAACTTTCGTTTTGCCATTTTTAGGGATATTTTGGTGCTGCCTTTTTTGGTTTTGATGATAATGCAAATTTCTATACTCATGAGCAAAAGTGTGATGTCATTTCAGGCAGAAACCTCAATGTTACACTCACAGTATCAAAAGTTGCCAGAATTTGGGATGCATGCTTTGCTGTCATAAATTGTCTTCTTTTTTGCGACCCGTTGTTGTGTCAGCATACGACAGTAAGCCAATGAGCAAACGGTTCTAACCTTTTCAATAAGCAAATCTCTGGTTTCAGAATTTGAACAGAAAAACACCTAAACTGCAAAGTGCCTTCCTGAAATGACATCACAGTAACAGCGCCCTCAGATGCCCTGAAAAGCATGGAAAGGTTTTGAAATAAATGTTTAAAGAAGTAAACATTGCAATGAAATTGATTAAAGAAAAAAAAGGATGTCAAATACTTGTCATACATTAAAGAGGAGTATAAAGTTGCACAAAATGTGACTTAGAAAAGACAATCATTTCATGGACCCTTTAGGCCCCCAAAAAATTAATAATCGGTCTCTGGTCAGACCGAAGTTCCGGAATTGATGCGACGATGCGTTTTTTTTTCTTTTTGGTGGCCTTTTTTTTCAAGCTTGAATTGTACAGACAAGGTGGGTACTATTTTGCTCTTTTTGTGTCCTCATTATATATATTTGTGTCCTCCATAATTTGCCTTGGTGCCCTTTATCATTTGCCTTGGTGCAATTTTCCCATTCCTTGATGCTCTTTGGTACAAAAATTTGAAGAGGTGCGGCAATAGAGGGCGCTGTTGTAGCTTCCGTGTTAATTTGAAGGAAAAAAAAGGTTGACGCGCATGATTAAAATTGACGCGCGCGCTGACCAGAGACAGAGTATTTTTTTTTTTTTGCCTTACAGTGATTTGTTTTTCTGAAAACCTCATTTCACAGGATCCCCGTGGTTCGTGATGCCTTTCTGCGGCTGGTCCTTGATGACTCCTGGTGCGGGAAAGTCATGGCCGTCATGAAGTTGGAAGGCATATTCGATCCATTAGCTCAGTAACGAACTCTGTCTGACATTTTCTTCAAAAGGTTTGCTGCTGCAATTAAATGGCAAAAAGTCATTTGTATACAGGGACATTAACTGGAATTTTGTTTTTAATTTTTTTCCCCCTTTGTATGATGTTAACTTGAAAGTTTACAATTCTCATTTTGTTTTATCTCATTCATTAAAAATCTCGTAAATCTGTATCTGTGTTTGTATCTGTAACAATAATGACAGGCGTTTATTTTGACGAGTTCGCTTTAAATGTCACGACTGGGTGTATGTGAAGGGAGGGAATTTGTCTCTGCATTCAATAGGGGGCGTTGAACAATAGAGAACAATAGGGTCCCCAATTCCCGAGGAATTTGCGCCCCTCCCCCGAAAGCCCCCCCCCCCCCCAAATAAAAAAATGAGAGAAAAGAAGAGGTGTGAAGTCATATTTGCTGTTATTTTAATACACATATAACAAAATGGTCGTCTTAAGATGTGTATTGAGGGCAAAATAGGGCAATGGGGTGAGGTGGGCAATTGTCCCCCAGCCTACCCTCGAAAAAAAGTGTGAATTGAGAATATGCTAGAGAAAGTACAAGGATTTGACGGGAAAATGTGCTTCCCTACCGAGAAAAATCATGGCGACGCCCATTGGCCCAGTATTTTCTCGATTGAACCACCAGTATAGTTGATGTTGTTGAAAGCTTTTCAGCTTTCTTGTTAATGGCTGTCATTCACGTTAGAAAAAAAACTTGTACAAGCATAATAATCCTTTGTTCCAAGCCCTCTACAAATAATGATCTGTAAGTTAACTTATTCTGGTCCTTATATGGCCATTGGCGGATATTTTGTCGATTATTCAAATGTAAAATCTGCTAACTTGATATTTTTGTAAAACATATATGCGGCACGGTTTGAAACAGGGGTTATTTTGAAGACTTCGTTTTAGTTGTCAGGCCCGTGTGTGTAAGTAGGGGCGGGGTGATGGGTCACGCTATGAACCCCTGACCCCCCCCCCCCCCCACCGAACCCCCCCCCCCCCCGAACCCCCAAAAAAGCCAAGGTACAATTTCTTAACAAATGACAGTTGTATCTGCATGTAAACAGATGTCGTCATATAGAAATTGTTCGAAAAATCATGTACGCGGCAAGTTTGCCAGCACAGCATCACTAAGTATCAGCTTTGTTTCAGTACTGTCCGCATGGAATAGTGCGCCTATTATGTCAACTGATGCAGGCGCGGTTCTACGGGGGGCTAGGGCGGGGGGGGGGGGGGGCTGTAGCCCCCCCCCCCCCACAAAATTTGGTCAAGCCCCCCCCCCCCAAAAAAAATAAATTCCGTAAAAAAAAATTGCATTAGCAAAAAGAAGGATTGTGATGTACATGCGAACGGTCTCCCCCTAAAGAAGAAATAGCCGTGACGAGGGTGCATTAGTTAATATAGTGTGAATGATTTTAGGATTTTAGTGGCGCTCCCCATTGAAAATATGGCAAGGCAATGCAAGGCAACGCAAGGCAACGCAAGGCAAGGCAAGGCAACGCAACGCAACGCAAGGCAAAGCAAGGCAAGACAACGCAAGGCAATGCAACGCAAGGCAAGGCAAGGCAATGCAAGGCAACGCAACGCAACGAACGCGACGCAACGCAATGCAAATAGGCCTAACAATAAAATAAAAGCACATAACTGTGCTTTTCCGTTTGTTGAGTTTGACGCCCTCTGGCATCAATATTTTTAGATGGGCACAGTTCGCTCGTACCCCCCGCCCTACCTTCTATCGACTGAGCTGTCACAAAACAAATAATTATATATGGGAAAACAAATAATTATATACCTGCGTGCGTATCATAAAAGCATCGTAGAGGGCGCTACACAACCATGTATGCGGATGTCGTTTGGAAGAGAAAAATTCGCCGCCCGGACTATAGCCGGATCCGGCATTGCATATTGTCGCCAGCGCCACCAATATATGTAAGTAAGTACATAGTGTGAAATTTGGACCCCATTAAAGATGTAATCATGCGAGTCATAAAGGTCATTGTCAACCTCGTTCCCAGGGTGTCGAGCAGTACGCTCACACCACTCTGTCTTGCTCTCTCACCCGGGTATTGAAGTGTTTGCATATCCAACAATTGTGGATACGTATGCAAATAAGGCTCCCTGTAGGCAATGTGTTCTGGGCGCAAATAGTCTGGTGATAATATTAAAATTCATTTCTTCGTCACATCGACAGCATATCTGTTTGGTACTGGATTGATTGGAAAATCCATGCATTGCAAGGCTATGCCACATGTACGTCCGTACGTACGTGGGTCGAATTTGATAACAAGTAAACAAAACAGTTTCAAAACAAAACATTTCTCACAAGACGTAAATATCTCTTTGGTTTGTGTTGTGGAGAACAAGGCATCAGAAATGCATGTAATGGATCAATCAGAAGATGGGAAACAGATGTCATTTGGGAAAAAGATTCGCCGCCGGGAAGGGCTAATCAAAATGTTATGAAGGAAGCATGGGCACGCAAGGCATTGTGGGCAGCTATATTCTGCGCGCACGGTCGTGTCATGCGCAGGCGGAAAGCTTGGCCCGTGTTATCAAACAAATTCTGTCCAATGAGAGCTCGAAGAAATACGTCATTCATCCACAAGAAATTAGCCCCTCCCTACTCCCTGTTTGGGCGGCTGGTACGTGCGAAAACTGGTATGCTATTACTCACCGGATTCTACTCTTCATCTTCACCAGGTTTGTATGGAGAGCTGCGACCTTAAAGAACTCCGAATAAATTCTGAATAGTTTTGAAACAAAGTGCATGCAAATTTAGATAAACAGCATAAGTTGTGTACATTCCCTTTTGGAAGATCAGATGACTATGTTTGGTGCGACTTCTTTTTGTTCAGATTAAATTGTTAAAATGTGTCGGAAGATGTGAAGACTTTATTTCCAAAACGCGATACACGCCATTTTGTTCCTTTTTAGAATACCACTCTCTCTCCTGGCTGCCCACAAGCAATTTCAACCGCTGTTATGTAATTAAACACAACTTAAGAATACAATGAGGCAAAAAAATGAAGTTTAAAAAGCAGCTTTAATACAGTTTTGATTCTTTACAGTTTCTTATCCGTGCAAATTGTTCACCATTTTCAAATGGCTATGTCGCGTTAGTGTTTTGGAGATAAACGCTTCATGTGTAGTACATTTGTCGTGATGCTTTTTTTCGTACCGTCAGACACGCATACATTTCCAAATGTGTCTGTTGGGTTAAAGACTTTCACGGTGACGAGTAGAAAGAAATGTCTGCAAATAGTAATTTGAAGGCTTTTATTCATCCCTTCTCTTCTGTTGTATTGTCAACGTCGACTACATTGGGCATTTGGAATTGGTGTTGGATCGTCAAAATGACTGCAACAGTGCATAGAAGCACACAGCCCGTTCGCGTACATCATGTCTTCGCCAAGCACCACCTCGTTCGATGTCGCCCGGGCCAAACTGCCGCCAGACACGGTCGCTATCGTCACGGGGGCCGCCCAGGGACTCGGCAAATGTTTCGCGGAGGGCTTGCTGGACAAGGGAGCTAAGGTAAAAACGACGATGGAAGTGGGGGTATTATAGGTTTGGTGAAGGGGAGGGCTAAGCGGACGAGGGGGAATTTCTTTTAGAAACCAGAATATAGTGTCAAATTGTTAGTGGACAAGTGGCACAGACTGCTTAATCTGAGTCGGAAGGTTGCAGGTTCCACTCCCACAGTGTTATTTTTAGATTGTCAAATGTTAGTTTCTTTAGGTAAATTGAAACCTTATAGTTCAGTTCGAAACCAGACTAAAGTGCGAAAGTGTTAGCGATCAAGTGGTACAGACTGCTGACTCCGAATCTAAAGGTTCCAGGTTCAACTCCCATAGTGGATTTTTAAGATTGTCAAATGTTAGTCTCTTTTAGGTCAAATGAAACTTTATAGTTATGTTAGACTTAAGTGCGAAAGTGTTCGAGGTCAAGTGGTAAGACTGCCGACTATGAATCAGAAATAATTCTAAATGGCAGCAATTCAGATTCGGCATGGCTCTCACCCATCTCCGGTTTATGAGTTACTCAGCTTCAAACAGATGTGGGACATTATAACATTGTGCATAAGGGTTATTTGCGCTTCGTATTATTTTCTTTAAATTGAAACAACTGTATAACGGTGAAGGCCTATTTATACACATGTAGTTGAATGTAGCCTCGTTCAAGGTGTTCGTCGATAGTGTCCGTGATGGTATTTGGCCGCTTATATACAGTATACAGCACTTTCTTGGTTGACTTGCAGGGTGTGATTATCGCTGACATAAACGAACCGGGCGGGATGAAAACGGCTCAGGAATTGTCGGACCGCTTCGGGGGAGGTCGGGTCATCTTCGTCAAGTGTGACGTTACGTCGGCTGCAGAGGTCGAAGGTTAGTGTTTTGATGAGTGTAACAAGTTGAAGTATGAGTGTTTGCCTGAAAGTGACGGATGCAGGATTTGTGACTGATGAGGGGTCGAAGTCAGGGATCTCAGGTTAAATTTGTTCAAAAATCTAATAAAAATGGCTCCATCCCCATAGTACATGACGTATCTTTTCACGCAACATTCACATGTTCGTGAAACAAGAAATCATCTAACACTATAAACTTGGGAATTTCCCCCTTTTTCCCCCAAAAGGGTTTTGTGGGGTTTTCGTCAATCGCTTTATCAGCAATGCTTACCTTGTACATCAGTGTTTGCAGTCCGTTTAAACAATGCACTTGTTTCTTATGAATTTTACTTTGCTTAACTTTATTTAATGCTGGGCCCCAATGGAAACCAGTTTTGAACTGTTAGGGCATACCCTGGGTAAAGAAATATAATAAATAAAAATATAAATCTGTTGGGGATGTGGTTTATATACCTGTACATAATGATTATACGTTTCAACCCTAACCCCAACCGATTTTGACAATTATCGCAGCCGTGTTTGCAGTGACAAAAGAGAAATTTGGCGCCATAACTCTCGTGGTAAACAACGCGGGAATTTGCAACGAGAAAGACATCGAACTAAGCATGGGCGTGAATTTTGTGAGTACGCCGATTCTTGAGGTCAACGAGATTATCATTGCTTCATCCCCCTCCCATCTTTATCCCACAAAAGGGGAAAAATATTGAGTTAAAACCTTAGGTCGCATTGTTAATAATACCTCGTGATGTTGTCCACCATATTGTGTCGTCAAAGAAACCATTTTGGCTTAATGAGGTTAAAGCATGTACTGGCAGATTTGTCATGTGAACTTCCTTAATGCAATTTGTGTGAATGCTCTCTTTAAATCTGAATAAGTTCAATCACAAACGACATGCAAATGCTTCCCATCAAATGCGCGTTAGTTGATACCAACCGTTTATAAATTAGAGCTATAAACGTATCGGTAAACTACTTTCACAGTAGTTAACAAAAAACCCTAGCAATTGAAGAAATCGTTGACTGATATTTACCCCTGTGATAAGATTAATTTCCCAACTGTTGAAATATTTGAGAGAGCCATTGCTTTGTGACACACTAACGGTGACAATGACAACTGATTGAGAATTACTCTTAACCCCTGCTTTGCATGCAGAACGGAGTGGCTTATGGAACTTACACCGCTATTAAGTACATGAGCCCAGCAGAGGGCGGCAGAGGAGGCAAGATCATCAACATCTCGTCCATAAGTGGTCAGTTATTATAAAACACCCTCTGCTAACAACTTCATCCCGACTCGACCCATACCACGCTCACCCAGTCCATTTGTGCACAACACACGATAAAGCCTAGTTGGCATCGTTATAGCCTCTAACCCAGAAAGACCTCTCACAAATTCAAGTATTTCTTTTTTTTTATGTTGGAAGACAGGTATAAGAAGTTTTAGCTCCTTTTTATCAATCACGTGGATCTCAGCAACGACGAATCCAGGGTTTCCCATTGTGTATAGTCGCATAGACATTCAAATCCTGGACTTTTAACAATACGTGAGTCATAAAGACAGTGACAGACTTAGAATTTTTTTTTAAATAATGATGTTCGCTCCATTTCACATAACTAATATGTGCATGTTTTATTGCTGTAAACTGTAAAAACTTCACATTATATTTGCGCACTTTATTCCCAACTTATGTACATTTTAATAAAGAAGATTACAAAATCCAGTGGTCCACCACTGAACATTTACCGTTCTACGAATGATGAATGCAAATTGAATACAATGAAACATGGAAGTTGTCTCACCTCCACGAATAAACGAAAACTTGCAAAGGAAAACAGACCAAAATCGCCATCAATATTTCAGGGGAAAACCTGACAGTGAAAATAATGATTAAAATCTCTATTTGTATTTGACTGCATGTGTCTGTAATCTGTAATTTTCGCTGAGCTCAATAGCTTCCAATGGCATACCATATGCATATTGGTTAATTAAGTAAAACATGCGTTACTTCTAATAGCATGGATCAATTTCATTATTTTTTTTCAGATGAGTGGCAGAACATGTTCTTTTTTAGACATACTTCATCGGTGTATCAAATTTGATTGGGGTTAGTTAAAAACACAAATGATTAATCAAGGTTCATTTCCTTTTCACTCGTCCTGTAGAGTACACAGGAGTCCCCGAGTAACAAAAAAAAATCACTTTTGGTGTGTGGAAGGTCTTCCTACAAAAAATATTACAGTATAAACAAAAGAGGGACAGACATAATGGAGTTTGTAACCCTGTGGAGTCGTTTCTTTGTTAGATTGATCTGATACACGGTATGTGGAGACATGTACATAATAGGGACCAAAAGATTGAATAGTTCTCCACAGGGCAATTTCTGTAGGTGAATACGTTTCCAGAAGGTTATCACGAAATGGATAATATCCAAGGTTTGATGATTAGTTGCGAATTGAAGTATATTATGTGAAGGATGTTAAGTCAGAATTTCAGCCCAGGAAATTTAATTCTGGTTAAAACAGGAGCATTTTGAAACTACACTTTCAAACTCTAAAATTTGAGTACACCAGGGCCTATAGGGTCCATGATTGAAGGTATAGTCACACACTTGAATGTGTTGGGGGGGGGGGAGGTGGTTATAGCCACCCTAAACACACAGTTTGTTTTGTCATTGAACTTTGCTTAGATTGGTGTCTCGTGACATTGCAGATCTTTCTTTCTTTCTTTTTGCACTTGTTTTTCGTTGAACAACTGCACACTCGTATGGGGTATTTACATGGACCGTCTCACTGATATCGCCATTTTAGATTTACACCGTTATTTTTTTTTTGAGATCACGTGATGTCTCAAGAGCTCTTTGACAGGCAAATATGGCGTTGCTGTCACGTGTAAGCTACGTGTTACGCGTTTATTTGAATGTTTGCCACCACTCAAGAAGTCAGTGACCTCCAAAATGAATCCAAAATGGCGGTGTTCATTACACGGTCCACAAAAGACTACTCACAGAGCCTGTGCATTTGGCTTACTTTGGCGTACTTTATTCTTGTACATTTAGGCTTTAAACCCCAACCACTGATACCCATCTACGTAGCTGGCAAGGCCGCCGTTGAGGGCATGACACGATCCCTCATGGTAAGTTCTAAGTTCTTCTCTCACAAAGAACCTGCTGAAAAAGAAGACTTGTCGGCAGATAGAAAACGCAGCTGTTCGCAGGACCGTAAATCCGGGGGGGAGGGTTATAAATCACCCCCAACTTATTCGTGATGAGGAAAAACAAAATGCAGATTTTGAAGTATTTTATGAACATCCCAACAACCAAAATGTATTGAAAAGCACTAAAAAGTGGAGAAACAAAGTACAAAAGCTTTTAAATGCGCTGTTTTGATGTGAGCGCGAGTGTACATGTTGATAGACATCTATATCATGAAGAGCGTCCATTAGTGTAATGTGGTTCGAATTTCCACTGCCGGTCAATTTTTGGATTTTGGTCATCCCAGCCCCCAACTCGCCAGATTTACCCACAGATTTAAGCCACTGGCTGTGTGCGAAGAGTTTACAGCTGTCACAAATCTTACATTCGTTTGAAAACACAATTTTCTCTTTTGGAGTCTTTTTTGGCAGAATTTTTGATTCTCCCACGATCAACGGCGTGAAATCATTCAACAACCAAGTTAACTCTTTAGTCATCATTACCTAATACATCAATAGCACCTGTTAAAATACAACCACGTGGTATCTTTATCGACCGAGTTTTGTATTCATGGGTCATCATATAAATTTGGAGTTCACTCTTCCGTGCATGTTGCATCGGAAATTAATGATTATATAGTTCTAGTTGCGCTCATTGATGTATTTTTCCTCCAAGAATGATTATGTGGAGCAAACAACCTACTCAAATAAAATTGTTTAAAGTAATTTAAATGAAACTTGTATGACAACTTTAAATATATATATAAAAAAAACAGAGGTAACAGGGGCCCAGACTACACTAGATCCAAAAAGCCAAACACTGATTTTTCTTTTTTTATTAGTGTATTCTCGTTTTCTGGAAAACGACTGTTCATTTACAATCTTCATTTACTGTCCGCAATAGGCTGATCCGCGCTTGAGTGGACAAGGGATCACTTTTGGTATCTTATGCCCTGGCTCCGTTGAAACCCACTCCTTCAGCCAAATGGTGCTGCGAAACCCGGAGGACGATCTCAAGACACTGGCCAAAGACCTAGATAAACACGTCAAAATGGAGTAAGTAATTCCATAGAGAGTGTGCCAAAAAAGTGCCATATTCAGAAAACAAATAATTAAAACTGCTTGATTTTTTTTGTTGCTACAATTAAAGCCTGACTACTTCTAAATCCACTACTGTTTACCACATTCCATTTGGGTTCCAAATCTAGATCCAAAAATACCATCTATTAAGTGAAAGGGTGTACATATTACTTGGGCCTCTCTCACCTATAATGCCACCAGCTTCAATGCAAATTTAATGCAAATTTAATGCCTATTCAATGCTTAACCGAGATTCAGCATGTTAAGGTGAGTGTGGCCCAAGTAAAATTTACTCCCTTACGCTTAATTGACTATAGTTCTGGATCTAATGACCCAAATGGAATGGCGTAAAAAGGAGTGGATTGAGAAATAATCAGGCAAAGGTAATTTATAATTAAATTGAAGAAGAAAAAACTCTGTTTAGCCTGATCAAGTTGTGTGTCTGAACTTAAAGGACTAATTGAGTATTTAATAGGCCAGACACGTGACTCTGTGATTATGCACTGTACAAACTGCCTTTAGAGTTTAAATACATTTCTAAACACCGTATACCCGTATACCCACTTTCTTGACGTTTGAATCTAGACACATTTATGTTGAGGGATGTCTGTGACATGTTTAGGAACACGACAAAAACCTGTTTATGCCATTAAGTGTACAACTGCAAAAGTAAATAAAAGTGACTTATCGGGTTGAAGTAGAATGACCGGCTAAACAAACATCTCTTTTATCACTCATTTTTATTACCTGTTTCAGAAACACGAACCTCGAAATATAAATTTGACTTTTCTGTAAGTTGTTTTTTTTTCTGGCACTAACATACTGTGCAACAAATTTAAGTATGTCTTAGACTATGTGAACAAGTCCTTGGTGGACGTTTAGGCCAAAAAAAAGTCTCCGGTTTCTGGTATGGAGCTTGCCCAAATCGTGGTGCGGCGACGCGGCTTTTTTTTTTTTTTTACCTGATTTTTTGCTTCAAATGTTGGCTGATGACTGCAAATGGTGCCCGACTAAACTTAGTGCAGATATATGGGAGTCCAGAGAGGCCCCATAAAGCTTATTCTCGACCATAACCCAATCTAAAAACACTTTTAAATTGTGCAGCAGCAGGATTCCAGTCAAACCAGTGAGTTTGGCGGTTTTGAGACATCATCTTTCATTGAAAAAAAACGTTTTCATTTTGCCGACGCGCATGGCTACGGCGACGCGCGCGCATACCAGAAACCAGAGACTTTTTTTAAAGACGATTTTTCGTACTGTGCAATATACCAATGAAGCCATTTTTGATCGAGTTCCCTGAATGTATTTCATAAAGTACAAATTGTTGGATGGGATGGTACCAGACTATTTATGCATTCCAAGCATCACTTTCGTCCTTTTTAATGTTGCTTAAAACATTAGGGTGTGTTTAGTCACACATTTTTAATTATTCGTCAGAGCAAACTGGTATTTATTTGTTATTAATTTTATTTCATTGCTTTCATTTTTATTCGCAAGTTCAAAAAGTGAAGATTTTACCTCGCTTTCAATTTGATATGGCCGACTCGTGATTCGTTAGTAAAGCCTATAAAATATTTTTGTTTAGTGGACGTTTAGGGATTATTTTTATACTGCACGAAATCTAAAGAACACGTGAAAAAAAGTAATTAGTGAATGTTCAAGACTCGTGTTTTTCTCTCCCTATGACCATTTTTTTGCTTCACAGTATTTCTACGGTCCGGAATGCCTTTTTGCAGCTGGTTCTGGATGAGTCCTGGTGCGGAAAAGTTATGGTAATCCTGCCGGAAGAGGGAATTTTTGATGGCACAGCAGCTAATTAGGCAAAGATAATCCGGTGGCAGACACCAGGAAAGTTTTGGAGAGCTAGTTCTGCCTTTGAAGTTAATACCATTAATGTATTCTGTGTCACATTGATTAAGTTGGCAAATGACATGTATTGTTTGGATTTATACTTAGAGGCTTCCTCGAAATTCGACGACTCGCAACATTAATTTTGCTCTCTATGCGAAACCCATACACCGGACACCTGATCTCATAGAACACAGGCAGCGGCCTGAGGATGAGGACAGGCAGTGTGTTACAACTGATAATGTAGTAACCAACGGATAATGTATCACCAACCGATAATGTCGCCAAAATTGACCGATACTGTATCACTAACCGAAAATGTAACAAAAGTTGACCGATAGTGTAGTAAGTGTTACTACACTATCGGTCAATATTTGTTACATTATCGGTTAAGACCGATAATGTAACAACAATCGACTGATAGTGTAGTACATACACTATCGGTCAATTTCTGTTACATTATCGGTTAGTGATACAGTATCGGTCAATTTGTGTGACATTATCGGTTGGTGATACATTATCCGTTGGTTACTACATTATCAGTTGTAACACAGCGGCTCCGTGCTTCTGATATCTTGTCTTGGCTATGCCGCCGCTCCACCACAGTTTTATTGGCCTATTTCTCCTGCACACTCATGCGCCACGCGTGTTAAACGCATCACCCTATACGGTACACGCGTTGACCCCATGCGCCACAGGTCAATCTCACGGTCTACGCGCTGGCTATACAAATTGGTGCCAAGTCGGTTATTGTTTTGCGTACAGGACCGGTTACTGGTTCCGGCTCCACGCGTCCGCACGCAAAATAACGTTGCAATGCGCGTAGTCGTGTTCCCAGACCAAATGTTGCTGACTATTGATGTTCAATATTATATCACAATCCGGCCGATTAATACGCTCTTAGTTTTATAACAGCCGCGCCGATGGAGTTCGACTGAAGTTTACGGACAAAATACTCTAATGACTTGTCAAAGTCTACGCGTAATTGACCTGTTACAGATTTTTACTATATTTAGTCTGTGGTCAGACCAACCATGCATCAAGTGTCGCCATATCTGTTTGTATCCCGTAGAACAAATATTTGTTTTTGTCTGTAGACCTGTGAGATCCATAATAACAAATTGTATAAGAATTGACGAGGACCTTGACATGTGAGTAAACAACGTTTGATGGCAATATGTTTTTTACGACTCTAGCTACCTCCCGTAAATATCAACCTTGGCGAAATATGATCAATTTAAAAACAAATGCGATGCATAATACACATTGAAATGCATGTATTTGCAGCACTTAAGCAAAATCGTTCCCTTTGAATAATATTGGAAAGGATTTTTGCATCTTTTCAACTTGAACCGAAATGCTAAACACGCAGTCTTAATGAACAATTGAGAACATAACATTAATAAACTTAAAAAAAAAAGTCTTAAAACATCATTGTCGAGTAGGTCATTGTCATAATAACTGTCATCATCATGAAGATATAAAATGGCTCCTGTCCCTTAAATGGAAATGTAAACTCTCAAAAAGGTAACATAAAACCCTAAAATCAAATAACTATATGAGAGGGTTTGTCTGCAAATTATTTTGTCTGGCTCTTAATCAAGATCAATTCGGTTAAAATAATATTAAATCAGTTAACATGAAGCAGTAACCGAGTCTGTGGTCATGTAATTACAATCTGCCATGCTCTACTATATATTGGCATCTGACCAACTCATGATGAGTCTGTATTGGGTAAGCATTGTTCCTACTTGGGCATCAGTAATTGGGTCAGGAGCACTTCGGGTGAATTTTTAAGAGTTTAAAATTATATTTATATTATATAAGGGACAAATTGGTTGATTTTTTTGTGCGGGTTCATGGCAGCCATATTAAGGTTTTCTTTTGAGCTAAAACTAGTTGGTTGAGCACTGTTCATGTCAATTCTTTCTGGACTAACATGCATGTAAAAAGTTAATGTGCACTCTACCCCAGACTTTGGAATAGAACACCTGATAAAGTTCCGCTATGATAGCACTGTCAAGATGTTATACAAACATTCATTATCTGTTTTAAACAACACCTGACTAAATCTTTGTCGTCTGATTGGTCAGAGACCCCTAGCGTGTGACCTTGCAGTTGAACTTCCTATTTGTACTGTGGAATGTAGGAGATTTGTTTTGGCGGTGCGGCTGAGCCAACGGTGGGTTGGGTATGACGCCCTTTTGAATGCGTATGTAATCATCTTTGTTGGTCATAGGTCCAACGATTGTTGATATGTGGGTGAACGGTACAAGGTCAGAAGCCAGGTTACAGTTTTAAAAAATTATCTTGGAATGAACGCTTTTTGGAAAGTTAACAAGGCACTAACTCGATGAAAGTCATATACAAACTATAACACGAAACCTGGTGTTGATGACATCATTACGTTAGCCACAGGGTTAGGTATTCATAGAGGTAGTGTGGATTAGTGGTAAGGTTTGTGACTCATGATCAGGGGGTTGGGGTTCGAATGTAGCTGCTTGCCATAATGGTGTGTCCTTGGGCAAGCCACTTCCCCTTAACTTGCCTCTCTCCACCCAGGAGTAGAAAGGGGTACAGGTATTAGCTGGGGAGCAACCTGCGATGGACTGGCATAATGGAAATATTATCAGGAAACTGGATAATGAACCCGATGGGCCACATTGGCTCTTGACATGTTTCATTTTTTACTACTTAACTATATACTTAAAGCTGAAGAAGAAAAAAAAGGAAAGATGAGACTAAGTGCCATATTCTGTAATTATTTATGCAATGTTTTGCAACAATTTCTGTTATTCCAGCATGTTTATAAACAATAAACAGTAGCATTCGACTCCCCCACTGCAAATAATCTAATGTATACAAGATTCAGGATGACACACAAACCTTGCACCCTATAAAGCTCAAACAGGTGAACTGATTATATATATAGTTGGTTGAACCACACCACTGCCCAAAATAGATTTCCACATGGTGTTACCGTACTAGCTCATACCTCCACCAGCATGCAAGGTGTCACATCTTGCTTTTGACCTAATTATGTTCAACAGCCCTACTACATTCCAAGGTTCATAGTTTGGCGGATGCAATAAGAGCGCGCTATATTTGAGTTGAATAAATCTGAGCAAATACAAAATGGTTTACCCACTCCAATTTGCGCCCTCTATACCACATGTACAGGCACTTCGCTCGTACCCCCGCCCTGCAAACAGGACGCTGGGAAGGGCTCTGATTGGGTAGATTTTGCGTGACCTGTGACTGCAAGTCATCACGACCACGACTCTGCAAGGTTCGAACAAAGAGCAAGTTCCTTGCCCTCTGTGGTTTGAATTTGAAACGGCCGTTAATACTGAGTCATACATCACTCTTTTATCCCCATTCATAAATGCGGCGCCCTTTCTTGGTTGAAAGCATAAAAATAAAGGGAAATCTGTAAAGCTTATCTGTTTTGTAAATTTTCAACTCCCGTCAGTTGCTCGGGCTCCGTTTCGAATTCACGAAGGGTCGAAATGCATATCATTCAATGACAAAGAAATCACATCCGGTATGGTGTGTATGCATTTCTATGGCAAACTTTTTACGGATAGCGTTTGCGCGCATTGGCTAACCGCGGTCTACATCTGCAGCCAGATGCTTTATACATAGGTCATGATAAATTACCCAGAATGCCATCCTATTTTCCCTCACAAGATTCTGTGAAGCTCATCTGCTCTTCCCAGCGCCCTGCTTGCAGAACGGGGGGGGGGGGGGGGGGGGGGGGGGGGGGAGCGCGAATACAGGCACAGGCCTCACAATAGGGGCCATCACAGTGGCGTAGTAAAGTTATTTTTGTAATGGGGGGGGGGGAGGAGATCACTCGCCCATCCGTGCTGACGGTTTTTTTTCTTTCAACGGTCACGTCCCCGGCCTCAAAAAAAAAATTAAAAAGGGGAAGGCGACACCATCTCCCTATGGGGGCGCTGTTCAAACCGGACGATCATGGGCACTATGGGACAATAGACGGCGCTTTGCATGGTGGCACAATTGCCGAGGTTTGCGCGACATTCCAAAAAAGTGCACTCGATAAAAACAGAAGCCGCTCGTGGAAAAAGAGCAAAATTAATGTAAAAAAAAAGAAACTCATTTACCCAACATGAGGGGGGGGGGGTTAAATACTCCCCTTATTTCCCCCCCCCCACCCCCACCCCTGATGGCTACGCCACTTCTCTCTTGAACCTCGACTGTGATGAGTGGTGACACACGGCTAATATCATCAGGATCACGTGAAAGGGAGTTCTTGTTGCGTAGGTTTGGATGATGATCTGAAATTTGTCCATAATCTAAAAACTACCGGTAGTACTCTTCAATAATAATAATGTTCTGTTATGTGTTGTTCCACAAAGAGAATCAATCACTATTCAAACAACCAAAAAATATTTTTTGAATAGCACACCTGTTCAGAAGTCCAGTTGGAATGTGTTCTAGCGTCCTTAAGGCATCTTCCCAGCAAGTTTCAAGCTTTTTTGGCCAAAATTGAAAAAAAAATGCAAGGGGTTAACCTTACATTTTTCATCAAATTTGGGAAAAAAATTACTTTTCTCCAAACAGCTCAGAAATACCACCGGATGCAAGAGGAATACTCAGAAGTCTAGTCGGAATGTGTTCTGTGGTCCTTTAGGCATCTTCCCAGCAAGTTTCAAGCAATTTCATTTTTTGGCCAAAATTGGAAAAAAAGGCAAGGGGTTAACCTTACATTTTTCATCAAAATTGGCCAAATATGAACTTTTCTCCAAACAGCTCAGAAATACTACCGAATGCAAATAGAACATCAATCACTATTCAAACACCCAAAATATCGAAGATTGGGGCTGAATTCAGTTCATCACATTTTTGACTGATTTTAGCCACAATTGCGGGAGCATTTTTCTTTGGAATAGCACACCTGCTCAGAAGTCTAAACGGAATGTGTTCTAGGATCCTTTAAACATCTTCCCAGCAAGTTTCAAGCAATTCCTTTTTTTGGCCAAAATTTGAAAAAAATGCAAAGGGTTAACCTAATATTTTTTTTTATCAAATTTGGCCAAAAGTTTGACTTTCCTCCAAACAGCTTAGAAATACCACCGGATGCAAGAGGGGCATCAATCACTATTCAAACACCCAAAATATGGAAGATTTGGGCCAAATTCATCAATCTTTGTAGAAAAAAAGTTTTGACTGATTTTAGCTCTAATTTTTGGCGAATCTTTCTTTGGAAAAGCACACC